AGGAATGTCTCTTCCTCAATTCATTCCTGGTCCCAGACATTTTCTCTATCTAAAGCAAGACAATAGTGCCACCTCTGCCAGATAAATTAGCCTAATTCAAGTACCAGTTCTTGCTTTCTATTACCATCCTCATCCCAGTCTATGACACCATCTAAAACTGTTTGTCTTTGCTTCATATACAGTCAATGCCACCATTACTTCCCTCATTTCATCTATTTACTATTCACTATATAGTAGTAGTAGTAGTAGTAGTAGTAGTAGTAGTAGTAGTAGTAGTAGTAGTAGTCCTATCCCCTGCTCAGGCAGGAAACCCTATACCATTCCAGACAAATGGTTGTCCAGTCTCATCTTAAAAACTTCCAGTGTTGGAGCATTCACAACTTCTGGAGGCAGGTTATTCCACTGATAATTGTTCTAACTGTCAGCAAATTTCTCCTTAATTCTAAGCTGCTTCTCTCTTTGGTTAGTTTCCATCCGTTGTTTCTTTTCTTGCCTTCAGGTGCTTTGGAGAATAGTTTGACTCCCTGTTCTTTGTGGCAAACCCTGAGATATTTGAACACTGCTATCATGTCACCCCTCATCCTTCATTAAATTAGACATAACCAGTTCCAGCAACCATTCTTTTAATGTCTCCTAATCAACTTTGTTGCTCTTTTCTGTACTTTCTAGAATCTCAACATCTTTTTTACATCATGGTGACCAAAATTGGATGCAGTATTCCAAGTGTGGCCTTACCAAGGCATTCTAAAGTGGTATTAATACTTCACATGATCTTGATTCTATCTCTCTGTTAATGCAGCCTAGCACTGTGTTGGCTTTTTTGGCAGCTGCAGCACACTGCTGGCTCATATTTAAGTGATTGTCCACTAGGACTCCGAGGTCCCTCTCACAGTTACTACTATTGAGCAAGGTACCCCCTATACTATACCTGTACATTTGGTTTTTCTTGCCTAAATGTAGAACCTTACTTTTTTCACCACTGAATTTCATTTTGTTAGATAATACCCAATGTTCACTTGTCAAGATCCTTCTATATCTTAAGGCTATCTTCTGGAGTGTTGGCTATTCCTGTCAGCTTGGTGTCGTCTGCAAATTTAATGAGTTCCCCATCTATCCCCTCATCCAAATCATTGATGAAGATGTTGAAGAGCACTGGGTCCAGAACAGAGCCCTGGGGTACCCCACTACACACTTCCCTCCATGTAGATGCGGTTCCATTGAGGATCACATGCTGAGTACAGCCAATCAGCCAGCTACTAATCTATCTGGTGGTGATGCTGTCTAACCCACATTTTTCTATCTTATCAAGTAGTAGATTTTGGTCTACTTTATCAAATGTCTTATCGAAGGCCAAGTAAATTATATCCACAGCATTCCTCTGGTCCACTAATTGAAAACCAGTTTGGTCTGGTGGTTAAGGCAGCAGACTAGAAAATCAGAAACTGTGAGTTCTAGTTCTGCCTTAGCCATGAAAGCCAGCTGGGTGACTTTGGGCCAGTCACTCTCTCTTAGCCCAACCACCTCACAGGGTTGTTGTGGTGGGGAAAATAGGAGGAGGAAGGTGTGTTGGATATGTTCTCTGCCTTGAGTTATTTGCAAAAAAAAGCAGGATATAAAAATATTAATATTTTCCCCATTATTGGTATTACATTGATCTTTTTGAAACACATAGATAATATACCTATGTGTGTTTTAGATAATTGACAGATGCCCAGGAAGACATGTCATCTTTTTTGTGCTCATATTCTCTGTCTATCAGGCATAGCCTTAAATTCAAATTCTATCTGTTTTTTTAGTATCTCCTCAGTTTTTCTCCTCAACCAAGGCTAACCACAAGTTAATTAGTTCTGTTCTGTTACCTTAAATCACTTGGCTTCCTTGGTTTCAGCTGCTGCCTCAAATTGACAAGATCTTTCATCACTTATGCACTGAAGACTTGCCTCCTTAGTGGCTTCTGCAGATGCCAATAAAATTAAACTGTGCTTTCTTTCTCCCCATTGGTGGTCCTTTCCTTTTCAGAGATCTGATCACCCTAATTTCAGCAGATATCTTACATCTTTGGGTTATAGCATTACAAACAACCACCTGAGGATAGCAAAGGACAAGAATTTTCTGAATCTTTTTATATCTGGAGTAGCCAGTGGATCTCTTGATTTTTGCAGCCCAGATATGGTTGTGGGAGATATCATTCAAACCTCAAGTGAGCTATTTTGCAAATGTCACCACACAGAGGAACTACCTGTAATAAACGGTGTCTACAAAGGAGAAGATGACATGATAGACTACAGTTGAAGTGTCAGTTTCCCAGGAAAGAGGAAGCACATTCCAGAAAGTGACAGGAGGGGACAAGAGCCAGCCCAGCCAGAATTAGATCAGAGACAGAGGAAGAGAGTTAGGATAGACACTCCCTAGAATCTCCCATTAGGGTGAGAGTAGTTTAGTCTGGCTAAATTCTGTCTATTGGGTTTGAATAAATAAAGACCTGAATGCTGCCTTGATTGTTCTATGTCATTCTTGAATTGGACCCGACACCAAATGGCTATTGTGGTGAATCTGACTAATCACAGAAAGAAAAGCGGTCTGGGCAGGGTTAAGCAGCTTCCTCAAGAATCAAAGATATACCACCGGTCTGAGCTCCAGAACACCAATCCATTTCTCTGAACCCCACTTATTTTTCCCAGCTAACTGCATTTCTCAATTTTTCTCTTACCCCACAGGGAACAATATCCAATCTTCTTAAGAAGGTATAGTATTTCTCTCCCCCTCACAGCATATTCATCCACTTCTAGATTCTCTGTTTTCACCTAGTGAAAGTTCTGAAGAGAATTTTTTTCTCCTCAGTTGACAAAGGAAGGGAAAGCATTTCATTGTTTGGGGAAGTGGCCCACTCTCTTCATTTTAGGGTCTTTGCCATCTGCCTTATTGGATTGTTCTCCCATTGATTATTTTGGGAGGCAATTAATCTATGCCCACTTTAGGGAGTTTTCATACCTCATCTATCCCCCCTCCACGGATGTTGAAGATCTGTTTTCAGTGAAGCCCAAGTTGAGAGGTTCATGTCTACCTACAAACAGGAGGTTGATCTGTTTCAGAAAGATCCAAAACCACCTGTGGTCTTTGCTGAAGCTCCTCAAAACCATTGCAGCTGAATTTGTCTCTAATCAGCATCAATCACTTGATAAGGGTTGCAATGACTTTTTAAGGCTAAAGGGGCAAAAATTCATGGATTTTGTGCAGTGATGAGGTTTTAAAAATAAACTCTTAAAAACTCTGAAAGCCTGACAGTTTTAGGTTATAATGTGCCTCTGAAATAACTTACTTTTTATTACATATTTTTAAATGACTTTTTCTGTACTCCTGTCTGCCCTGAGGTGGCAGTATTATCATTATCACTATTGTTGTTACAGTTGAGTTAGGCAATGCTGCCCTCTTGTGGCAACTTTTAAATAAAGGGAGCTTATTCTCATTTGTTGCCTGGTGCCATCTTTTTACCGACATAGGCATTTTTTATGCTGTTTGAAAGGGGGGGGGGAGGAGAAACACTTTGGGTTGAATTAAGTAAAAAAACCATACAAATCTGGCCAAAATGATTGCAGCACTAGTCTCAGCACTGTGCCTAATTGCAGCTTTATCATGACGAAGCTAAATTGTAAATTGCACTATTTCACACAAAACAAACCCAGGATTCCTTGTAGAATTTGAGAATGTCAGTCAGTCACCCTGATTGTTTTTATGACAAGCAATGTGAGGTGAGATTTGAATCATCTCATATGCTGCCTGCATCAGAATGACAGAAAACAGCTGGGAATTGTATTGTTCTGAAAAGTTGAATTACTTTATAAGGTCTGGTCTTTGATTTGATTATAAAAGAGAAAATGGTAGAGGAGAGAAATACATAGGGCCATTCACAGATGAAATTGTGTCACTGGAAATAACTAGGTATTAGTAAAGTAGATATATAGGGAAAAGAGAGAGAGACATTCTTTGGAAATTTAAAATGAAAAATTTTACTTTAGAAACTCCCAAAATTCCTCAGCCAGGCATGCCAGTTGAAGTCCACAAGTCATAAAGGGGCCAAGTTTGAAGACCCCTGCTTTAGGAAATAGCCTGTGCTGGCTAAAACTGTCTAGAGTTATAGTTTAGAAATATATGATGTTGTATGGTTTTCACATCCTACCTTAATGCCACAATTGATTATACAACTAAACTGATCAATCAGATGTTGTGCTATATTTTGATGCAGCAACCATTTCTTAATGCTATATTTGGTACCAAATTAGCAACATGGCAATTTTATAAATATAATATAGAAATGATAAGGCCTTGATTTAAAAAAAGGGAGGGGGGAGTCAATATATTCCTTTTCCAAAGTATTTCCCATAATTTTGGATAAAATTAACGGAATATTAAGATGAAATCAAAAACATATTTGAAACTTAGAATTATTATTCATTTTGTAAATGTATCAGACTGCCCCCCCCCCAAGAAAAGTCCATCTCATTTTTTAAATTATATTTTTGTATAATGTTCTTGGTTGCATATTTAAGAACAGGATTTGTGATTAATGTTTTTATACCCTTATTTTCTATGTCAATTCAGCTAAAATTGTGTTACTACCTAACTACCCTGCTACAATCAATTTCACTCTTTGGAATATTAATTATATTCACATTCACATTAATTGCAGCATCCTTTTATTCATTACCAATGTAGATGAAACAAAGAGAAAGCCAAAAAGTTTTCTTTTCATTATTCATTCTAATGTGTGCTTGTGTATGCGTACATATGTGTATGGCATACACTACATATTTCTACATATGGAGAAAGTACAGCTGGTGTTTCTTATCATGTGCTCATGTAAATTATTGCCTCCACAATAATCAAATGTATTAAAATGATTTCTCATTGCTATTGATTTCATGGGATAATTTCTCTGCCCCATTTGTTTGAATGTTTCCTGCAATAAACACTAAGCTCGGTGTTAGTTTTCAGCCACTCACCATTTGCAGATAATGTATATTGAGAAGTTTCCTGACCAGAGTTAAATGTTGTCATCAGCACAGCAGTCCTGAAAATTCTTCATTTTTGAAGAAGTCTCCTGACTTTTAGATGGGAAGAAGGTAAAATATGAAAATATTACTTAAAGAAAAAAACAAAATTCAGCGCTACTGTTTTCTTTCCTTACTGTTGCTTGCTGTCCAAGTAGGGTCACTATCAAGAGTGATTACTGCCAGTGTAGTTATTTAATACACCCCAGTCAGGTCTGGCTGCGTGGACATTGTTTATAAGGAGCTGAGCAAACACAGTTTGAAAAACAGTGTCCCCAGCTAGGAATAGGCGAAAAACTTTCTACTGCACCCATAAGGTACACAGCACAGTGTTTCTGATGCAAAAAAAAATTGCTTCCACCCATGGAATTTAACTTCTAATGAATTGATTTACAGCTGGGATGTTCCAAATAAGTGCTTATGAAAGCTCATAAATATAAATAAGAACTTGAGATGATTATGTGTCAAGCAAGCCCTTTCTTGTAGCATGTAGAACCAGGTTTCATTTGTCTTATGTTCCACACCCTCTGCAAGTATTTTCTCTCGCTGCTGGGCTGCAGAACGAAAAACTAAATCTGATTATTAAATCAAAAGATGACCTTCTAGGTTTCCTGTGGAATATGCTTGTAGCTTCAGTTGATTCTTTTTACATCTAGAAGGGACAGATATCACCACTCCCAAAAAAGCTTTGATGTTAAATTATTGGAATTCAATGCAGCTGAGATTCATAACTAGAGAACAGACATTAGTACAGGCTGGCCCACGAAGCCGTGAAATCTCCTTCACTGGAAATCTTCAAATAAAGCCTGGATGACCATTTGTAGTGTATCCCACACTGAGCTGGAGTTCAAACAATTGACCTCTAAGGTGTCTTTCAATGCTATGACTCCATCAAATGCGTGAAAGTTCATGATAAATATGGCCAAACAGATCAGAACCCATTCTAAGGTCAACTCTACAAAATTTTACCTCTTCATAATCAATTTGCAATGTAACAGGTGGACAAAAATCACTTTTATCCACTCCTGCTTGAATGCCAGCCTTTTTTCAGAAGACAAATGTGAAATATACTTTTTATTTTATTTGGCAGGTTTTGATTAGCCTGTGGCTTTTTGAATTATTGCCTATTTTATGAAAGAAATGTGCCAGATTGGACTATGGCTTTATTGGAGATGAAGCATTTGTTAATTATGTCTTGAAGTTGATATTCTTTTTAATGATGTAATAGTAGGATAGAACTGAACATGAAAAGTGTAGGGAGAAGACAGTATTAAATCTGATATTGAAGAATTAATATTCACTGGATCTGGAAAATTATTTCTCAGACTCAGATCTGTCAAACTCGAATAATTGATTTAAGCTTGTATTACGTAGGCTTGTGAGCCTCTTCAACTATAACCAACTTTAAACAATAACCACTTCATCATCATAACTAAAGAGATTGTGGAGGTGGGTGGGAAAGATTAAGGTCATTCTTCATTCCTGGCTACTACCTGAATGCACCACCCCCATATCAACAATGCATTCACCACCGCTCTAACATAGGCTCCAATCACATTAATGGAGGGTCTCACCAACTAGAGCAGGTATGTCAAACTCACATCACGTGACATTGCGCAACGTATTGTGACTTTTTCCCCATTGCCGGCAATGGGGTGGGCGTGGTTTCAGCATGATGCATCCAGCCCGTGGCCTGGGAGCTTGACATGCCTGAACTAGAGGATCAACAATCTAACACCCAGAAGACAGAGGACAGTCATGAAGAACTCTGTCCACGTCCTCAGAACCAACAGACTCAAACTCTCCCCAAATAAATAGAATAGACTAAACTGGTCCTTAATGACCTCAGCTGGTCCTTCCTAGGTTGCATCCAATTTGAAAGTATCCAAGTATTGTTATCCTGCAAAGTCACCACTAACTCTTCATGGCAGCCAAACAGATGATTGTTATGGCCTGTCCTTCCCCCCAAATGAAATAAAAACTACTTTTAAATGGGCTGCCAATCATTAATCAGAGAACACAACAAAGGTGGAGAAATAGTTTATCACTCTTAGGCCAGACAGGAGCTTCAGTAGCCTTGCAGTCATTCGCCCTTATGAATGACCACAGGGATGTTGGTGCAGCATCCCTTCTCTCTCTCTACCCCCCATCCCTCCCCAATGGGACCCTGCAGTGCTCAGGCCTGGCATCCATGCCTCCTGGAAGCAGCCACCATTTTTCAGCACTCCAACAATTCCTTGCATAAATAGTGGCTGCTTTCAGAACTTTTCTGCCCTGATCAGCTGGTTTGCAGTCTCCCAACTAGTTCTTGCTAGACTTTGGAGAACTCAACTGCCTGCCTGCAAAGGTATCAGCTTCAGGATGAGCTTCTCAAAATCTTTCCCTTACTTAACCCCCTCCCTCCCCTCAAAAACCATATTTCACAATACAGATAGTCCTCGGCTTACAACAGTTCATTTAGCAATTTTTCAAAGTTACAAAAGGGTCCTTTTTCAGAATTCATGTTTCAGTCTTCCCCACCTAAGACTGAGTTTTTGAAATTAGCTGTAGCCTGATAAATCTTCTGGGAGTTACAATATGGTTAATCTCATTTTTTTTAAAAGCTGCATTTTAAAAAAAATAAGCTTAAACTAACATTTCCAATAAACACAGATTTCCTGTGGCTTATATAACTTTATTTCTAAGAAAATATGATGCAGCACATTTGGGGCACATAGCCTTTTAAAGCATGTTATACATATCAAGGCATTTAACAGATTAAATCTTCCAGAGGACAAATATTGCCTTTAAAATGGCACGTACTATAAACAGAGACAGTAAGGACAAAACAATTGTGATCACTAATTGCATGAAAAATATATCATATATACAGAATTTACCAAAAAAACAAGTCTAGTTTCCTGTGAAAATAAATAAATAAATGCAAATAATGTAACAACTAAATAAATATAAACATTTACTTTGGAAGTTAAGAGTACAAGGTAAATATTCAACAATTCTTTTCAGAAGTTGGCTGAGCGCAGTTCAGTCAGGACTTTCATACTGTGATTTTTCTCAATGCAGAAACTGTATTACTTCCTGTGATTCTAGAAGCCTGGTTATATTTTAATCTGTTTCAAAAAAATCTCTGTGACTAGATCTTGTAGCATGAATGGAGCTCTCCCTGAAAAGATAAGTCTCTAATGTCTCTTGGCATTGGAGCGCCTCATCCACAAAATATTGCTAGAATTCATCCTTCAATAGAAACCCAAATTATAGAAAGTGTAACTGTGCTGATTTAAACCATATGGTCTTGGTGGACTAATAAAGCCAATACTTCTTTTGTTTCAAGTGCTAAGTGCCTTGTTACTATATTAAAATCTAGGTTTGTACATGCATGTCATTCAGCAAGGCAATTAACACGTACTTGGTAATTGATTTATAATTCCTACGAACTAAACTTTATTTTTTAAAAACCATCTTACACTGACTTATTTGCATTCCAAGCAAGGATTTCTTAATTTAACTACAGGTACTTCGAAAAAACATCTTTAAAATTTCAAAATAATTAAGAGAACAGTGAAAACTGACACCTATAAAAGAGGTTACAATCATTATAAGAGAAGCACAAATATAAAAAAATAAGGAATCTGCAAAACATTTATGACTCACTTGCACAATTATGCTTTGGGGTTGGCTTAATATCAAAAATGTTCATTTCTGAACTCCTCTTAATTCTATAGGTTGTCTTCTACTGTTATATCAAAACATCCTCGCTATTAAAAGGACTGTAGTGTTGTAAGCTTCCCCGTTCTGTATGACAAAACCTTTTTACTGGGACACAATCTTCATATACAGTTTAATATTATGAGAGAGATTTGAACATAGATACTTCCAGATATTCTCATTCTAGAACTTCTCCAATTCCTACAGAACAGTAAAGTTAAATAAGGTTAACAGGAGTTATAGGACAGTCTGGTGGGCATCTGCTTCAGAAGTTACTCCAATCTCAACTACTTGTATTATAACTATTTCAGCTTTCAAATAATCAGACTTCCACTGGGTTCAAGAACTCAGTGGAATTCTAGTTAGTTTGATCTATTAAAGAAACTGAGGATCAAAATTGTGGCTTGTGATCCTGGCGTGTAGTCTAATAATAAAATAATTAGCCTCAAATGTCCTTCAAGATCAAATACTCTTATCATAGATTGCTAGGAATAAGGATAGTAAACATGAGCCCAAGGCTAATACATAATATATCTGAATCAGTCCAGTACAGTTAGAGACAGAATATTAAACAATTCATTTTTTTCAATTTATTTATCTAAATGGTGTGAAGTGGGCCAGTAAGACAATTTAGAGCTTTCAGGCTAGTTGTAAAAAATGCATGGAGAATCCAGCTGTAAACCAATTTCTGACACCAGATCAGGGTAGAGAGAAATAGGTTTCTCTTCTCAGAGCCTTGTGAGAAATCAATAATTTTCAAGACCTCCAGAATTTGAATTCCTTTCCTAATTTGGACAGAAATTGACAAATGTGATCAGCTAACTATTGTTTCAACTATGGAAACTTCCTTAAAAATGAGAAAGCTTAACACAGTACAGCAAAATAAAATCTATGCATTTAGAAAAATAGTTTAGTTGTATATATATATATATATATCAAGGAGAAAAACATGAATCTTTAAAATCGTATAAAAGTGCCTCTTATTCCAACAACAGAATGACAAACTTTTGCATTTCCTGATCTTTAACAGATTCTCAGGAAAGTTGGGATTTTGACAGCATCAAGGCTTATCATTACAATAACATATTAAAGTGTACAGGCTACAAGTTATAGATTTCATGTAGTCCATGTAGATGCTCTTCTCGGTTTCCAAGCATGGAGGACACTTCTTGCAAAGAAGTTCAGACAGCCTTTGTATTGGTTCCCCTGTTGCAAAACAATAACTTGGAGTAGGGTGTCCAACCTTGGCAACTTTTAAGAGCTGAGGACTTCAATTTACAGAATTCCCCAGCTAGCCATGCTGGAAGGGGAATTCTGGGAATTGACATCCACAAGTCTTAAAATTGCCAAGCTTGGACACCTCTGCCTTGGGGGAAGACCAAAATGCCTATTCATTTTACAAAGGCCACTATCTCTTCTGGGATTGAGGACTGGGATCCTTTCTGGTTTTGAGTATTATTTACATAGAGAATTTGCTTTCAAGTCTTTTCTTCAGTGAGGCCTTGTTGCTTTCATGTTCAGTTCAGACTCAGAGCAAGAATAAGCCTTTTGATCAAGTTTCACAAATGTTGGTCCTTCTTCTTGACATCAGAATACAAAAACGGTAGCAGTTTCAAAGAGCAGCTTCCTATTTCTGGGGAGAAGGGAAGGTAATGTCTCACTTCTGCTTATCGCCAAGGCACAATCACAATATAGTCTACATTCTTCAGAATTGCTGGGACTTCAACTTCTTATATTTCAAAAGAGCATCCAGTTATAGACCCCAAATTCCAGGAAGGCACTTCACAGATAAAGATGCCATCTGTGTTTTATACATTCCACTCAGAGATCCTATATAATGCCAGCAGCAGCGTTCTGAATTTAGCATCAGAAGGGGTACATTTTTTTCTAGATAGTTGTATTTTTCTTCCAATTCAGATTCAAATCCCGAGTCATCACTGCTTTTTCTAGGATCTCAAAAGCTGCACGGTATGGGAAAGTTGAATGCTTCAGAAAATCCTTCAAAACAAGCACTGCACAAGTTTTATGATTAACGACGAAGAATCACAAATGTCTTTATAATGCAAGGCAGAGACTGGGCTATATACTCCCTTAAAAAAAAAAGCTAATATTTATTTATATAAACAGTAAGACTTTGGAGGGGGAATCGTTTCATCCAAGCAGATTGGCTTATGAAGGCACAGCTGATTTGAGATGGAATTATCGTAACTGCATAAATAAAAAAGTGAGTGATTCCTCTGACCCAATAAGAATTTTATACCTTTTGGCTTGGTTCATTCAATAAGCAACATATCTCAATTTTGCCTAAAGACTCTTATGGGCCAGGTAGCTGAAAAATTAGTTCCATCTTTCCTTCCGCTGATCATCTGGAACAACCTATGTTTTTCATTTTTTCCTCTTCCATTGCCACAGAAGTCTGTTTCTTTGAGGTAAAGGAGTTACTTCTCAAACACTGCAGCAGTTTTTGGTGAGCGAAGACTTTTTTACTGTTGTCCCAGCCAGCTTAGTGACTGTTTTATCATCATCTTTGCTATCGCTTCTTTTTCGCACTTCTCTGAAAAACAATAGTTTGTTTGATCAGATAAAGCATTTTCAAAGGAAAATTATCCTGCTTTATTGTGAGCATTTGCTGAATAACAGTAAAGGTTCGTGAATGTTGTGTATTGATACAGTTTGCTTTCACCGTATATACCGAACATGAATAAATAAAATATTTTATGTGAATTAATGCTATTTACAGTGCTTAGTTTAATGGCAAACATAATACAAGACATACTGTCAAGAAGAGGTGTTTACATAATAAGCTTCAATCTTGAAGTCATTATGACACATCCCAATTTAGCATATTTTCCCTCTCTCTGGACATAACTCCCAGAGAAAATCCAAATTATCATCTATAGAGTGCACTAAAATGGAACTGTGGAAGGAAGGTTGCCTATGAACTGTGATTTGAGTAATAAATTAGTACTAGCAACAATATGCCGTGATTGTGAGAAGGTAGCTATTCTCTGCAGTATCTAGATCAGGGGTCCTCAAACTTGGCCACTTTAAGACTTGTGAACTTGCCAGTGCTCACTGGAGTGGATGCCTTGCCTGGTCTCAATGCTACCAACTCTTACATCAGGGGTCTTCAAACTTGGCCCTTTTATGACTTGTGGACTTCAACTCCCAGAATTCCTCAGCCAGGCATGCTGGCTGAGGAATTCTGGGAGTTGAAGTCCACTAGTCATAAAAGGGCCAAGTTTGAAGATCCCCTGTCTTATATACTTAGCCCCAGGAAATAATGTTCTTGAGCTGCAGCTTTCCTCATACCTAATTGGATTCACTAACAGCAGTGATCCACTTTTACTTCATGAAGTTAATTGTGCAAGGGAACAGCTCCTGATAGTCTTATCTGATCCTTCTGAATTAAACATGAAGGAAGAGAGCAGAGACCTTTCTCCTGAATGAAGAAAGAGAAGGTAGTTTGTGCAGTGACATTCACCAAGGGCAGCCTTTGATAGCCCCTGAAAAGCTGGAATTGGTCTTGAAACTAGGAAGAAAAAACACAACTGTACACATACCAAGCTATTCATTCCACCTATTCCAGTTTACACAGGACACTAAATGTACATTTTAAAAAATGTGTAGCACTGAACAAACATGGCTTTTTATGGCCTCTGAACATACCGAGCAAGATGAAGCACTGCCTCAACAATATTAGAGCCGTCTTTAGCACTTGTTTCACAGAATAGTGCACTGTAAGCCTAAAAGGTTAAAAAAATAAATAAATCAAAAGCATATTAATTACATTCATGGAAATTCAATTCAAAAAATGATTAAAAGACAAAGCTGAAAATAAAATAACTAATTGCTTTTATTCAATATGATACCTTCCAAATGTTCTCGACATCAACTTTCATCATTTCCAGTTACTATGGAAGCTGAAAATTGCAGAAGTTGATGTCCAAAATTTCTGGAAGTACCATAGGATGAAATATTGCATTTAACAGCTGTTGCTTTCCAAATGTTTGCTAACACCCACTGAACTACAATATCAATAGCAATTTTTTTAAAATCAAGTTCTTATACATTGTCTGAACCTCAAGGATTCAACTTCTAATGATTCAAGCTTTTATTTCAATATATGATTCTACTTTCAATATTGTCTTTTTTTTATTTTCGCAAGCTATTGGAACCCATCATTCTTACCATGGCCAACTTTTCTCCATAGTTGAGAGGTACGCATTTTAGTCCTTCTTCAGAAGCCATCTCACGAAGATCTGATTTGTTTCCCACCATCATGATTGGGATATTTTCATGTGTGGCATCCTACAAAGAGTAGAACTTTAAAGCTGGGGGCTTCTGATGTTAAATCCGAAATACAGATTTTAATGGTCTCATGTATCAAAATACTTTTTATTATTATTAGAAATTTACCCTGCTTTTGATTAGCTTCAATAAGAAAAAACTGTTGGAATACTGTATCACAGGGGTCCTCAACCTTGGCAACTCCCAGAATACCTCAGCCTTGCTTTGCTGGCTGAGGAATTCTGGCAGTTGAAGTCCACAAGTGTTAAAGTTGCCAAGGTTGAGGACCCCTGCTGTATCGTATGTTTTAATGTATATTTATTTGTTAAATTTCTCACATCTCACAAGAAGTGACTCTAGGCAGCGTATAGCAAAAAAACCCCAAAACAATAAGCATGTCAAAACCATCATATTAAAGGGGTTTTTTAAAGCATAAAAACACCACAAGAAATTAGATAAGCAAGGGAGCCATCTTAGGATCTCACCAGTCCCTAGGCCTGATGAACATAGCCAGGCCTTGAGGGACTTCCAGAAAACAAATAGGCATGGAGCTAACCTCATATTTAGCACAGGTAGTCCTCAGCTTATGACCACAATTGAGCCCAAAGTTTGTTGCTAAGCGAAACATTTGTTAAGTGAATTATGCTCCATTTTACAACTTTCTTGCCACAGTTATTAAGCGAATCACTGCAGTTGTTAAGTTAGTGACACGGTTGCTAAGTGAATCTGGCTTCCTCGTAGACTTTGTTGGTCAGAAAGTCGCAAAAATGTGATCATACGACCTTGGGACACTGCAACCATCCTAAAGATGAATCAATTACCAAACATCTGAATTTTGATCACTTGACATGGAGATGCCGCAACGGTTGTGTGAAAAACGGTCATAAGTCACTTTTTTCAGTGCAGTTAGAACTTTGAACGGTCGTTAAATCAACTGTTGTAAGTTGAGGACTACCTGTACTGCAATACACTGAATCTGAATCATCTCAAACCATTAATAACATTTAAAACACAAGCTCCCTTAAAAGGTTTTGTAAGATTCAAAACAACCTTACCGCTATCATATCCACCCATTCTCGTACGTTAAGAAAGCTTTTTTCACAGGTAACGTCGTACAGTAGTAGCACTCCGTCTGCTCTTCTAAAGTAAGACTTAGCAATACTTCGGAACCTTTTTTTAAAAAAAAAAAGTTAAAATTTGCTGTAGTTCTTCTATTCCACATTGTTCTGTGGAGCAGGTTAAGTTCAGCAGATTAAAGTCAAACATCTGATCCATAAGCAGGGTAGGAAAGAAATTAAGATGGTAAAGGCTGCATTACATACCCTTTAAATTGGTGACAGTAATCTAGTGGCAATTTAGGATTAGTTTGAACTTTAAAGAGCCAGTGCTTTAAGAGTCCAATGGGCCACTACTATTCAAGACCAGGTGTAAATACCAGGTGTCCTGTAATTGCTCCAGAGTAAACTTTCTTACCATTGTCTGGAGCTAGTGGAAGCTGAAATTCAAAGTATCTACATGTTGTTCAATTTTAGGGCGTTTTCTAAGGCATTCTAGGGCAATTTTCCTTAACCTGGCATTCTCCAAAATGTACTAGACTTCCTGACATTGTTATAAAGATTCTAATATCGCCAACGTAGAGGACAGCATCCAAACATAATTTTCTTATACAAAACTTTTATTTTTATCTCAAACAAAATCAGGTAAATTTAACTAACCTCTCTTGACCAGCAGTATCCCAAAGCTGTAGCACAGTAGGTTCTCCATCAACAATGAGTCTCTTCATTTGAAAGTCAACCCCTTAAAATAAATAACATCTTTTAATGCACTGCATTGCCATCTTTTAATTCAGTGAAGGTTAAGAATCTGGAATTTATCTGTAGGATTAAACCTAAAAATATAATCAGGGTTAAATAAGTGAGTATTACTGAGAATTCTGAGGCAAGAACAGGAGCTTGCCCCCCCCTCCCCGCACAATGCTTCGATCTTGAACTGCCAACCTTCCAGTTGACAAGTCCAACGTCTAGATGACAAAACAATATAATGAAGTAAAGAACTAAGTTGCACCATCTGGCTGTTTGTCTGCTTCCAAATATGAGAAATAATTTCCCCCTCACAGAATTAAGTCTTTGACTCTGCTTCCAACAGATGACATTTGTCCATCAGCGTCCTAGGTCCGGAGATCAATAAAATCACTGTCCTGGCAATGTTACCACTAAAGGAACAACTGAAAATGGAAGTGCTCCTTTTGACAGATATTTGAGATTTCAACATTTCATTTTCATGTGCATGTAGGTTCTGGAAGAAGGCTAAACCTGGGCTGCTAGTTATTGTAGCTTGAAGTTAGGAAACATGGAAAAAAATGTGGGGGGGGGAAGACAGAGGGGGAAAAAGTGGTCTGGGAATAAGCATTAAATGCCAGTTTAAGAGGCATGCTGTGGAAGGAATTCAAGGAATTTCAGCTGATGGGGTCCCAGAGAAGAGCCTTTTCTGCCTTGGTCCTGCCCTTTGGAACATTGTGCCCCTCGCCAAGATGAGAGCCACACCCACCCTTTTGACCTTCCATAAGGGACTAAAGATCTGGCTCTGCCAATTGGCCTGGGGTCCCAACGGAGATGTATCACTCTGGAGGTTGCCCACTGGATTACAAAAGACCCCATCTCTCCCTGTGTACTTTGTGTTTGCCTCCTCCCTATCTTTTAATGGTTATGTATTTATTATTGTTATTTTTTGTTTTATTTTATTTTTTATTAGTTCTAATGTTTGTATACCGCCCAGAGATATGTCTGCATGAGATAGGCAGCAGAGAAAGAAAGAAAGAAAGAAAGAAAGAAAGAAAGAAAGAAAGAAAGAAAGAAAGAAAGAAAGAAAGAAAGAAAGAAAGAAAGAAGGGAGGGAGGGAATTTACTTTATCTAACTATCTGAAAAAGTCAGATAAAGCTTTCCAGAGTCACTGGAAACTATGGGTACTAATTAGCATGGACAATCTCAAGAAAGAACAAATCAGGAAACATAAAGGGAGACATCAGCCTGGTGATTGGAAGGAAGGAAGGTAAGGTTAATGACTGTTCTTCCTTGTCATACTACAATTTAAACACAAAAATCATGATGACAGGGATCTTTGCAATCTGAAAAGTTCTGTTCTTAACATGAAAGCAGTTGCTGATGCAACATATATTATCAAAGATTTAACCCTAAATACAAATGTTGATATGGCAAGTATTATAGACACCTGGTTAAAAAGGAACTGGGGATTCGTTTCTCTCTAATTGGATGTTGTGTTAATAAATTAACAATTTCATTTCTGCACATTTTTAATAAAAAATATGTGTGCAGAACAATCTATCAAAGCAAAGTTTATACTATCTACGAAGTTTGGCTTTTCCATTTACAGTATAGGCAATAACAGCACTGAGCAGAATGGCAAAAAGTGTGAGTTGAAAAGAATTTTATAGGGCATCTAGTCTAATCTGCTGCTCAGTGTAGGAATCCAGTAAATCACTCCCAACAACTGAACATTTAATGTGCACTGAAAACTCCAACAAACTGAAATCCACCACTGTCCAGCAAATTGTTCCAGTGTTCTATCAGGAAATTCTCACCTCTTGTATCAAAGTAATGTAGTGTCAAAATTTATATTCCAGTTTTAGTCTAATGTGTTTTTTTCTTTTTTCTTTTTTGTAATCTTACTCTTGGGATGTTCAGCAATTTTTTTTACAACATTTTGGATACAACATTTAAATTTATATTATTAAAGTGGTGGAGGGTACTTCTGCTATCCTTGTTTTGGGGAAAGGGCCTAACTATATCTTTATCTCTCTGTCACTTTACTGTCTGCCCTTTTCCCTTTAACTTCAACGGAAGTTTTGAGATAGGTCAGGACAAAACCACATATGATGTCTTAAGGTCCGTGGAAGAAGTTGAATGTAGAGGGGACTGAAAGATAAGCTATTATAATCAAACATGGTGTCTATATTTTGAGGGGACAAATATCCTCAAAACTCATATATTAGCTCAGGCAGTTATGGGTGCCATAGAAAAAGAAAATATAAAAACCATACCCAGGGTTGCACTGGTGTTCCCTCGAAATTCATTTTTGCAAAGCCTCATAAGAAAGCTAGATTTCCCAACAGCTGCATCCCCAGCAAGAACTATCTTGTAGGCCTTCTCTGAGCTTGGGTATCTGGAGTTGCTGTGTACAGAATCAACCTAATATAACAAAACATGTATCATATTGACAACTTAAAATAATACTGAGCTTTGATTCAGTAATCTTATTTTTAAAACACATCAGGCTGTCAGTGCTAAGTCTGGAACACTGGAGCAACAAATAGCATCTGTATGTATGTACACACAGTTAATGGGTTATAGTGATCGTCTTCATCGCTGAAGACTAGCATAATAAAAATAATTCATCAGACATCATTGGGATGGGAGTGAAAATGACAACACAAATATTGCAATGTCAATATTGCAACACTTTCTATAAATCCAATAGTAAAGTACAATTTAGAATACTGAAAACTATACAGCTTCCTACTTAACTAAAGTTATCAAAGAAATAAATGGAGGATGTCAATCAAAGCCTTTTTAAAAGTGGTAGTATGACAGACGCTCATACAGAAATTAACAAGTTAGAAAAATTAGAATTGGTTTTCATCTGCAGTAAATTCTCTAATCTAGCCATACTGTGTTTGCTAGTTTTCTGCCAAGTCAAACTGAGAAACTGAACTAAGGATTAAGTGCCTGGAGATGTGTAATTTACTGTTGAGCTCAGAGATGAAGTTTGTCAGAACTCTGGGAGGTATATTCTCAACATTTTTAGAGCAGCGGTTCTCAACCTGTGGGTCGCGACCCCATTTGGGGTCAAACGACCATTTCACGGGGGTCACCAAACGCAGTCCGCCATTTTTTTCCCTTTTCCTTAGCTGTGCTACTCCCTTTTATTCTATTGACTTTTGAAAGCCAATAGAATAGACTCTATTCAAGACACTCTATTCTATTGGCGTTCGAAAGCCAATAGAATCTTTTGGATTTCGAAAGCCAATAGAACAGACTCTCTCCCTGCTGAGCCCGCCAAAAATCCCAGTCTGCAAACGGTGCTGCAAGTTGTCTGCAGCTAAGGTGAGCTTTCTGGACGTTTCCACCCCTCCCTGCTGAGCAAGTTGCTGGGCGACAGCCTGCGTGCACCCTCGGCCTGCCCAACGTGCACTCCAGCCGCAGAAGAGAAGGCGGAGCATGCGCGCCTCCTCCTGCCCCGCCCGCAGGGAAATACAGGTAGTCCTCGACTTACGACCACATGGTTGGGGGTCGCGGCATTAGGAAGGTTGAGAACCACTGTTTTAGAGGATACCAAACAAAGAAGATTGACCTAGTGGATCTCTGACAGATTTTAAAGGAAATTTATGTCTGGTGATTTCTGGATTTACTAATTAAAAATGAGGTGTTTATGGGAAGAAGGGAACCAAGATAGGCAATTTATAAAGGTGGAGATGGTGACTATTATGTCTATAACTGCTGCAAAGAAAATCAGAAGTTATTTCTTTAGATATCTTTTTTTTTGTCTTTTGCAGTTTCTCATTTTTTATTTTACATCATTTTTCATTTTTCTGTTTTTTTCTGTTTAAGTAATTAGTTTTTTTTAATTCTGTGAAAATGTTTCTTTCAATAAAAATGATGTTAAAAGTATTTCATGTCTTATAATGGATTATAAAAATATCATAAAGTCTATTTTTATATTAGCATAACATGCCTAAAATCACTGGAGGACTTTTTTGTTTCGCTTAAGTTTTTAAATTTAAGTTATAAAGGACTTTCAAAGATAAAATTTCAGGAAACTCAGCTACATAACAAGATAACAAGCACACCCTTCCTGAAGATTTCACTGAGCTTTGTAAATAATAATCTGGTAGTCAATAAAATCAGTGAAGCTTGCATCTAAATAAGCATCCATAGTACCGGATGCTTATGCTAAACAAGCTTGTTTGGTTCTGACAATGTATTATACTATGAATCTCGTTATAGTTATTTATTCAATAAAATATGGCTCAGGATAATGTATCACCAAAAGAATAACATGATTAGTTCTTCACTGCAAAAGAAGCTTCAGATTTCCATCAGCTGCTCCTTCATGCCATACAGAAAATGCCTTTTGACAGTAAAAAAATAGTGAAAAATGAAATGGCATACAGGAAGAGAATGAAGAATCTGAGCTTAAAAGTGTCAAGGATACCCACTGTATACAAGATAGATAGCCTTTATTGTCATTTTTTTTACTGTGGGCACACTGGTACACATTAAAAATGAAATTTTGTTGCCTGTTCTCAAAAGTGTACACATACACAGCACACTTAAAAACATACTATATACATACATATGTATATGCCTACACCTTTACATATAAATACATATAAATATTAATCACTGTCCATCTTGAATACATAGCGGAAAGAGAAAGCTTGAGAATTCACAAGGTTAATACTGTATGGAACAAAACTGTGACTGAATCTGGATGTTCTGCTGCAGGTAACAAGGAAAACAGGCCATGAAGAGGGTGTGTAACGTCCCAGACAATCCTGTGGACCCTGCTCAGGCAACGCTTATATGCTATGTCCTGGATAGAAGGAGAGAACTGCCAATAATCTTTTTTGCCATCCTCACCACTCTCTGCACCACCTTCCTGTCTGATGTAGTAATACTTCCAAACCAGACTGTAATGCAATATGACATTTTGGTTGTTCTGAAGGAACAACTAATCTCAGCCATCGTGCCTTTAAGAGTAAACATGGCACTCTATAGTTAATACCTGTGGAGAGATTGCAGGAATGTGTTTCCTTGTTGAAATTCCAGAACTGCTTTGACTGATTGATTGGTTGGGCTTCCAGTGCATTATTGTATTTATATCATCAGAACTGTATACCTCTTCATCTCGTATGTCTGGGACCTGCAGAAAACAAGAAGTGTAACTAACCTACCCTGGAAAACACTTGTTAATGAAAGCAAGGGGAGGGAGGGAGGGAGGGAGGGAGGGAGGGAGGGAGGGAGGGAGGGAGGGAGAAAGAGAGAGAAATCAATCTACTGCCATAATCCAGTTTGACTCTCAGTTGATACATGTCATAAACAATTTTTTTTTCATTTGTATGGGTAGCATTCCCCTTGGAGAAGTGGAGTAAATTCTTCCACTATCCCACGCCATCTATTAAAATTCTAGACAGTCTCTTTACTGTAGATTAATATGGATATATTTTTTATTATATCATTCTTCAGGATGGGATATAATGGATAAATAAGCAAGCATGCACTCTTCCCCCAAAACTCTGTGAAGAATAACCACAGAAATAATGAGGTCAAATAACCCCATTAAACTTAAAACCTGCAATTCCTCTATATATATTTAAATTCACAAGTATTTCTATCTCATATGAGGTTTTAGTTCACTTTCTTGACAAGCAGGAAGTGATTTTGCTTTTAAACACCAATCTGAACATTTTAAATGTATGGTTAACACACTCAATAGCTTACGTCTGTGTCAGAAGCATCACCCGGGAAGCTTTCCTGCAGACACTGTGTTCTCTGAGACGTTCTTTGATGCTTGGATTCCACTTCTGAATCATATTCATTTGAATCTCTTAATGTAGACAAGCCGCTATCAAAGCAGCTTTCAGGCAAGCTGTCAACTTCACAGTTTGTCCTCTGCATTGGATCACAAAGTGCGAGGGAATCATACTCTTCATCCACATAGGATGAATGAGACAGCCTGATTGGGACATAAGGAGAAATAATTTTTGGAAAGGCAATGCAATGTAAGGTTCAAACCCACTCCCAGCCATGAAAACTTAGGCTTTGAGGCAGTCACTCTTTAAACCCAGCCTACCTTGTTAGATGATCATTCAATTCCACTAGAGAGCAGCATAGGGTAGGCGACCAATGCTGCATATTAAAGTTATCATAAACCTATAGTAAGGGTGTCCACTCCAATCTTGGCAACTTTAAGACTTGTGGACATGCTGGCTGGGGAATTCTGGGAATTGAAGTCCACAAGCCTTAAAGTTGCCAAGGTTGAACACCTCTGCACTATAGGAAACCTACAGATTGCTATTAGTATCTACTTGCTTCTAGTTTCCATCTTGAGCACACAACCAACTGTATCATGTATAGCCAGGTTTACACCACATTTGTTCTTGACGGAGATGCTTGACTATGGAATTAAACTATGCATTCTGAAGACTAAATTACTTCAACAGGTCAACAGATAAATCTATAGATCCAGATTGATTCCAGGAAGAATCTAATAAAAGAAGACAAAAAGACACCACTACAACTCACACCATTCAAATACTCTCTTGTTCTCTCCAGTCTAGTCCAGTCCAGTCCTAATTTAAAACCTACACCAATCTGGTCATTCCACTGCACTGCAGCAATCTGTCTTTCAACTTCTAGTAAGTTTTTATGGAAGATTAGTAATACCAATTGGCTCTTATCTGTGTGGCGCAAATAATGAACAGACAAGACTGCTGGCTAATCCAAATCAGCTTTCCACACCTAAATCAGGTTCTTCAGAGGAAGAAACGAACCACCAGAGATGGAAATGTGATGAACTCAGATAAATCCATGTATTGAAAATACAAACTGTAGACTCAGAATTTGCTCAGGGACATCCCATTATTTAACCACGCACAACAATAAAAACTAGCTTTTATCAAGTGACAATAATTAATCAGTGGAACAGGTTGCCTCCGGAAATTGTGGGCGCTCCATTACTAGAGGTTTTCAAGAAGAGAATGGATAGCCATTTGTTCTGAAGGATATAGGATCTCCTGCCTTGGACAGGTGATTGAACTAGAAGACCTCTAACATCCCTCCCACCTCTATTATTCTATGTTCTAGAAGATCATCAGATATTATTTCAACCCTATCTTGGATTGTCAGAGATTGAACATGAGAATGAATCTACCCTTATCATGAAGATCTTCTAGAAAAAGAAATGAATTTGAAAGGTAGAAAACTGCTTGACTCCGTCTTTAGAATATGACTGAAAACATATATCCAGTTTTTCAAATTTTAAAGATGATCAATTCTACCTGTCATATTGTAGATTTTGGGGAGAATGGCCACCAACACATTTGGGACTGCTTCTGGACATTGTGTTTCCAGGAGAAATATTTGTTAGACGCTGGAAAATACACACATAAATTAGAAAGGTTTTCAGAAAACTTGAAAAAAGTTGGTTTAAGATCATCTCTTTATCAACCAAAACACTTTTCTTGATTACAGTTATTTCAATTTTGGAAAATTTAAAACAAAAACATGTGGAATCATTATGTGCCTAATTTGGGGGAGATATAAATGAAGCATCTCCTTGTTATATTGGTTTCTCAAAAATAATTTGTCTTATGAAATAAAAAATAATTCTATATGTCCTACTTTAATAGAGAAAAATACAAAACTATAAAATAAATAAACAATATTAGATGAAATAACCAAAACTTTTTCTCAAGAATTCTAAATAATTCGGTGTGTCTTCTTTCTAAATAGGCACAGAATTATCCTATCAAAGTATATACGTTCAGAGAAAGCCCCATTATTTCCAGGTTAAAAAGCACAGGATTGTTTTGATACAAATCCAGAAGGTTATTATATTTCAGTGACTCCAATGTAGGTATTTTATTAATAAGCCCAAAACAAAAATAGTGATCTATTAATTAATATATAATCAATGACATGTTGAATGTACAATTTTCAAACCTACCAGTGATCTGTTGTATATGCTCCAACTATTCTCTAATGCACTTCTTAAGCCATCATTACTGTCATGTAGTTTCCTGTTAGCTGACCTAAAATCAAAACAGAGGGGGGGAAATTGCCTTACAAGATCAACCCTGGCACTTGCAGTTTAAGTTGGTGTTAAGAAATTCAACAAAAATAAGAGAATAAAAGGGGTTCCATGTACACCTTCAGTAAAGGTTAGGAAAATGGCAGAATGGTTTGATAAATGCCTTTCTGCCTATCTATCTATATGTGTATCTTTCTGAGTCAGTTTTCACTTCCTGGAGTTTTCTTGGTGAGATTTTGAAAGCAGTTTGCCACTGCATGCTTCCTAGGGCTGAGAGAGAGTGAATGGCCCAAGGTCGCCTAGCTGGCTTTTTACAGGGCTAGAACTCACACTCTTCCAGTTTCCAGCTTGAATCCTTAACTGCTACACCAGTGTTTCTCAACCTTGACAATTTTAAGGCATGTGGACTTCAACTCCCAGAATTCCACAGCCAGCAACGCTGGCTGTGGAATTCTGGGAGATGAAGTCCACATGCCTTAAAATTGTCAAGGTTGAGAAACACTGCACTACACCAAAATGGCTCTCTATCAGTGTTAATACACTATATTTAGTCTTTATAATAGTTATCATATGTGTGGATACCACTGACCCCAAAGCAGGGAAAAAAATAATTACTACTATAATCACAAAGACTCCATGTTTACCTATTTGAGAAGGGTCAAAGAACTACTGGTTTTTCATTCCCCACTCCACTAACTTTTTGCCAGTCTGAAGGTTCACAAGGTCCCAATCCAAATTAACAGGAGGAGAAATCAAAGTACTGCAGATGCACGATAAGATATTACCCCCAAAAATGAGAATCTTCATTTTAAACACTATCAAGATCCTTTGCATCACCCTTCCCAATTCTGAAATCCTCCATGTATCTTAGGTTACAACTTTCATCATTTGCAGATAATTTGACATGTGATGGGAGTTGTAATTCAGATCTAGAGGACATCAGGTTAGGAAGGAATGGCATAGTTATCAAAGCATTAAAATGCATAAGGTAGTAAAACAATTTATGACAGTGATTGCTCTGAGCAGTTTGCTGCAACTAAATTTGGATTTTTGTCTGTATATGAACCTCAGCCTGTACAAATTAAAGAACTTTGAAGCAGCAGAATTAATTGTATTATTTCACAAGCCAGTTGAGGGTGGGGAGCCCACTTTTTAATGTTCTCCCATATTTCAAACCAAATGCTTTGAAATCCAAAAGCTATCACAGCAAACTTTGAAAAAAGCAAAAACCTCACGGAATGCTTCCATGAAAATTCAGTATAGAAGAGGAAACAAAAAATGGCATTTATTTCTAAAATAAATATTAGGCCTCTGCAATGCTCAAGAATGAATTTTGAAGAATGTTTTGGCATGTGTGGGGACTTAATCTACATGCCTCATTAAAGCAGCTTTGCCAAGATTGCAGTTGAAGAAGAAGCCTTCCCACAGTCTCTATGCAATAAGAAAATAATGTGGATACTTTAATGAGTCACAAGCAGGCTGACTTCACAGTGCAAAGCACCTCTTCAAGAGAATAGACAGCTGCAATAACATCCAGTACTTATATGGCACCACAAAGACCGCAGAGTAAAGTCCAAGTAAGTTATTCCAGAAGGGTTATTTCAAAGTGGAGAAGGCTGATTCTAGGTATAAGCCACCTTAGCAGTCATGTGTTCTTGGAGCAAAGCCTCCAATAATTAATTACCTTAGTTCTCAGACAGAATTATTTAATTCAAACATCTATTTTACTGCAGACCAGTTCAATTCTTCCAAGAACATTCAGCCAGGTATTAGTGGTATAAATAAGCATATTATATTATGTTATACTGTATTTTCAGGTACTTTGAACCAACATCTTAATGTAATATTAAAATGTTACACTACATGTAATGTAATAACCACTGTTTTAATTGTTTAGTTTTATAGTTTTAATATGGTTTTATATATTGTGTTAAATTGATTAGAAGATGGGCAGCTAGATGCATGTTTTAAATAAATATGTCCTTTTGGAAAGGAACATACAAATAAATAAATAAAATGCAGAGAACTATGGCTCCTTTAGAGTTCAGTGACCTAAAAACCTGTAAGATTATAGATTTTGGTCAGGAGAGGTATAAAAATTAAAAATAAATAAAAATTATTAAATTTTATTTCTGAAGAAAGATCTTATCAATTTCCTATAATACCAAATACAGCTTAATACTGTGACTATGTTTTATCTACCAGATAGGCTAATTAAAATATAGATCAGGGAACTGGAGACACCTTTCACAAAAAAAAAAAAAGAAAAGAGAGAGAGCTGTTCTTTAACAGAAAAAAAGAGAGTTGTTCTTTTCCTCATTGGAGATCGTAATTTCCGAATATCAAAATTTATAAATGAAAACACTTTAAAAAGAGAATTATTTAGCAGCTTACTGTAATATTGCTATCTGCCTCTCCAAGCTATCTCTGTCTTCAGTGTACTCTCTGATCATGTCTAGATCTCTGCAAAGACAATAGTTTAGGGAAATTAATTTGGTTTTTTACCAACAATAACTTACTATGTATCTGTAGAGATATTCCCTTACCTTTCTGAATTCAAACTTTGATCTGCAATATCACTTTTTAAAGTATCTAATTCACTCTGAAGAAAAGCTATATTTGTCTGTGCTTCCATAAGATCTTTTTTAAGTTTCTGGTTTTCCTAGAAACAGAAATTTTTAAAATGAAACATTCAAAAATAGTAATTTATGCAGTAATGATTTATGAAATTAAACATATTTTTAGTATTATTTGAATGGCTACTTTAATCAATTATTTCACCAACCTGTGAACTACTTGAATAGTCACAGTTTAAAATAAAAGGATTAATTATTTCTGCACTGGTTTTCCATTTGTACCCAAACTGTTTTCCCCCAAAATATGTTTGTAGCTTTTCCAAACTTCCTAGAATGGTATGTACAAGGTCACAGAATCTATAAGAATTCCATCTCACTGTTCAACATATCTGCATCTAAGGTTCAATCTGTATTTTATTGTTACACAAACTACATGCCTAGAAACTTTTTTTTTCTCTCCTTAAAATTCTATTTGTTCATTTAAACTCCCTGACAGTTCAAGAAAATATCAAATTTTACCAAGCCAGAAGAGGCAACAAAAATACTAATTATGTTGAGACTGATAGACTAAATGAAGAAATTTTAAGTAAGTCATACCAAGATCAGATCATGTATCCTTCTTTTTAATACTGCCAAATCTTCTTTGTGATTAATGTTTTTAGATTGTTCCTCAAGCTGTAAACAATAAAGAAAGCATAAAAGTTATAACAATTTTTTTCTGACTGCTTCAGTACAATGCAAAGGGAATCAAACCTTTCATAAAAATACTCAAGAACTTAACTGTTTTTTTTTACTGGTTATTTGATGGCAACTTTTAAAACTAGCAAACTAATAACTTGTAACAGTACTACACTATTAAACTAGTCATTAACTTCCTGAGCTATTATCATCAGTACAAATAATTTATGATGTGTAGCACTAAAGAACAAAGAACTATTGCATTAATAAATGAAAAATTAAAATAATAACTGGAAAGTTAAGAACTAACTAATCTTCAATCTACAGACAGGTTTCTCAATCTGCCAACAAAAAGAATTCCCGCTCATTTTAGGCTATAAGCTAAATCCTTACTTTCAAACTGACCAAAGTCTATTTAGATTTAACAGGTATTTTGATCATTCAAAAACATAATTCTCAAATATTGTTATTATTAGGGAAGTGAGTAACCAAAAGACATGTGAATATGTGAAGTTCATTTTTCAATAAGATGAAAGTCTTCTTGTCTGCTTAATGCTTCAAAGATAGCAGAATATTTACAGAGAATCGGGCCTGGATCTATTTAACTATACACTGTTCACCACATATTGAGTATGTACACACCATTTTTAATTTTTTTATTGTCACTTGGAGATCCCCCACTTCGGTTTCATATTGACGCTTGAGATCATTCAAAGCTTCTTCTGCTTTACGCTTCTCCTGAAACATTTTACACATTTATTAAATTAGAAATGGCAGACTTAAGCAGTTTACACTGCATTCTAATTCAGCAGAACATGTATCTGCTCTAATTATACAGTCAAAAAATATTTGGCCAGTCTTAAAGCATTCAGATACAACTAGACTTGCATAAAGGTTTGCTATAATATGTTTCATGCCTCTGCCACCTGGAAATAAACACAAAGCATATACTCTAGAGCAGGGGTGTCAAACACACAACGTCACGTGACGCGTCACGACGTATCGTGACTTCTTCCCCATTGCCGGAGCTGGGGTGGGTACGGTTTCAGCATGACACATCTGGCCCATGGGCCGGCAGTTTGACACCCCTGCTCTAGAATAATTATTAGCACGCAAAGCACTGTTTGACTGTGTTACAAGTCAGACTTGCTTCGGTGAAAGCTATGTGCTAATAAAATTTGTGGTTCAGAACTATCCCACAAAGTAAATATCACAGCAATCTTTCATTTACATTTGAGGCGTCTTTCTTTTTAACAGTACATTTCTGAAGAACAGAGTAAGATAAGCAGAATTTCAAGAATGATAAGCAAACTACATTATTATAGGCTGTTCTTAGTATTTAGATGGCAATTAATACACAAAAAATACCCATTTACACTTTGCTATTGTTTTATCAAATACCAACCCATTCCTTAGTACAGTCAAAAATGTCCATTGCACACACATTACTTGCAAGTTTGTTTTCCCTTCTCTAAAAACAAGTTTTCCTCACTCCACAGGACAAAAACAATATTTTTGAAACTCAGGGATACTGCAAAAGCAAATTATATTCAGAACCAAGGTTATAACTACTGTATACTATTGCTATTAGTTGTCGACAGCCACATAAATTGGTTTAACTAGAATTTATTTAATTTGTTTGGTTCATACAATATATTGAACTATAAACCATATTTTGCAAACTTTACTTCAAACCCTATTTTAAAATCATAATATAACAGGGTAGCATGTGAATTCTATTAGAATCTCTTGCTTATTTTGAGAGATAGGGCAAATACTCAAAACTAAACCCAGAATTTTGCCTTCATTTTTTCCTGTATTTTTCATATGTCAATTGTTTGGAGGAATAAATGACACTGTGCATGGGTGTCCACAGAAGTTTCCCTCATTTGTCAAAATGACAAAAACAGCAGCTTATCACAAGCTTCACCCCTTAGGCATGCATAGTGTCACATGCACAAAAGAGGAGTGCCTTTTATCGTATCAGTACAACATGGTTTTTGCTCCTTAATTTAGTTCACCTGTAGATTCTTCCCTACTGTGTTCTGATTTTTTTTATTAAAAAAGTTTTTATTTTCCATTTATTCATACAAAATACAATTAACCATTGGTACCGCCTGCCCATTCCCCCCAGGCTGCGTCCACCCTCTCTAAACCTTCCCTACTTCCCTCCTCTTTCTCTCCTCCCCTCCTACTCTCTTCACCTCCCCATCTCCTCTAACCATCCTACTTCCTCCCTACTCCTTCCTCCCCTCTCATCCCTCTCACTACTGTGTTCTGATTTGAAGAAAAAAAATTCTCAACCAATTCTGCTTAATCTATTTTAACATCTTGGTTCTTCTAACTAAAAAAACAGTTTTAACAACATCGTGATCAGATTTCTTATCCATAAGACATAAAAGCCTACTATTTATGGCTCCTTAAGTATACTAAATAGTTTTAATTAATAGAAGGAATACAACTCACTAGTAAAGGTGGAATAATGAAGTAGTAATCTAAATTGACAACAGGGGTTGTATGAAAGAAATCTTCCAAGAATACAGAGATGTCCTAGGACAGGGCTTTTCAACCTTTTCACCCATTGTACCACTTTTACGATATGGCAACATCCGAGTACCACCAGTCGCCTAGCAAGGTGTCAAAAACTTGATGACCAAAAAAAAAAAAAAGGAAAAAAGTGATAAAGTACAAGTAGTCCTCAACTTACAACAGTTCACTTAGTGACTGTTTGAAGTTACAATGGCACTGAAAAAAGTGCCTCCCAAGCCACAGACGAGCAAGACACCTGCCTGCCCGCCCAGCGGCACTCTTCCTCCTGTCTGAGGTTTTCATTGTTGTAAGCATTTCTGTTGAGGATTGGCAGCGGGGATGGGGTGGGGGTGTTTGGTTTTTATTCCCCCCATCTGCTGGGTAGTTGCAGCAGGTTTTGGTCACTTCACATGGCCCTGGGACACTGTGATTGTCATAAATATAAATCAGTTGCCAAGCATCTGAATATAAATCACAAGACTCTGGAGATGCTGCAACATTCCAGCTGATCAATGCTTCTTCTGGGCTCAGCAGAAGCACCAGGAGCCTGGCACTGATCCTGGCGCTTCTGCTGAGCCCTGACAGCCCTGAAAAAGCACCGATCAGCTGGAAAGGGGCACTGATCCTGGCGCTTCCGCTGAGCTCGACAGCCCTGCAGCTCCAGCCATCTCTCAGACTTGTGCAGTGCTGCCACCGCTTCAACTCATTCCCCTCCCCCACTACCACTTTTCTAGGATGGTCGCGTACCACCTGCCAGGTGCCAATGTACCACAGGTGGTACCTGTACCAGTGGTTGAAAAGCCCTGCCTTAGACTACAACATAGTCTGCAATGACAAATTACTTCAAATTACTAGCCTGCAGTAAGCTATCATGGACATCTTTCCCTCTTTATCTAATTTTCTTTTTTTGCATACAAAGCTGGATAAATTAGGAAAGAGATAGAGAAAGTGCTGGCTTTGTACTGTTTTGTATTAGAGGCAAACTAAAGAGGAAAATAATGTAGAGAAATGTTCTATACATCAAATCTGAAGCATAAAATTTAGAATTATTTTATTTATTTGGTTGAGGGAAGCAATCCTTTCTAAATCATTAGCATTGTAAGCATTAGTCACCTCCTTCTTGATTTTACGTTCTGTAGCCTGTATGCGCTGGTCCATCTCCTCTTCTAGTTCACCAAGCTGCATGGCTGCTTTATCTTGTGCTCTATAAAAATGAACATTCATATAAAACAGGGGTGTTAAACTGGCAGCCCGTGGGCTGGGTGCATCACGTGCAGGCCACGCCTACCCCAGCTCTGCAAAGGCAAAAAAAATTACGACACATCATGATACATCACATAACACAATCAAATTTAACACCAGTGATATAAAACAACCTTAAAAATAATTGGGGCAAACCAGGAATCAGAACAAAGGAGAACAGACTATATCTCTATCTTTAAGTAACTGGCAGATCCTCTCTCTAGCTAATGTGACATTATATAGCTAAATGAGACATGTAAATTGCCTTTGATACCCAATTATCCTATTTATCAATGATCTTCAGTATTGAGCAATCATAAATGTTGAACTATAGTGATTGACTGTCTCCATACAACTCTGAACAAAAGTTTTTCTATTCCTCACAGCAATAAACAAATTACAGTATCTGTAATACTGTACCTTGTAATACTAGGTGCTAAATCTCTCTGGGTGAAACTGATGTAGATGTTTAAGAATTATCACATTAATACCATAACTCCAAAGATTACAAATTAATACATATATTACAGATTATACAGTCTACCTTATTTCCTCCTATAGCATAATTCACTGGAAAATACCAATAAGCCAAAATTAAAAACAAATATATAGAAAAGAAACATAGTCCAGATAGTCTCAGAATGTTGAATGTTAGGAGCAGAAAAAAACTGACAGACTGCATATAATAGCAGTATTCACATCTTATGCACTAAGATGAAACCCTAGTACAGAAATATGTCCACTAGCAATATGGTGACCAGGTTCTATTAGTGGCCTCAAAAGTCTCAATCTGGCAGGAAAAATTGTCTCAGAAAGAATGCAGGGAATGTACACACGCAACGGTCTTCAATGGAGAAGACTTAAGAGGCATGAGAAGATGAAGGCTTCTTTGCATAAGTATAGAAGTGCAAAATGACTGCATAGGATTTGAAGTAAGATTAGGTATTATCAGTGATGTGCCATCTCTTCCACCAGTTCAAACTGCTATGGCTGCCATTCTAAAACTGAAATACTTGTAGCATCCAAATATTTGGGAAGCTACTGCTGGTTTGTGCCTTGTTGAGACAATGTGAGAAAATTAGTATTTTAACCATTAATAAACCAAATTCCTAATTTCTATGTAGCAATACATTTTCCACTTAATTCTTCCTTCTCTTCCATTCAGCCTCAATTTTTTTGTGATCAGAAATCTCCAAGTTAAGTTAGAGATACCTGTTTTGAAAATGCTGTTTTAGAAAACAAATAATGGATGTTCACAAACTATAAAGCAAACAACAAAAGCTTCAAGCATATTTTAAATCATTTGCAAGCATACCCTTTATAATTTAACCTTTAATAAAATATTAACTATTTGTTCTTCACCCACATGATTTATTGGGTATTTAAAGCATGAATAAACAAATTCAAATACCTTGAACTGCAATTCATCCAATTCCTTCCCACAGTTCTGTTATCTGGTATTGATGGAAGTATTTGAATCCAGTAGTGCTCTGCATATGGTGTGGGTATTCTTTATTTATTTGATGCAAATACAGATATGCTCACAGATCTAGAGGCTACTAGCTGCTTCAGATTTGAATAGTATACTCTAACATAATTTCTTATAAAGTACAAACCCAGTTAACTTTACCTTTTTACAGCGATGGCCAGGGTCTCCATTTCTGTACTCTGCAGCTTGATCTCTCTAATAAAGTTCTTAATAACATTTTCATATGGTTGAATTAATCGTGGTTCCACTATACTGATGTTCTGATACAGAATGTTGACCTGCTCTTGCCTAAAAATGGGGGACAAATCAAGCATTAATGTTTTGCAGCTTTATTTAAAAATATATCTTACATGGTGATGTCAAGGAAAATGGGTAGATGGAACAGACTTTTTAATTAAGATTTTAAAAAATGGGTCAATTAGTTCATAAGAGTACATTACAGACATATTACTTGTTAATATGATTTATTTTATTTTGGTGTAAGCACTGTGATCTTAATCTATCCTGGAATCAAAACATCTCTGGAGATTTAAGCTCAAAATCTCTTTACCCAAGCACTTAGATTATAAAAATTTAAACCATTGCATGAATAAACACTTACACATATACAATACTGGAGAAACTTTTATAAATAAAGATGCTAATAGGACGGAATCAGGTTTGCCCTTCACACAGGAAATGCTTCTAATATAGGATCAGATAAAGTTCATCAAATGAGTTGTCTGGATAGGCCTCATCTTTCTGATATTGCTCAAATTACATCTTTCTCTGTCAGGAGCAAAAGATCAGATCCACACATGAAGGTTCAATTAAGCTAATTTACTGCTAAAAGCCTATGCACAGGAATCTTCTTAACTAAGAAACATCTGGTTAGAGTTAGATAAGGGTCAACAGCACTCAAGGGGGTCATACTTACCATGTTTCCCCCAAAATAAGACCCGGACTCCTTTTTTGCCTCCAAAAGGGGCATGAAGTCTTATTTTCAGGGAGCGGGTCTTTTCCACAGTCTCACCTCGCAACAGTGGCACAGACAGCCCTGCCCAGCTGGCCCACTTCTTCTATGGCTGCTTGCCACCACTCAAGCATGTCGCCCCTGGCCTCCATTTCACCATCAGGGGCCTTCAAGAAATGCCTCTGCAGCGAAGAACCAAGCTCCAGATTGACGCATGTGGTGCCCCCTGGCCTCCAGGAGGTGCCATGCACGTCAATCTGGAGCTCCATTGTCAGCTGCAGAGGCATTTCCTGAAGGCCTCTGTTGGTGAAATGGAGATTGGGGCTGATATGAGCGCACACCGTGAGATGAGGCAGGTGTCGGGACATAGGAGGTCTGGCTACAAAGATAAGTGGGTGTGGGGCTCGTGAGGTAACTCCAACCTCACCCCACCCTAGCTTGATTTTCAGGCGTGTGCCTCTCCCCAATACTAGGGCTTATTTTGGGGGTAGGGCTTATATTAGGCCCACCCACCCCCAAAATCAAACTAGGGCTTATTTTGGGAATAAGTCTTGTTTTCAGGAAAACACAGTAGTATACTTGCGGCTAAGTAGGGATTCTAGACTTATCCTTCTTTGCACTCCGCCCCCAGGTTCTGCCATTCCTTTTCCTACGTTCTCCTACTAATGGATATAAGAAGAGAGAATCGAGGGCTGCAATGGGTAGTAGAGTTCTTATGAAAAACAAACCCATCACACATGTGAATGGATGTAGGATTTTCTATGCATTTAGAGGAGATATTCCTTTTGATGTTTATTAAATCTACTTTAGGACTAAGCCCTCCACTTAGTAAATCACTGATTTGGGGCTGTCGAGGTTGGAAGGGATTTTGAAAGATCTTAAAAACAAAGTTTGTCAGAATCACATGCAGCCTGGAACTAGTCCTTGACTTACGACCACAATTAAGCCCAAAATTTATGTTGTTAAGTGAGATAATTGTTAGGTTAGGTTTGCTCCATTTTACCATCTTTCTTGCCACAGATGTTAAGTGAATCATCGCTGTTAAGTTAGTAACAAGATTGATCACATGACTTCAGGAAACTGCTACCATCATAAATATGAACTAGTCGCCAAGCATCTGAATTTTGATCATGTGACCATGGGGATACTGCAACGGTCGTAAATGTGAAAAAGCGTCATAAGTCACTTTTTCAGTGCCTTTATAACTTTGAACAGTCACTGAACAAACTCTTGTAGGTCGAGGACTACCTGTATTTATCATACCTGTTTCTAAATCTGGTAAAATATTTACTGTATAGAACTTTATTGGATAAGGATCAATTTATTCAATGCATAAAATGTTATCCTCAGTTGCCAGAAAGAAAGAAAAAATACAATGCCTTTTATGGGTTCAAGAGAGCGTGACAATGCAAGTAGTACAATCTAGGACAGTTCTATTTAAAACACAAATATAATAAACTGAAAATTCACAATGATAATAAGCTACAGTGCAACTATAAACATTATTATAATTTTAAATAGCAGATATAGTGGACAATAAAAACATTTAAAACTATTTAATTCATTTTTTTCAACATCTTAAATTACCAAAATAGATTTAGCGTTATTAGTGTTACATTTCAGGAAATCTACAATGGTCAACAACCACGGAAGTCTGGCAGCAGCTCTATTTCAATGCTTTTAGTTTATAAATACGTAAATCAAGACAATGGGAGACTTTTTTTGACCAGCTTTGTACGTAACCCCAAACTGGAGTTTAAGAACAGCTGAGGTCTAAAACTAATCCTCCTGTTGCCTTACAGCTTGACAGTCCTACCTCTTGGTTTTTTCTCTGAACTATCTCACAGCTGCTGTTCTTGGGGATTTTTCATCTCCAGAAGATTAAACCAACCAGAAACGTGAACTAAGAAAAGCTGAAAGATATTATTCCCTCCACTGAGCTCCTTCATGTAGGCCTGCTGAGCTCCGTTTGGAAAAGCTGCCGTCCTAAACATTCAGTACAATAGTGACTGCAAAGTTTACTCCGGTTATTTGATCACAGAATCTTAATGTGGTTTTGTTGTTTCTCACTGACCCAATTAACAGCTCCATTCAGGAGCTTTCTGTGGCCTACATTTACACAAACAGGTGCAAGAATAAGAAATCAAATTCGGGGCAAGGAGAACAAAACAATTCCCTAGAAAAACATGAGCTCTAAGGATGGGGGAAGACTTTTTTTTTGAATGAAGGATAATTACAAGGATGCTGACCTAAATACCAACAAGTATGCAGCAATACTGGCAAATCATCACATCACCCCTGCACCCATAGCCATTTAAAAAAGAAAAAGGAAAAAAACTATACTCAAAGCCAACATCTTGATTGATTTTGAACAAACTATAATATTTATACATTCTCCAATTAAAATAACTTACAGCCAGTGGAACTGGTTGGCATCCAGCAGACTGAAGAATTTTACTGGAGTTTAAAAGTACAGTATGATATATGGGTCCTAATCGAGGAGCTAAGAATTACTAAGGGAGCATCTAGGAATATAGGCACTTCTAAGCAGGATGGTTTTTTTTTTGTAAAACTAGGGTGCTCAGGTTCGATAAATTTAATTGTTTCCAGATATCAGATATCCTTTAGATATTAGTTCAAGGGCTCCAAATACTATCAGTATTGTAATGTCAGCCAGATATTTAAACTGGATTTTGGCATTTTTATCCATCTATCCATCTTGAAGGTATTGTGGCAGGATGTAAGCTGTACCACGTAAAGCTGCCTTTTTGCAATTGCAATTTTATGAATGCTGATGGTGTTCAAATAATACTGTATTCCAGATGTTTTGGGAATGCATCCAAGGTGCCTATTACTATTGGTTTCATTATCTTTGCTTTCTTTTACCACATTTATTCTACTTCTATTTGCATGTCTTTAGAGCAGGCATGTCAAACTCGCGACATCACGTGACATTGTGTGACGTATCAGGACTTTTCCCCCATTGCCAGCAATGGGGTAGGCGCGGTTTTGGTGTGATGCATCCGGCCCACAGGCCGGCAGTTTGACATGCCTGCTTTAGAGTATATTTTGTTATTTTCTCTACTATTTTGCTGGCTCCAGGTATGCAATTGTCTACAACCCAGATTTTTTTGTCTTTCTTATCAACAATTGTTAAGCTGGGGTATTGTCCAGCAGAAGTTTGTCTGTTTGCATTCTAAAGTCCCAGAGCATTTTGCATTTTTCATTTTCTATCAATTTGTCTATTTTGTAGTCCTACCAGTTCTTGTTTGCGGGCAAGAAGTATTTCTTGAAGATATTCCAATGCACCATTGTTGCTACTTTGTCATGCCGTTGTTTATAGTCAGTCTCTGCGATCTTTCTGCAGTTGTTGTTGTTGTTGTTGCTGTTGTTATTATTATTATTGACCAGGGAATGCTCTTTGCCACAGAGTGCATTTAGTAAATCAGAAAGGAGGACAAATAGAATAAATCTTCCGTTCCAGTTTTGGCAACTTGAGCAACTGTGCATGTTGATTGGATGATTATTCTTACCATTATTCTGGCTGGAAGTGAGCTGTAATCCAATATATCTTATAACATCAGCTTTAGGATGCCGAGTTCTGTTTTTCAAAGTTTCCTTGAAATAATCTGTCACCCTATTTTTTCACTATTATTCCTGTGATGAAAATAGCATCCCATGTAGGGTGTCTGGGAATAGTATTTGCAAGTTTTCTCTTTAATCCTAATGTTAAATTTCATGACCTGTGAACATTTTGATTATCACAATTCAAACAGCCATTTTTTTACTTTTTAATTAAGCATATTTCTAAATAACTTTGTCCTAGTTTCTTTTGCAACCAACTTTCACAACCTAAACATTTGGCTTTTCCTGTCTCATATTCTATAAATGTGTTGGAGTATATTTTCAGAACTCAGATAAGAACGGCAGAAGCTAATCCAACATATCTGCAAGGCAGTAATTTGAAAAGGCAGGCATAAATCATCTTAAAACTGGTTTAACCACTATGCTATACTTTTATGTATTGGAACTAGATTCTACCCCAAGGGTAAGAAAACTAGATATAATTTTATACATTTATAAAATTAATACATAAATTAATAAACTAGGTATACGTATACACATATACGTAAGTTTTATATATTGAGGGCAGATCATCCTGGAGTATATCTATTTACGTGATCACAAGAGTTGACACAGACTTGGTGATGCATAATCAAGCAAAAAAAAAAAAACCCCAATAATAATATACATGTTTGGTATACTTTAATTTCACATAAAATAGAAATAAAAATAGACAAATAGAAGAAAAAGAACTGGAAAAATTTTAATCAATTCAGGATAATTATGATTATTATAAATCCTGAATTATAAACTAAGATAACCAATAATTACATACCAATATTTCACAAAATAATCTGATTCACACTTTTCAGCATTTAATTATTCTCTGAAATGTCTGCATATTTTCTCTATCTATAAAAGGTTTCTGGAAGTATGAAGATTTCCAGTTCAGTTTGGATTTGTTACTGTTTGAAAGGGCAGAAATCACTGCTAACATTAAGTTTGTGTTTGGTACAATAGTTTAAATAGATACTCAAGCAATGACTAAACACATAAACTGATTAATACATATCTGCATACCACCTATGATACACGTGACCCAAGATAACAAGGTTACTTTTTTTCTTCTTTCTCCAACATTAAGACCTGATTTGTTAGTTCTGGGTTCAACAAATCACAACTGACTGGATTCATGTATCACACCAAACAAAATCACTTGTTAGCACAATGTGGGAATTTAACCAGAGTAGACAGTCCTTGCTTAATTACTATTCGTTCAGCAACTGTTCAAAATTACAGCACTGCTAAAAGAATGGTAGTTAACATTTGGCCCCTGAAGTTATGGATGCTGTAGCACCATCATAGTGACTTGATCAAAATTTGGGTGCTTCAGTCTTAGCTGTCTGCTACCACCCTGGGCCTTTACTTTAGCTTCAGCACCACCACCACCACAGAGAAGTGCAGCTTTGCCAGGGGCCAAATGGATGGGGGGGGGGGAGGCAGGAGATAGCAGGTGCAGAGAGTTGAAAAGGAGGCAGAGGAAATAGTCTCTTACTGAGGATCAGGGCTAAAAGGGACCAAGCCAGGAATAGCTATGATCGAGTTGGGGTCTCACCAAAAAACCAGTGGGATTTGGTTAATGATGGCAACAGGGACTGCTGGGATTGCTATCACTAAATGATGCAGTCATGTAACATCATACTTTATGCCCACATTGCTTAGCAACAGACATTCTGATCCCAATTCCAATTGTGACTTAAGGACTACTTGTAGGTATTTTTATGTCCAAATATAGTAAAGATACCAAGCCTCAGGTTCAATATTTATACAGAAGTTGCAACCTGAAACCATCCAGATACTTTTAACTATATTTCCAATTAGCCTTTTTCAAGACAGCCAATTGTCAAATATTCTGGTACTGTTGCTTCAAACCATCTAGACCAGGGGTGTCACAGGCTGGACGCGTCACGAGGAAACCGCGCCCATCCCATTGCCGGCAATGGGGGAAAAGTTATGATAAATCGTGCGACATCACGTGATATTGCGAGTTTGACATGTCTGATCTAGACACTGCTGAGTTTCCTATTCCTTACACAGATCTTTCTTTCACTATGGATTTAGTTTTGAAAAATTAATCTATTCAAAATGCCTTGAACATATTGTTCATGATGTTTGATAAACATACTGTTATTCACCAGGCCATCACCCCTTCCAGAAAAAGCCAATGCAGTGTTGAACTAGGAATGAGGATACCCAAGTTCTAAATCATCCTCAGCCAAAAAACCTCCTGGGTGACCATTATTCTCAGCCCAGCCTGAGTTGTTGCTATAAGAAAAATTAGGAGGCATGAATACTATATAAGGAGCCCTGGTGGCGCAGTGTTTAGAATTCAGTATTGCTGGCAAATTCTGCCCACAGCCAGCAGTTCGATCCTGACCGGTCAAAGATGACTTGGCCTTCCATCTTTCCAAGGTTGGAAAAATGAGGACCCAGATTGTTGGGGGCAATATGCTGACATTTGTAAATCATTCAGGGAGTGCTGTAAACTTCACTATGGAAAGATATATAAGTCTATTGCTATATCTACCATCCTGAGTTCCTGAATGAAAGGCAAGATACATATTGTAATTCGTACGTAGATAATACCAATTCACATCTTGAATCTGCAGCCTACCATCCACTCTTTAACTGGAATATCAGCAAGGAAGAAGTAATTTTTTTTAAATTCTATAAATTTTTTGAAAACCCTGTAAATTAGAGCATCTAAAACTCCATTAACAATTTTTTTTTCAATAAGCAGTTAATTGTGCCCTACTTCTTTAGGGATCATATCCATTTTGTTCTGAGTATTCATTCTACTTGAAACAATACACGAGGACTGCTATTCAGAATTCAGACGCATTATGTCTTTATACTTATGCCAAACAAAGGAATTGCAATTCATTCTCCTGTCTTATTAAACCAAAGTAGCTGGATTACAGAGTACTAGTGCAAACATTGTCTCCATGGTATCAAGATAAGGCAGATGCTTACACAAACTCTTCCTGCACAAACCTCATTCCACCACCTACAGAGTTCTTCTAAAACAGGATATACTTCTAATAGGTATAACTTAAAAGAAAGTACACTTCAATACTGATCTCTAATTTACAGCATCCCTAATCATTATGTAGGCTAGTACTGCTGGGAGGTCTAGTAATTCTTAATCCCTGTCCCTATTAATCCCTGTTCTATTAAGTTCAAGCAAAACTTTAAAAGTGAGATTTATTGCACAAACTTTTAATATTGTTTAAAAGGTAAACTCTGAATACTTTGTGCTTGAAAATATAGTAATCCATCCATTTTAGCCAGTATAGCCATGCTGAGAAGGATAGCTAAAATATGCAATCCAAGACATCTGAAATCCTCAAAGTCATACTGTAATTCATGGAAGTGTTGTGACCTCCCATCAGCTCTGTTAAAGTCCCAATTAAATCAGGTTTATGCTATTAGCCATAATTTATACTAAACGAATGGGAAGTAATTGTTAGAAACAGAGCATAAGTCTTGATGTTTGAGCAAAATACATATAAGATACTATTTGTACACTGCTCAGAGTCACTCTATGTGGGAGATGGGCATTTCCTAACTATGAGAAATGGGTGGATGGATGGATGGATGGATGGATGGGTGGATGGAGGGACAGACAGACCACAACAAATCAATTTCATCTACTTCATGAATGATCACACTGGTCTGCTGGCATGTGTGCACCCCTCCCCCATTCTTGAGTACCCTATTGAGATTATCATAAAATCAGTTCAAATTGAGTGAAATATGAAATATGCTAAATATGAAAGAAAACAGAATCTTTGGATGTTTCGACTGTTGTTCTGAAAATTCCTAATGATACAATATCCTTTGATAATCTGCTCTCCAAATGAACCATAGAGTTGTTTGGGAAACGTATGTTGTTTTTTGTTGATAGTATTCCTAATATGGTGCTAATATCCTGGGAAATAGCATTTCAGAAAAAAAAGGCCTGTTTCTGTGAAGAAAACTTGCTATTTGGACATTCAGGATACAGCTCAGGGATTTTCACAATACACCATATAGGTGTAAATTGACATCTTCAAACAGTCAGACAACTAACTATAAAAAGAATTTTGAATACATTAAAAAATCTGACATCAAGCAGGACTATCACTTGGTTAAATTCACTTGACTGGGTTTTTTTTTTCATATGTTTGTCTGCTTTTCACTGCACAGGAACAGCTGTCTGTTTGAAAATCAGGACAACTATAAGAAAGTATACTAGCTTGGAAATGTGCTTGACCGACTTCCACAAAACCTGAAGACTGCAAAACGATCAGCTGAAGTAGGCAGTACCAAGAGAAAATAAAATGAGATTCTTCATAAGAAAAGACTTGAAATCTGAGCAGAGCAGCTCTATTTACTTGCAGTAACAAGACTAAAAGCAACGTGGCACCTTGCAGGCTCACTGACTGAGAGTTTTCAAAGGTATGTGTTGCATCATTAAAACAAAAAACAAAAATTCCCCTGTCATTTTTCTGCTGCCCTCTCTAGCCATCCTTTCTTTAGTGATGCTACCATATGCCACTTCTTCTAACAGGGATGATTTTCAATGGGGACAGCAAATTCCAAAAGGAGGAGGGAATGGTTTTTATAAAACAAGTTTATACTTTAAACAAAAACTATGCTATAATGTAGACAGGCATGAGATAAAACTGCAATAGACTGAAAACTGCAGCCGTTGCTTAGAAGCCAACCATAATCTCGGACTTTCTCTGCTTTGTTGGAAAACCAGCATGGGTTACTCACTGGCAACTACCTAAAATTTTAAAACGTTAAATGCCAGCAAAGCCACAAATACACACTCGCTGCCTCTTCTACTTCACAGCCTTTACACTGATAAGAGAGTAAACACTGCCTCCCAGTTCCTTGTAGAAAAGGTGGCTAGTGCTTACCATACTATAAAGAGTGGAAATAATAAAATACATGATCCTCAACTACTATCCAAGCAAAGGCTGAAATAAAAAATAATCACATGGTCAAAGGCTGCTCGCGCTAGCCTTTGTGTACCCCTGAAGTAATACTTGCCCGGTAGAAGTTCAACAGGTGCAACCTTCATCAATTCCGAAAACACCGCTTGAAGTTTGCTAAACTCATTTGTTAACATCCTTGTATCGTTCGAAAAATAAAAGGTGGAAGAAATATTTTTACCATCTTTATCTTTCAAGGGTGACTCGAAAAGCAAGGGCTAAAACTTCTGGGGCTGGGTGTGGTGCGCCTTTCCCCCACGGAGGAGCAACAGCGACTTACCTGGGAATATAGCCCGCCTCCTCCCCAAGCCGGAGCTCAAATTCCCGCCAGGCCTGGTTGGGACCCACCGCAGAACCCGCCGCCGCTGCCGCCATCCCGGCGAAAGTGCCGAGCGTGTCGCTCTCTTCACAGGGGAGCTCCTCGCAGTCGCTCCGCCGCCTCTGCGGTTGAGTGACGCCGCGAAATCCCCGAACGAACTCGCGGAAGGTGATGGCGCCGTCGCGGTCAGTGTCCAGGCGCTGAAAAATAGCTTCGGCCTCCGCCGGCCGGACCCGCAGCTCCGCGCAGAGCGAGCCGAAGTCATCGCGCTCGATCCGGCCAGAACCGTTCACATCGCAGGCCAGAAAGAGCGAGCGGAGCCGGCCAGCGTCGTCCAAGTCCACCTGCTCCCCCGAAGAGGAGCCCATCACACGGCGAGGGAGACTCCGCGGGCTCGCGGAGACGCCTCGACGGCTCCAAGCGGTGGGGACCCCGATCCGGGAAGGAAAGACGCCGAGCCCAACTCTCCGCGCCCAAATCCGTGCTTTCGCTGCCGGCTGCCTTCCAGGCCGCTTCTTCTCTGCTCCACCCCTCGAGCAGGAAAAGTTCTTCCAAGAATTTCGCCCTGCCTGCCAGTGGAGAGCTGCTTTGAGAGCGCCCGCCCGCCCCGGCGCGGCCGCCCCGCGCGGGGCCGCCCCTGCGGCCTGCCAGACGTGTAGGAACGAGGCGGAGGGGGCTGGTCCGTCACAGGTGTGAATTCCACTTCTGACGATTGTTTCCCCGCGGCGCAGGTTTCTTTTGCGGCCCGCCAAAAGCGCCGCATCCTGGAAAGAGGCGGCTTGGCCGGGTAGTCAAGGGTGACGACGCTAATTGACTTGGAGCCAAAGGAATGTTTAGCCCCACGTTGAAGTGAGCTTTTGCTACAGACCAACTCAACTGTGCCTAGGAGGGGGACCGGGTCTCCGCTGCCTGCGGCCTCCTTTATCCGGTAGGCAGCAGGCTTAAAAGCGGCCCTTAGAGAAGGATGTTCCCCTCAACGCAGTTTTCTTTTAAATAAGCGGGCAGCAGGTCCTGTTGTTAACTGAAAACCCAAAACTATAAATGGGGAGCCCAGGGATTCAACTCGATAATCAGCTTAAATGAGTCCAAGACTCATGTTGTCAAGAAATAGGCTTCACAGTGTTAGAAGTAAAGTCTTCATCCTGGTTCATCCAAGCCGGGAATAAATAAGCAAACATGGTGACTGCTTTGGGAAGAAGGTTACAGTTTATTAGATAGTTCTTCAGGAAAGTACAGAGGAGAGAGAAGAACAGAGAGCACAGAGAGAGATTGAGCACATGGGCAGTAGGTTTTATACCCCCCCTAGCCTTTTGTTTGGAATAGTTTCCTGTTCCTGTGGCATGAACCTTGAGACTGTTTCTGAGTGTTTGTCTAGGCCTTGATATCTGTGGTTTAATTCTGTTATCATATCCTGCTTCCCAGGTGATGGGGCTGACTCCTAGAGTTTGGGTGGGGTATGCAGATCTTCTCTTTTGTCTTCTTGATTGCTCTAGCTCCAACTTTCTGATGGTTTTACATTTGCATAGGGCTAAAGTCTTGCTTGGGGCAGAGAGATAGATTTGGGGCCAAGTTTGGTTTTAAAAAGTCCTTTTGAGGAAAAATATATTTTTCTGCCCTTTTTAATATTTCCTTCTGGGCTAACTTTCATCAACAGGTTCGAATCACCTAAATTCTCTTACTTTGGAGAAAGAAAAACCTACTTTGGGGGGGACTTTGTGCAGTCTTCCTTAAAAGATTTTACTGATAGAAACACTTCGTGGCTGCCCTCCTCCTGCTTTTTCCCATAAGGTTGCCATTTTAATGCTCCCCTATGTGAGTGAGAGAAGCCTTGTTCTTCACTAGGATATTCTCCCCAAGCAAGAATACTGTACAGCTGTGTTGCAAAAGAAACACCATTATTATTTTACTGGTATTATTTTAGCTTTGACAACCAAATTGCAGATCCATTGTTTGTGAAGTGGGGAAGATGGACCTTGTTTTTGAAAAGAAGATTCTTCTGATGGAACATTTTTGAACCATACATTCAAAATTCATGGATGAAATGTAATTTCACAAGTTTTATGATAGATTTATTTAATTTGATTGTGATTATCTGGTTTTTACATTCATAGTAAAAAAAACAACATATCCCTACCTGTGACTTCATAAATTGAATTGTGACAGTTGATTAAATACAATGAAATGTCATTCTGAAATGTGGAACCCAATCTTATGTGCACTGGGGACTGGGACAAGTTTCAGGAAATAGTGCACCACAAATTGCAGCACCTGACCTTTCTGCTTGTAGAACAGTGAACACAAAATAAATCACCTGAGACTTTAGAAAAGGAAGTGACATTTACTTGTAACACTGGTTTTGTGAGGTTGAGATTCATTAAGAATAACTAGAGAAAATGTTCCCTTGCCAAGCTTGGTTTCTGGACATAATTCTGTTTAGCCATACTTTATCAAAAGTTACTTAAGAATGTAACACCTGTGTTATCACAGTGAAATGCTCATTTTTTTAAAAAAATGATATGTTTTTATTTTAAAAATAGCCACTGCATTAAGATCGTAGATAAACGTACGGACACATTTATCTTTAAAAATATAATAACCTGCTCTGATTCTTAGTATTTCACAATACAGGTAGTCTTCGCTTACTATAGTGTCCATTCATTAGTGACAACATCACTGAAAAATGGGCTTGCCACCATTCCTTAAACCTGTGACTGTTGCAGTGGGAGGCAATGCTCCTTGGTAGTGGTGGCAAGCCCAGTAGAAAGAGGAAAAGAACATGATGATTGCACCCTGGAGGACAGGGAGGAAGGACCATTGGGATGGTGGCAGGGAATACAGCAGCCTTTTCAGGGCAGCTGAAAGGGCAGAGTTGGGGGAGAGAAAGGTACATGGAGAGAATGGAAGTTCTCCAAGAAGTTGGAGAATTGAAGTTCTGGGCTGGGAGGGACCAAGCCAGGGATGGCTTCAATCAAGGCATATCCTCACCTAACAACCTCAGGATTCATATAACTGTTGACAGACGAAAGCTTAGATTTAGCTTTTGTATTAAACAGTTTTTGTTTTAATATTATCCTGGTGCTCAGACTATTCTATTTCTATTATACGGATTTACCCAGGATTCGCATTTTTGGTATAATTAGGGTATGTATGTATGTATGTATGTATGTGTATATATATATATATATATATATATAATTTGTTTTCTGAGGTTTTTGCAGGTGTTTGTATGTAGGTCTTTGGTTGTTCGGGTTTTCTCCCACGTAAAATTGGAAATGTCTTGGCGACGTTTCGACGTAAAATAGTTATGAACAAAACAATCCAGATACCTTAGGGACATTGTTTTTATTCTGGATCCTGCTGATGCGGGAGCCACCAGTTCAGCTCTAGAATATAAGATCAGCAAGCTCTGGAGGAGGAACATACTAGAATTATTCCAAAATGAATCTCCTAAAACCCACCAATCAGCATAGTCTGGAAGAGACAACCCTTCATCATTTTTGTTTCCCTGTTGGTCTTACGTAGATTCAGAACCATAGCTGTAAATCAGACTGGGCACTTTACAGCCTCTGGCCACATTCAGCCCTTTAGCTGTTCCTGTCTGGCCTGCATGGATTGCCTTTTTTTTTTTAAGTGATTGCTATTTTTTTTATTTATGTGTGCCTATCCATCTTCACAGCTCGATTTGTTCGCCCTTCCACAACAGTCCTAGTTTCTCACCTGGCCCCTTCACAAAATTAATTGCCCTCCCACACTGTAAATAAAAATAATTCCAGATTTCCATTTAATCTTTAATTAAAACAATATATTTTACAATTCTATCAGGGGGACAGAAGTTTGATGAGTGTTAATGATGTCCATAGGTACATGGGATTCTGTTGTATTCTTCCTAATCTTAAGAGCATAGATTTGCGGTAAGTTTCAGCAGAAAAAGAAGTTACATAATTGAGGAGGAAAGGCACTACTCAGAATACAATTTTTGATACTGGAATCCTAAAATCAGAGATATTAGATTTGGAAGGGAGCTTAGAGATCATTATCAAATTTTCATAATAAAAGTGTTATCGTGGTGGCAGCATGTTTGACAGATGATTCTTCAACCTCTTTTTGAATATCACTTGCACAAAGCCCATTTATCCAAAGATATTTACATTTCATTGGTCTTCATCTATTAACTGTAAAAAAAAATGCAATTTTCTGGTAATTTTCTACCCAATTCTGTTTCCTTTTATGTCTTGGTTCTATTCCTGCCCTCTGAAACAATAAAATACAAGGTGTTGCCATTTAGTTTCCTATGTCTGTTCTCTCTCTCTATATATATATATATATGGAAATAGGCATTTTGTCTCTCTTAATTGTTATTCCTTTACAAAATATAAGCATCTGCTTAAGAATTTTTAATTGGTGTCGAAATTTGTTATTGGTTATTTATAAGGGATTAGTTTCTAAAATCATGGTTATGGTATGATGATAAGGTAAATGTGATGGTTACAGAACATTTTGGAAAAAAATCGGGTTTAAGAAACATTTTGTGGAGATACTAATTCAGCTTTATGAGATGAAAGGATTTAGATGATTTTCTTCTGAAGTAAATAGCATTCAGACCAGAGATGGTTTCTGAGATATTTGAGGTAGCTGGGCTGGGCTACCTAGTATAACCCAAGAAATTGAGAGATATCTAACAGTAAGATTTTGCATCCATTTCTGACACACAGTGTGCCAATGTTATCTAGAAATACTGTGACCAAAGGTTAATAGTACACTCTTATCAAAATTTTGTATTTGACTTCCTAGAGAAATGCAACATTGTGGGAAGGCTGATAGTTATCTTGCCATAATGTTCAAGCCCTTTGCTTTGACTCTCTCCTTAAAATCAAATACGGTGTCGTTTAGTGGTGTCACAGAAGATGCAGCTTACAAAACAGATGGTTCTTGATGTATTATTCGGGCAGCCAGTTTCCGCCTATGTAGGACTGACATCAGTGTAGCAGCCAGAGGGACAACCCATGTTATTCAAGCAACTGGCAGAAAAAGCATTCAACAAAAGACGATTTATTTTTATGAGCCATAGTGCAAGCAGTGAAGGCAGAGCTCTCAGCATAAAAAAGCAAAAGAAGGTTTTGTTCCAAAATATATTACGTAGGTATTGGTTTAAAAAGAGATATCAGTCAGAATGCAGCTCTAATTTAAATGTCCAATATCTAGAGAGGTTAGATCTTCTGAGAACATCGTGTCATTTAAATTTGGTGATGGTAGTTATATCATCAAATAAACTGGAAATATATCTTGAAAACAGCTCTAACAAGATTTTCTTCATTTTGACTATTCCACAGATGACAAAGTATCACAAATAGGAAGTATTGGATAATACTTTCTACATTTTAACCACATAAAAACATAGTCAAACTCTGAATTATTCATTAGCAACTGCTGAAAGATTTGGCAGAGTTCTCATTCAGTTAACAATTTCACAGTTCCAATTGTCAGGTTATGAAATATTTTAACAGTTTTATTAAATTTTGTAATGGATTCCAGATCAGGTATAAAGCGGCAACCATATAAGTGAAGCATTCTCAGTCTATTGGAATGAAAAAAGAACATCAGTCAGACAATAGCTTCACAATTGCCAAATGATCACACAATCACAATTACAGCCTTGAAAGTTGTTTCTTTAAATAATTCAGACAATTTTTACTATAAAATATATTGCAGGGTATGAGTAGTGCAGCATATATAATTCATAAAGTATTGCCAGAATGTGAAGCAAATGGGAGACACTGGGCGTGTTTCTGTAATTAAACTGAACCTGCAGTTTTAATTTTGCTCTAATTCCTAGTGAACAGCAGTGTGACATAAAGAATAAACAGTGAGGTTAGCATTATAATATATCTAAAGAATGTATTAAACAAGGAAGTTTTGAGTGAAGCCAGTCCTTTATTTGAAAAGAAACTAAAGATGATTTCACTAAAACTATTAAATAAAACAAAAAATAGAAGATATTGGAAGCAAATTGCTCCAGAATTAATTATAGCACTCCATACTTGATGTATGTACACTAAATCAGAACTGAGCACAAATTGGTTCTTAATATAAATGTGAAAACACAGATAATTATTTCGGATCTCGTCTTGTGAAAATTAAGCTCTGCAGCTTAACAAGGCTTAAAAGTAACAATGTCTTCAAATCACCCGCAAAACAACACAAAAAATATCCTAAAGTTCTACCTTTATAAATATCCTTAAGTTACAAGAGTTCAGCGGTCCAATTTTTAGACTTATACATTATACAGGCCACAAACTCTTTTCTACCCTTTATTACACATTTTATCAATCTAGCTAAATTCCTCATATATGAGCCAGTTCCAAGAATTGCCAGCAATGGGGAATGAAACTTCTGAACATGTTTATCCATAAAATATCCCTGGCATTATTTTTGCTGCCCTTTTCCTTATTAGCATAAATATTTGCTTTACTCCATACTATACCCCTACTATAGTATATTTCTCACATCTAAAAGCTTATATTAATAAAAGATACTGGTTATTCTCATGTACCTAATTTCAGCAATATTTTATAAATAATTAGTTAGATTTCTCATCAATTCTAAAATGATATGCAGCAATAAAATCACTGTTTTAGTAACAAAAGAATCATAACCACACCCTTTGAAAATTAATTCAATGTAATTTGAGATATGAAAATATGGGTTTATAGTTAGTATAGTAGGTGACATCTACTAAAAACTTAAATCTGTTTACCTAACAGATTAGATTGTCTGGAAATATAAATGTTTTTCTCTCATGATGTTGGTTGGCTAAGGATAACGGTTAAAGCACTGACTAAATGCTTGAATAGGAAGCAGGTTCCAGTCTCTATTTTGAAATGTTGTTTTTTTCGAAAGCTAGTAGGAAGCTTTTGCAGAATCCTTCTGCAGTACCAAGAAAAATCTTTATTGAAAGAATGCTTGGGTCCCAAATATACTTAGGATGATACAGGAAAAGAAAAAGGAAAGGACATGACGAAATAGAGAACATTCTGAGATCCTTGATGGGATAGTGAGTATAAAGTATAACTTCTGATAAATGAGTATTTTGGAACGATTCCTGCTAAAAAGATCAGCCATTTAGTGAGAAACATTCAAAACAGAATCTCCAAATTCCAGGTCCTCCCAATGGCCTTCAAAGGTTAGGAATCTCCAACTTAGTCATTTAACACAGGAGAGCATGCAATAAACTGTAAAGTGTTGCAGCATTTCTCCAGGCACTTTTCCAGTCCATATTTCAGTCTATTGCCCCTCCATTTCTAAAATTGACTAATTTGCTTTGTGTGGGTATCATTTGTTTCTAAAGATATATTAGCATGTATCCTTGAATATCAGAGAAATATGTTCTACCATGAATTTGTCTAAACCTTTATTCAAACTATTAAAGATGTTATCACACATTGAAGCAGCAAATTTCATTAATTATGAACTCATTAAAACTTTGGTTTTGGGATGTGTCAATAATAGGGGACACAGGGATCCTATTCTTTTTTCCCCCATGCTGTATGTCATATAATAAATCTTGGTCATAACCCATGGTAGTTTCTTTTTATTATTTTAAACATATCATATACTGAGGACTAAATAATAATAATGACTTTATTGTCATTGTATGTGTATACAGTATACAACAAAATTTACATGACACCCAAAGACCAGGTCCCACACACATAATCCCCAAAACACACTCCCACCCACCACAATTCCCCACCCCTAAAACCGCTCAAACATCCACCCAACAGACCAAGTAATACTGTCCAACAGTTCACTGATGGTGGCCCTTCACTGTTTATAAACCCTAAATCTCCTGATTAATATGACCAATAATCCATAACATCCGGAGACCACCAGGATATATATCCTTGAAACTCCATTTCAATAGTTAAAACAAGCTCACTCTGCTTATTAACAAGTCACCAAAATGAAACTGTGTGAATTTTAGAGAGATTTTAGCATCACAGTTTAAATTACACTCACCTTTTGCAGTTTTTACATAGTTTTGCAACTGCATCTAGAGAGATATTCTTGCAGTAATTCAGCTTCAGATGCTCTAAGCTATTAAAGCAGAAATTAGCCAACAAGCAAACCCTGAAATCCAAGAACAAACATTATGCTTTTACTTTAAGATTTGAAAAGAAGATCATTAGACAAGAATCTTGGATACATTATTTGTACAATATTGGATGGGTCTATGTCCTTCATCATGAACAATTGCAGTGACATGGTAAAGAGAATGGTTCTGTTTTCTCTAATTCACTATTTGGTTAATTTAGATGACTATCACTTTATATACAATTTGCATAAGTACTAGACTGTAAGTAAGTTGTGCTGAGACAGGATTTAAGTTGCAAATTGCTCCAGGATCATTAGAAGGCTGGATTAGAGACCTTTTGTGGGGATCCTGTCATAGGCTTACTCTTTTCTAGAGGATATTAGTGATTTAAGATGATGGAAGAAAAGATCTGCCAACTGAGTGATCCTGCAGCTCTGTATTTCTTCTTCTCCTTCCCTGGCTCTTCATTGCAATTCTAGATCACAGACTAGATAAAAAAATAATGCTTCTCCTCTGTTGCTAGCTAATCCCTTCTGGTGTTGCTCCTATCCATTTAGAGCAACTGAGAAAAGAGCGCCTATAAGCCAATCTCTGCATTACTGTTGATGGGTGTGATGACCGGTCTTCAAAGCAGTAAAGATCATCCATCATCCCAAGTCAGCAAGTTAAGCAAAAGGCCTTTTACTCATGTTGGTTGGACACATTGAATCTACAGAAAAGATTATCGTAAATGACTATAGGCCTTGCCTATGATGTGGCTGTTTGTGAGCACTACAAAAGGAGTAAGATGATATTCTGACAAAACCTGTAGTTGTCTCTCCCATATTCATTGCATTCCTGGACAATAAACACAGTAACTGGGTAAACATAATGTTAAGTTGTCATCACTGCCATCTTGTCTTCCAGTTGGTAGACAAGATGGTATTTATCTTTAAGGGAAATGTGTGGAGGAAAACCCGTTAATTTGTAATGCTTTATCTGTCAAGTCAGAAAAGGATCTTTTGTTTTCTATATATCTGTTACCTTGAAAAGTATGACATTTAAAAATGAACATTCTTTTAACTAATAGAAATCTCATATATCTTCAAGTTTGCAGAAAGATATCTTGATTTTTACCATGTGAGTTATGTCAGCTTATATTTACTTAAAAGATTAATTGCAATATATTTGTGTGAAAGGGATTGAATGGGTACTAAACTTAGCATATAATTATTTTTATAAAACAGGAAAAAGAGTGTGCCTGGCCTCTGCCCATACATTTAAATTCATGCAATAGTAACAATGAGTGATATTTCCCACTGACTGATATGGTATTCTTAGCAGTAAAAATAGTTAAAAGATAATTCATCATAATGTTATATAAATTTAAAATCTGTATCTCCCAAATCTGTATGTCAACCAGTTTTGGCACTCTTTGTATTTTAAGAAAAAAATCTATATATTAGATGAAAAGTTTTACAAAAAATTTAAGCATAGAAAAATGCTTGCAAAAAGTCTACATGTTAGGTAAATGGATACAAAAATGTCCATATCAAAAGCATACATGTTGTGTATGCATTTTCTTGAAGACCTTTTACTAAATTCACAGAGTGATATCAGTCAAAACTGGTTACAGATAAAATGAGAAAGTAAGCAAAACTAATTTGAAGTTCTCAGGAGTCTAAATGATCAGGGAATAATTTACATATAAGCTTCATAACAGCAAATAAGGAATGTATATGAGAGTAAGTTCTGAAAACTTTTCAAACTGTGTTCCATTGAAAGCCAGCAGACGCCTAGGGTAATGTGTACCCTAGTAATGTGTACAATGTTATACTACAATCTATATTATTGCAATAAGGACTTCTCCTACTGCAGTGGCATTTAAATAGTTCATAGGAAAAATGCTCATAAAAGAAGAAACTTGAACTAGGACTGAACAAAAGATAAGTCAAATCAATCAGATAAAACTCAGTTTAGCAATACAGGAATGTATTTAAGCAAGCTGGGAATCACAATAATTGCAATTTTACCATAGCTACCTAGAATACACAGCTTAATGTTTTACAACTCAGGGAAATTGAAAATGTACTGGAAAAAGTTCTTTGGTCTACTCTCCACTCTGTATCTTAATTAATAGATCTTCAGACCTCCACAGAAGTTGAAATTCATTATATTTATGTGCAAACTAGAGTGCTATAGCTACTAATGCCCACTGTCCAACCACAGTATGGGGATAAACACCTACCCACAAGCCTTTTAAAAAACAATGTTTACTTGAATTAATTTAGTAACAGCACATTTTTGTAGATTAACTGGCACTACAGATCAATTCAAGCCTACATAACTAAAATTAAGTTTTCTACCAGCTTGTACTATTCATCCTAGGGTTGGTGTAGTGGTTAAAGTGCCTCCCTAGAGACTGACTCTGAGCCAGTCACTGTCTCTCAGCCCAATCCAACACCCAACTCACAGGCAGGAGTGTTAAGTATGTTCACTACCTTGAGTTGACTGTCTGTAAGGATGGCATTAAAGTATAATTGTCATGGCCAGCTCAGACTTGGAAGAGGATCATCAACCTGAGAGGATTCAGCAGATAGAGTTGCAAGTAGAAAAAGCAGAATTGCCTAGCAATCAAGAGGGGCACCTATCACTTCTGGCCTCAGAAGACCAAGAGGTGGATCTAACACTTCCTCCACTACCACTAGGAAGAGAAGAGGGCTGAACAAAGGTGCTCAGCAAGAGTATTGGCCAGAGGACTACATTGTGAACCTGCCCATCAAAGAAACAAATCCAAGTCACACAGCCCCTATATAAGAGTTAGGGCTACATGCCTCACAGATCCCTTAGTGACAACTCTCCATTTACATTGCCTATATATATATATATATATATATATATATATATATATATATATATATATATATATGTAGTCTTTGGTTGTTCGGGTTTTCTCCCGCGTAAAATTGGAAGTGTCTTGGCAACGTTTCGACGAAGTTTCGAGGAAGCACGAAGCTGAAAACACCAGCCTGAAGATGACGAATGGGATTTCGTCAAAACGTCGCCAAGACACTTCCAATTTTACGCGGGAGAAAACCCGAACAACCAAAGACCTACACACACACACACACACACACACACACACACACACATATAAAATAAAAGCATTAATTGCCCTAACAAAGTGATCCTGATTCTGTCTCCTTATTATGATGCATTTAGGAGTTGCTACAGCTACATTTACCCTATAATTCTTCCTTCAGAGATCTAAAAATTATTATTATTTCAGAAGAAAGTTACTAGAAGCTCATTTTGCCACTAAAACAACTCCAAGACATATTTAAGTTTTAATGACAACAATTTGAAGATGCTCGTGCTCTTTTCATCTGTTATATGGAAGCTCACAGCTTAGCCCTCTATTTTGCACATTTATAGCAAGATGCATTTAGATCATACAACTGTATATAGCTAGTCCTCAACTTACATCCATTCATTTAGTGACTGTTCGAAGTTACAACAGCACTGAAAAAATGACATATGACCATTTTTCACACGACTGCTGCAGCATCCCCATGTCATGTGATCAAAATTTGGACACTTGATAACTGGCATGTATTTATGATAGTTGCAATATCCCAGGATCATGTGATTACCTTTGGCGACCTTCTGACAAGCAAAGTCAATCGGGGAAGCCTGATTCACTTAACAACTGTGGCAAGGAAGATCATAACATGGGGCAAAGCTCAACAACTGTCTTGCTTAGCAACAGAAATTTTGGGTTAGTTGTGGTCATAAGTTGAAGACTACTTGTACTGTACTGCTAGGAAAATTAAGTAATTTGTAAATATTCCTCTGTTCACTAACCAGAAACAGTCCTGTTTAAAGACTTCATTCATTCATTTATACCCTCACCTTCCTGCTTATATAACCACTTGAGGTGACTTAAAGCAATTTTTATCCAACAGTAGTATTGTGTTACTGCTTGCACTGACAATATGGTTAATATTAAATAGACCCTTAAAATCAGTGTTAATGTTTGTCACCTATTTTCTTTTACAAAATGTTCAAAATTTTTACCAAATATCTTACCCTCTTTTGCTTGTTGCTGTGGAACTCAAATCAAGATAAGAAAGTTTATGGCAATTCCTTGCCAAAGCTTGAACTCCAATATCACTCACATCTTTACATCCATTAACATCAAGGTACCTGAAAGGATGCAAAAAGCAGTAACCTGACACAGATACTGGCTCACCGTGTACATTGGAGGAAAAGATTTGAAAGAGATATGGTATTGTACTGCTACATCCTACATGATATATCAGTTAACTAACTGACTATTTAGAACAAGAGTGTCAAACTGCCAGCCCGTGGGCTGTACGCGTCATCCAGAAGCCACGCCCATCCCATTGCCGGCAATGGCAAAACTGTCCCGATATGTTACGCGACATCACAAGACGTTGCAAGTTTCACATGTCCGATTTAGAAGATAAACTGTTGATAAGTATTGCTTGTCAGCATTTGAACTACTGTTTTTTTCAACAAAGTGGCAGAGGAGATTTTTGAACAACATAAGTAAAGTTTTCAGGATTGTTCTGCTCATAATTTCCAACCCTTTTTTCATTCTTTTCTCTCCTTGATTATCAATTTTATAATTATTTTGATTCTTTAGTTCTATTGTATTCATTTGCACTTCTGATTAGTTTGCATGACATTTAAATTGAAAAGAAAATATAGAAGCCTAGTTTCACGTGCAGTTTTTGTACAAAGACTGAGGATGTTTCCGTTGACATTTTTTATTATTGTTGTTACATACACTACAATGTGAAGTCTCAATTGCCACAATTCTTTAGCTGGATATTGACCTTCATATGCATTGACCTCTTCACAGCAACCTAAGATGCCATAATGTATTAATCAACTTACAACCATTTGTTTAGTGATCGTTCAAAGTTACAACAGCACTGAAAAAAGTGACAGTACTTAACAAACATTGTAGTATCCCCCACAGTCACATGATGAAAATCTGGGCACTTGGCAAGGATTGGTTGAAGCATCCCCTTCTCTTCCTTCATCTAAACTGTTTATGAAGATGCTGAAGAGTACTGGGCCTAAGACAGAACCATGGGGCACCCCACTGCATACTTCCCTCCATTTAAGTGTAGTTCTATTGAGGACTATATGTTGAAGGCACTTTGTCATCCAGTTACGAATCCATCTGGTGGTAATACTGTCTATCCCATATTTTTCTATCTTATCAGGAAATAGGTTATGGTCTGTTATATCAAATATCTTACTGGCATCCAAGTATACTATGTCCACAGCATTTCACTGGTCCGCTAATTTTGTCACTTTGCCTATGTACTCTGTCTCTCATGAACAATTTCTCCTTCCTAGCCTTGTGATTGCAAACCATGAGTAAGGCAACATTTTAAAAAGTCGAAGTGTGTCATTTTGGGAGTAAACGCAGAAGGAAATAGGCATCAGTTGCAGTGATAGCAAAAGGACCATCAAGAGACTGTCCATAATTTTAGCAAAATAAAGAAAAACAACAAGTTTTTTATCCAAAGCAAAGTAACATAACCATTCCATTAAGGGGGAGATAACAATCACAGAGATGTGCAACTATAATATTCCTTATTATAGTTTGATTAAATAGATTAGAAATGATTATTTTGATTAAATAAATTAGAAATGAGTTTCAAAAGTGGAACAACCTGCCTCCAGAAGTGGTGAATGCTCCAACACTGGAAGTTTTTAAGAAGAGACTGGACAGCCGTTTGTCTGAAATGATATAGGGTTTCCTGCCTGAGCAGGGGATTGGACCAGAGGACCTCCAAGGTCCCTTCCAACTTTTATTATTATTATTATTATTATTATTATTATTATTATTATTATTATTATTATTATTATTATTATTATTATTATTATTCATCGCACAGTATTATTATTATTATTATTATTATTATTATTATTATTATTATTATTATTATTATTATTATTATTATGGATCATCGCACAGTCAGCCAGATGTTCAGACTGGATTTGGCATTTTGTCTACCTATCGAGTCCTTACCCAGGACCTGGGATAGGCAGATGTGGATGTTTGATGGTATTACAGATATCGTCGCAGGATGGAAGCAGTTCCTAGTAAGGCCGCCTTTTGCAATTGACTAATAGCGAATTTGTCAATGCCAATGGTGTTCAAGTGGTGCTCCAGTTGTTTTGGGATTGCACCCAAGGAGCCTATGACTATTGGTACTACCCTTGCTTGCTTTTGCCACAGTCTTTCTATTTCTATTTGTAGGTCTTTGTATTTTGTTATCTTCTCCAGTTCTTTCTCTTCTATTCTGCTATCTCCAGGCACTGCCACGTCCACTATCCAGACTTTTTTGTCTTTCTTATCGACAATTGTTAAGTCTGGGGTGTTATGTTGCAGGTGCTTGTCTGTTTGAATTCTGAAGTCCCAGAGCAGTTTAATTTTATCATTTTCTATGACTTTCTCTATTTTATGATCCTATTATTATTATTATTATTATTATTATTATTATTATTATTATTATGGATCATCGCACAGTCAGCCAGATGTTCAGACTGGATTTGGCATTTTGTCTACCTATCGAGTCCTTACCCAGGACCTGGGATAGGCAGATGTGGATGTTTGATGGTATTACAGGTATCGTCGCAGGATGGAAGCAGTTCCTAGTAAGGCCACCTTTTGCAATTGACTAATAGCGAATTTGTCAATACCAATGGTGTTCAAGTGGTGCTCCAGTTGTTTTGGGATTGCACCCAAGGAACCTATTACTATTGGTACTACCCTTGCTTCCTTTGCCACAGTCTTTCTATTTCTATTTGTAGGTCTTGTATTTTGTTATCTTCTCCAGTTCTTTCTCGTCTATTCTGCTGTCTCCAGGCACTGCCACCTCCACTATCCAGATTTTTTTGTCTTTCTTATCGACAATTGTTAAGTCTGGGGTGTTATATTGCAAGTGCTTGTCTGTTTGAATTCTGAAGTCCCAGAGCAGTTTAATTTTATCATTTTCTATGACTTTCTCTATTTTATGATCCCACCAGTTTTTGCTTACAGGCAAATGATATTTTTTGCAGGTCTTCCAATGCACCATTGATGATGATGATGATGATTATTATTATTATTATTATCCTGCTAAACCATTTGTTTCATTTGTTGTATACATGTTTCTTGGTTCCCTTTCCAAGTTTAATCTGTGATCAATAGTAACCACAACTCTTTGACTTCCAGCTTCAATTATAATTAGCTTCCAGTTCTTTATTTTAAATTTATTATTAAAATATCACAATGTTAAGAACCTAATACACTTTTAAATTTTACTTTTTAAAAACATACACATTTGATAGTGCAACAAAAAGTTAAGTAGTTGCCATAGAAATAGTACTATCCAGTATTAGCCTCGATGACTTCTTGTTTAATGCACTTAAGGCCACCTATCTTGTATATGCCACAAATAGCAAAAAGGCAAAACAAAATGTCAACATAACTAAGGGGGTAACATCATTGAAAATTATTTAAATAATGCCAAAATATATAAATTCAATGACAAGTGCATTTCCAACATATTACCTTACCTGATACCTGGCAGATAAGAGCTAATTTCAAGTAGACTGATGTTAGTTATGTGAGCACACGAGTTAAGAACCAAACAATCCAGTTTAGGACATTTCTTCAAAATACAATGTACTAGAGAATCCCTCATCTGCAGCCCAAGACAAGACAAAAGCAGGAAATAAGCCAATGTGGAGGATTGTCTTTCAATAATAGAGCAGAGCTGTTCACTGCCAGTCAAGTTCCTTATTCCCAGTACAATAAGGAAACTAGCTCTGATATATTATTTAAATATTAATGTTCAATGTATATTGGCATACATTTTTCCCATAACTCTTTTGATAGGTTTCTATATAAATCTATGGTTCTACTGTTCTAATCCAGATCCTTTTAGGAAAGCAGAGGGAATAAGAACATCGAAGAAGTAACTGATTCAAGAGTTAAGAGTAGGAAGCAGAGATTACATTGATTTTCTTCTTTTCTTGGAGTCAGTTCCATTCAGAATAAGTAGGCAGAAGAGAACAAGCCTGAGATCCTTGCTTTGTAAGATTCCTTAGGGCTTAATTGTATCCCCACTTCTATTTAATACCTGAGCAAGATTATCCCTATCAATATATCAATGACAAACAGCTGTATATCTCAACTCTAGACTGAACTGGTGATGTGGTTGGGGCCCTGTTCTAGAGACTGGATTCTATTAGTGATCATATAGGGAGGAAAATGCTCAGCCAAACCGTATCATGACTCAGTTCTCAGTGCCTAGTAATACAAGAAGTCCCGTTACCAGTAATATTGGACAGTGTTGTTCTGGATAAGATTGTACTACCTCAGACACAATTTGTGGGTAACCTGAGGGTCCTCCTCACTCTTGGCTCTTGCTTGAAGTGAAAGTGACAGCCTTACTAAGAAGGGCCTTTGCATAGATAACATAAATCCTTATAAATATTCTGCAGTTCACCTATGCCAGGGCTTTTCAACCAGTGGTATGGGTACCATCTGTGGTACATTGGCACCTGGCAGGTGGTACGCAACCATCCTAGAAAAGTGGTAGTGGGAGAAGGGAACCAGTGGCAGCACCGCAGAAGCCTGAGTGAGAGATGGCTGGAACTGCAGGGCTGTCAGGGCTCAGCGTAAGTGCCAGGATCAGTACTTCTTCGGGACTGTCAGGGCTCAATGGAAGCGCCAGGATCAGCACCAGGCTCCAGCTAGAGCTCAGCACTGATCCTGGCGCTTCTGCTGAGCCCAGAAGAAGCACCAATCAGCTGGAATGTTGCAGCATCTCCAGGGTCTTTTGATTTACATTCAGATGCTTGGCAACTGATTCATATTTATGACGGTCACAGTGTCCCAAGGTCATGTGAAGTGCAACCACCCAGCAGACGGGGGAAATAAAAACCAAATACCCCCCCACCCCACCCCTGCTGCCAATCCTCAACAGAAATGCTGACAACAATGAAAACCTCGGACAGGTGGAAGGGCGCCGGCGGGTGGGCAGGCAGGTGTCTTGCTCAGGTGTGGCTTGGGGGGCACTTTTTTCAGTGCCATTGTAACTTCGACAGTCACTAAGCAAACTGTTGTAAGTCGAGGACTACCTGTACTTTATCACTTTTTCCTTTTTTTTTTTTTGGTCATCAAGTTTTTCACACCTTGCTAGGCGACTGGTGGTACTCGGATGTTGCCATATCCTAAAAGTGGTACAATGGGTGAAAAAGTTGAAAAGCCCTGGCCTATGCAACACCTGTTGCACTGGCTTTCAGCTGCAAATCCATGTATAATCACATATAAAGCCTTAGGTTCTGGATATCTAAAAGAGCACCTTGCTCCAAAGTTGCTGCTCAGTTACCCACATCCTGGATTACTGCAGTGCACTCTGCATGGGACAACCATCCTGGAAGAGTATTTGGAAGCTACAGCTGACATAGAAAGCAGTCCTGCGGATAGTTCTAGGAGCCCCTAGAGTGGCCCATTTAACACTGCTGTTGCACAAACTGCACGGGTTGCTGGTTTGCTTCCAAGTCCAATTCAAGGTATTGGTTATCATCTTTAAACCTCTTTATGACATGGGCCCGGGTTACCTGAGGAATCATCTCACCCAGTGAGACTGGCCCATCCTATTCGTTCCAACAGAAGAGGCATGCTGTGAACCCTTTTGTTAAGGAATTCTGTCTGGCAGAATCCAGGATAAGGACTTTTCTGCTGTAGCTCCCATCCTCTAGAACATCACACTCCTCAAAGTGAGAACTGCTCCCACCCTCTTGTTCTTTTGCAAGAGCCTCAAACTGGCTCTGCTGATTGACCTGGGCTCCTAATGAGAACATTCCATATTGGAACTCATTAGTGAACTATACAGAAGATTCCACCTCTACCCCATTGCATTCCGGTTTCTAACTCAAGACGTTTCTGTTAATTTTAACATTTAATGTTCTAATATTTTGTATTTTGCTTTTATGTTGTTATAAGCCCTCCAGAGTCACTTGACGGTAAGACGGGCAGCATATAAATTTAACAAATGAATAAATATAGTGGCAGGTGGGCATCCTCTGGATCAAGTCTGTGTCTTAGCATCAGAATAGGGGACACCAGCTGAGAGAAAACTAATTTAGAACTTTAAAAAAATCTTGCATTAGTATAATTTAATCAATAAGCTTATTAAGTATAGAAGAATTATTTTTTCCAGGAATTACTGAAGCTTCCCTTAAAGAAGGAAGGTTGAAAGTAGAAAATAATTGCTTAGGACTATGGGGCCCAGCAATGACTTTTTAATTTTAGTGACTGAATGTTTATATACAATTTGCACCTATTTTCATAATATTTTGTGAATATTATGAATATTCACTTTAGCATTCAGTTTCCAAACTTATATCTAGAAGATTGATTTATTTTTTTAAAAAAGCAACATAAAATCTCAGTATTTTTCTATATTGAGAAGCCTAGAAAACCTTCAATGATTTAACTTTCAAGTTATCAACCTTTGACATACATAATATGATAAACTGAACACAAGCAAAAAGAAATAATTAACAGAGGAAAATGGGTGAAATAAATAAACAGCTCTTACCATTTCAAGGCCTGTGACATTGAGGCTAGTAAGTTTTTGCAATGAATTTACCATTTGCACTAAACAGTCCTGAGAGATTCTATGAAGTCTGCCAATGTTCAAAACCTCTAGACCTGGACATTTAGTAGTAATTGATTTCAAGCATTTGTCAGTAATGGCTTGACAACCAAATATTTCCAGTTTCTTAAGGCTATAAAAGAACACATTATAAGGAAATTAGTAACATCCTTCAATATTAGCCATTCAACAGTCATTAAAATCATTATTCTTTTTAAAGATAAGTGCTTAAAAATAGCACCGCTCCCCAATATTAACACTAAGAAACATGAAAATAAAATATGAAAGTACTGATATAATAATACAGTGTCTTGGGCTAAGTCTAAACACATTATTCATATATTAATTGAAAAACTAAGCAGCTAGAAGTAACTATATTTTTTTCTATTATAGCCAATTCCAGAAAGTACATGCTTCTTATATCATTCAGTAGAGCACGCTTGGGATTGTTTATTTGACTATTTGCAGTTACCAATATGACAAGAAAATAAGAATGTATGTAAGAACCCTAGTAAGCTGCAGGATTCCTGATAATTATAAACAATCCATTTATAAAAATGCCCTCCCCTTTAAAACAGGTCTCTCTGTGGAATTTCTCCAGTGAGTAATAAAAGTTGTGTTGGCCATATCCAACCAAGAAAATGAGAAAGAAAAAACAGAATAAATTTGCAGGCTTTGGTTAGGTGACACATTTAACAGAGAAAGTGGATAATTTTTAGGGCCTTGAAGGATCAGCATGTATTTGTTGACATCCTGGACTAGGGACAAGATAAAGCCAGCATCATTTGATCAAGGAAGAAAAAAGTGGCTTGCCAGGATATTCTTGTGCCAAAATAAACCACAAGTGACAAATTAGCCTTAGAAATCTGGATTGTTATTCAACTCAGACTCACTAAATAGCTTCAGACCAGTAATTTCTCTCAGCCTCAGTTTATTTTCCTGTCAGATTATATACTGATCGATCTTACAAGGTTGCACAGTAAGAAGCACCTAGGAAAAAAGATACAAATACTTTCCTATCATCATTAAGAATTCTCTATATTTTCAGCCCAGATGCTAGTTATTCCTGTTTCTCTACTCCACTTTCAGATCTTTCAGCAGACATTTATTCTGCTTAAAAGTGGGCTCTGAACAGTATGGGGAGTTGTCCACTAGAGAAGAGTAAAAAAAATTCAAAAGGGCAGCAATTCTTCATAACTGGAAAAGAAAAAAGTGTGAACAGTTTGTAGGAAAGGAAAAGAAAAGTCACATTGGGAGTCTCTGGTTACCATCTGTTAGGTAACCAAATGGAAATATAAACAATTGCTAATGTTTGCACTGCATTTGGTTTTATATATTTTTATTCATGTAGATAAAAGATATTATATAGTTCAAATTAACCATAAAAACTAACTGTAATTAAATATTTTGTTTGTGTAGATAAATATCATGTGTACAGGGAAAGAAAGAAGTTACCTGTCTATCTCAGGCAAAGATACAAATCTTATGTAGGTGAATACATATGACAATTTAATTATGAAATAACATACAGTCAAGTTTGCCTTGAGCTTCATAAAATGTCTTCTTAATTTTGGTGATGATGCTTAACGTTCAATTCAATTTTGATCATTTAGTTAACAATTCATCCATGCTTTTTCCAAAGAGTGACTCAAGCTAAAGGTAAATTTGGTTAGTATTGGGATTGAATATTTGTCCTAATTTAATGCATTTGTTAAGGAAAACAACCTTGACTGTTCTTTGGAAATACAGATACAGAAGCTGAAGCTCAAATACTTTGGCTACCAAACATTATTATTGAATAATTATTATTATTGAAGTACTTTTTGTCATTAAAGTAAACCAAACCACAATTAACATACAGGTTCAATACATACATTTAAATTCATATTGGTATTTAAAATGTGCTAAGTCTTGTAGATTTCTAAATCAATTGCATCATCTTAAAATGAAAATCACAATAAAACAACAGAAAAAAAATTGATGGCAAATGCTACTTTTAAAAAATAGTTTGCAAAATAGTCACAGCTTTTTTGTTCACTTTTGAGTCATCTTTAACTTTTTTTTGCCATTGTGGATGAAGCACAAAACCAAGAAAGACTAAATCAGGATTGAGATATGATTTTATTTTCAAAAATAGTAAGCCAGAGTCTCTATATCAACTAGTTATCTAATCAACTTGTGATTTGTTCCAAAAAACCAATCCATTGTTTTCATCTTGAAGTGAATATGCATACAGTACTACATTAAGATAAGAAATCAAGGAGACGATATCATAACTTCTTTTTTTTTTAAGTGAACCATGCATATTTGTTGTACTTACTCCAAGACCTAAATTCTTAAGGCATTCTGTGATAAAAATGCAAAATAATAAATGGCATTTGTAAGGTTTTGTTTTCTCTTCTGAGACTAGAACTTATTCAAAGTACTGCAAGCTACAATATTTCCTCTAAGAAAAAATGACTTATATTAAACAATATAATACATTATACAGAAATAATGTATTATTGAAACTCTTCTTGTCATTGTTGTTGTTAATTGCGAAGTCGTGTCCGACCCATCGTGACCCCAGGTCTTCCTGTCCTCTACCATCTTCTGGAGTCCATTTAAGTTCACACCTTCAGTGACTCCATCCAGCCATCTCATTCTCTGTCGTCCCATTCTTCTATTGCCCTCAATCTTTCCCAGCATTAGGCCCTTCTCCAGTGAGTCCTTCCTTCTCATTAGGTGACCAAAGTATTTGAGTTTCAACCTCAGGATCTGAAGAGCAGTCGGGGTTGATCTCTTCTAGGACTGACCGGTTTGAACGCCTTGCAGTCCAAGGGACTCGCAGGAGTCTTCTCCAGCACCATAGTTCAAAGGCCTCACTTCTTTTGCGCTCAGCCTTTCTTATGGTCCAACTTTCACAGCCATACATTGCAACTGGGAAAACCATGGCCTGGACTATACGCACTTTTGTTGGCAGGGTGATGTCTCTGCTTTTTAGTATGCTGTCTAGATTTGCCATAGCTTTCCTCCCCAGGAGCAAGCGTCTTTTAATTTCTTGGCTGCAGTCCCCATCTGAGGTGATCTTGGAGCCCAAAAAAATAAAATCTGTCATTACCTCCATTTCTTCCCCATCTATTCTTGTCATTAAAGCAAGCCAAATAACCAATTAGCATACAGGTTCAAATTGCTACAAAGTGCTTGAATGATGGCAACATGATTAACTTAAAATAAGATTTCCAACATTTGCAGTCATCACTTGTAGTGCTTGTGCCATGTTTTATGTTTCTTCCTGGAAACAAGCTGGCACCATATTTGCAGTATGCAAATGTTAGTAGTATCCAGCTAAAAAGTGAGATGATCAGAGCAACAATTGGTTGTACTTCAGTGGATTTATGATTAAATGAAAGAAGGGCTTATCAAGGGGCTGCTGACAATGGAGGCAACTGTCTATAAAGAAGACAGTGAAAAAAGCAGGAGAGAATCAGAAACAAAAGACAGAGAACATTCTGTATTGTTGGAGCTCACATAGATCTTTCTGAGAAGATTCTACGTCTGAGCCTTCAAGAGAAAAGACACTGTAGAACAAAAGATAGGATATAGATCTTTAAAAGACAGAGAGGATGCAGCAGCACTTCTCAAGAAAATAGAGAAAAAAACTTACGGTGTTACCTTGGATGATGAAACATCTGCAAGAAAACAATTGAGCTTAGAGAGCACCAAGGACCTCACAGTTCAACCCTGATCTGCAAGTACTTTTCTACCATAGAAAATATTCTTCTATCATAGAAAATTTGTAACTGATCTATTGCTACAAAGAACTGAAACTAACATATTGTACATCCGGAGGATCAGTGAGCTTGTGAAGTACTGTATGCTAAGTACCAAGAGTAAGAATCAGGAATCTGAAAGAACTTCCAAAACTTAGCAAGTTCACAAACAATTGTTGCTTCTCCCAAGCTATATATACGGGAACATATGTACAGCTACAATCATATCATAATTTAACAGATAAGGAACGGAACTAAATAACCTAGTCTTTTTATTTATTCATTTATATCCTCATTTATTCAAAAGGAATCCACAGAAAACACTTTTAAAAAGACAGGTGAATGAGATGGTGTCCAAGAGACAAAGGTTTGTAAGATCACAGTCTGAATTATCCAGATAATGGACTATTGAAACACCATGCACTGCAATCCACAAATATTAGTAAAAGTAGCTTAAGCATAGTAAGCTATTTTTTTCTGTCGCAATAGCAGGGCCTTTGAAACTACTTAATAAAAAAACAACCAGAGAGTTATTTTATAAAATTTGTGATCTGAGTCTACGCACTAATGTTCAGATTATGGAAAATAAAATAAGATGAATATAGTAAAAGAAAGCATATTAAGAATAGTGGAAACCTGGGTCGTACGACTTCTACAACTAAAGTAGAACTGAAGAACACAATTTATTCAAAAGGAAGTAATAGAAATATTAAAAGACAGTTGTAGGTTAAAAAAATTCATATCTCCTCAGAAACCCAAGAGATGAATTTAGTGATACTACAATTAACATCTGGATTAAAATATGTAGAGGAATGAACAAAAGTAATACTGATGACCACTATCACAACATGAACACAAAGAAAAGATGTGTGGTAAGTTATATAAAAATAAACTATAGAATTATAATTATCAAAGATACATAGAGTAATTGTGATGGAGGATTTTTTAATTACCCTTACTTATGCTGGGGGATATATTTTATCAAACATGGTCCACAAAATTTCTAACTTACCTTGTTGGCAATTTAATTATTAAAAACTGGAAAACAGCACAAAAGCACAGTATCAGGTATCCTTGATACTAGTCATGACAGGATTTAAGATAAAGGATGGTAAATTCCACTGAATTGAGATGGAGATCCCTTTCTAATGATCAGAGAAGCTTGTTAAGTGAACCAATTACACAGTGAGGCAGTGGCCTGTTCTTTGCTTAGATCATGTATTCAAGCAAACTAAACAGTCATTTGTCCAGGATGCTTTCCTTAAGTCTGGACTCAATTAGAAAGGCCTGTGTGTCCTGGGTTTAAATTCATGAATTTGACTTCTTTGTCCTAAAGTACAATTGCCAAGCATAGCTAACCACTACCATACAATAGAAAAGGTTGTTTCTATAGTTATTGTGATTTGGCAGCAAAAAAAATAAGTTCAATTTTATAGAAATTAAGGGGGGAAATCATTGTGAACCTTTCTAAATTAAAGCAGTCATGATGTACCACCTTGTACTGAATTTTGATTCACAATTTCAGTTGGCATGCACCTACCTTTTTCCATGTTTTCCAATCAAGGCCATTACTGACTCATTGGTAATCTGGCATCCATTAGCAGAAAAACACTGTAAACTAAAGGAACAGTAGCAATTACTTTATTTTTTTCATATAATACAGTAACATGCAATTTAGTTGACTTGAGCTTGTTTCTTGTTATCACTGATATTGACTTTCTGATGAGCAGGAAAATCTGAAGAGCAAATTTCACCCATCTATCTATGCACAAGAATTCTTTTCCTGTCAATCCTCTTAACTCTCTTTAGTTAGTACTTTTATACAAGTATTTTCTTATATAAAATATTACATTTTCTTACAATGAATATGTTTTGATTAGGAATCTATAACATAAGATGTGGTCTTAAATATAGGCACCTGCACTGATCTCATTTTTTTAGTAAATGAAACAATATGAATATTGAGCTTAAAATATTGCAGCTATGTTAAAAAAATTATGGTGAATTATAATATGATTTGTTTTCATCTCAGCAGATTTAGGGAATCATATATTACAATTTCATACTATGTGTGAATCAAAGAAAAAACTTTTCAAAAAAGATTATAAAAAAAAATCTTGGCTTAGAGCCCAATACATGAATTTAGTCAAATTTAATCAAAGTTTAATTTCTATACAATTAACCAAGCAGGTGTATTTAGTTAAAAATCAATCCCACCTTATTTAATAAGCTTCCTCTGAAGTAAGTACAAAAAGCAGGACAGCTTAAAATCAATAATTTGATATTGTGCTTTAATGAAATATAAGCAGGTATCTTTTACTGGATTAACTACATTTAGCAAAACCAGTATAGATGCTTGTAATTTCTGCCAAACCTATTAACACTGTATTTTTAATCCTAATTTTCCCTCACTTCAGATGCTGAATGTCAATAGAAAGATGTCCAAAATTGGATATTGAAGGAGAAAAAAAAGAAGCTTGCCTTATCAGACATTACTATTATTGTTGTTTATTTTGTTGCATTCATATGCTACCCAACTGCCAATGACCTGGGTAGTTACAATTAAACACATTAAAAACAATTTTAAAATGTTACACCAACTTGAAGAGTAAAAATCGCAAGGATGACAAAAAATAAATAAATAAACCCTGACAGGAATAAGAAGAAATAAATTGCCAAAAGGGACTTCGTTCATTCTTGCAAAAGATCTAGGCAAAGAGCCAAGTCTTTAAGGCCCTTCAAATCGAGTCTATGACAATTCGCTATGGCCAACTCACTATGGCCAACTCAATGCAGGACAACTTGCCACAGCCAACTCGCCACAGGACAACTCATTGCTGGACAAAAATTATACTAATAACAAAAAAAATGGTGGAATGAAATCATTAAAAAAAGGATGTGAAAGGAAGGACAGAATGAAATGTGATTGACAAAAAATAGAATAATTTTTAATTTATTTTAAATAATTAAATAGAATTGTTAAATTGTTCCACAGTGAGTTGTTCCATGGCAAGCTGAATGTGGCGAGTTGACCGCAGTGAGTTGGCCATGGTGAGTTGGCCATGGTGAGTTGGCTGTGGTGAGTTGGCCATGGTGAGTTGGCTGTGGCAAGTTGTCCCATTCCCCTTCAAAACACCAGCTAGGTGGGGCTATCCAGAACTTAGGGGTGATCTCAGGGAGGGACTGCTACAGAGCAGTCTCACTTATAGGGTTCCAATTCATAGCATGGTTTAATTTAAGGACTCTGGAGTGTGCCAATTATGTCAAATCGAATTGGCCAGGCAGATAATATGGGAGACAAGATAATGTGGCCCCTCAAGTAACCAGGACCTATGCCATGTCAGCTTTTATAAGTAATAACCAGCACCTTGAAACAAACTGGCTTGTACAGCTGACAAAACAGAGATGTTACATGGGCATATTAAGATATGCCCATCCCTGCCTGCCCTACTGCATTTTAGACCATCTTAAGCTTTCTGATGTCTTTAAGGGAAGGCCTCATGAAGAGAGAATTGCAGTAGTCAAGACATGAGGTGACCATGACATGAGTGAGTGGAATCATCAGGGAAATACTAGAGTGGAAGAGAAAAACAGAGGAAAATCAAAATCAACAATAAGTTGTTATAAATTAGTAATGTCTTATGGAGAGAACAGAACAATATGATGAGTGAAACTGAAGAATTCTGGTAAAAAGCAGAGCAGGGCATTCCAAACTGCAACAAACCCCTATGTAATCTACTTGGCCTTTTTCATTGTTTTGCATCTGGTTGTACAAATGGTGGTAAAAGTATTTGGTGGCAATAGGGTTTTCGGGATTTTTTTTTTCAGATACCTGCTACAACCTTTAACCAGGGAATTGAGTCCAAAATCAGTAGCTCCTGTCCAACTTATATCTACAACTGCCAAGTTATGGCAAAAGGTGCTTGCGTGAAGAAGAACGCTGTCCCCTTTATATCCAGAACCACTGCAGTTTTTTATATTCAGTGCCTAAGCACAAAACAGAGGAAAAAAGGAAATTGCAATGAACTGACTGAAACAATTATTTTTGTTAGCATTTCTTATGCATCAATCAGAAATGTTTATTGTTTATTAGGGCAGTGCGATACTTCAGTTGTAAAGCAAAAAGGGTGTTTGGAAGTTGTAAGTTGTCAGCAATTCCTTAAGGCAGCTGCTTCTTTTCCTGGAATCTCACAACTGTAATGTGATCCTGGGAAAAATGTGTTTAAGAAATTGCTGATAGAAGCTTCATGCAAACGTATGTTTTCTCCAAATCATCCCTTGAATCTAAAACATCACCCAACCCTACGTTTATGTTTATAACAGGATAGTTAGAAGAAAACAAAGAGTTTATTATAATAAGCTTCCTTTCAAATTCTAGACAAAGTTTTTGTAACAATCAAACCAAAGGATTGAAGATTCATAAAGATTATCCAGATTTCATTACTATTGCTTCAACTTCATACTCAGGCCTGTGCCTCAAAGCAATTCTTCAACTCTACATAGTTAATGAGAGATAAAAGAAAGGGAAAAAAGGGGGGGAGATACTGTAGCTGCAGTTTTCAATATATTTTTGTTCTTTCCAGTTTTTCTGTTAGCTTCCATCACCATTTCTCAGACAGTTTCTACTGCAGCGATAAGCAAAAGCACCTCTTGACCTCAGGCACTAACGTTATATAATTTGTGGAATGACACAGGATGACACTGCCTTGTAAAAGTTTGCTTTTCTTTTTAATTCGTATTTATACTGGTATTAATTCCTAAGCTGTCATTTTGCAGTTTGATAAATGTACCATCTGTTATAATCTTTTAATTAAAAAAAAAGCCTCTCCAGGGCTTTTTTCATCTTAAAATGCCATCTGAACATTAATAAATCTGACTGGAATACCGATACTAGATGGGCAATGACAAATGGCTCACATAAGAAAACATGTCTTGAAGTAACAACAGGATTAATTAATTTGAGTTGCAATCCTGAGGCTCCTAGACTGGCATCTTGGATTGATTGGATTTCCTTTTCCAATCTCAAAGAAAAACTTTATTTTTGGATGGTAACACTACCTGCTAGATAGTTCCAGTTCTGAATCAGGCAATGGGGCATGTTGGAAGAACTACAGAATGACCAATGTATTTCCAACCTGAGGATCAAATAAGGGCATTCCTGGAGATGTTTAAATTAATTTACTCTTTTTGCAAGAGGAAAGCATGGAGGAAGAACAAAGCATACAGCCTCACTCCATATACATGTCCTCTTGGGATGACCTCAACAGAAAATTAGGTCAACACCAACAGCTTTCATTTCTAATATCACATTCTAAAATTATACTGCTTACAGTAGACAGCCAGTTTGTTATCTCAACATCCTGAATTATAATTTTTACAATTAAATTACTCATTATTGTTCTGGATATACAGTCAGAAAAATTGAAATCAGTCGTTCTGGTCTTATTGACTGTGAAAATGGCCTTTAATATGGAAGTGTTATTACAAATAGAATTACCCTTTTATCTATCATGTCTTATGAGCTTGTCATAGATGCCTTTTTGATTTTAATTTGATTTTGGAACCACGGGTTTGCCTTATTACACAGACATGTTCAGTATAAGAACAAGAGGACTGAATGCAAGCTGTTATTAATGCAGATGACATACTATGTCTTATTGATAATTATACCGTATATTGTACAAAAATTACTTATATTGTACAATGCTGGTAATTTATCAGCTTATTCAATGCACTGGTATACATTTCATATCTCCTATGGGTAGTATGTGTATGAAAATTTGTAAAAAGTAGAGTTCTGCTTGTTGCTTGAATATTTTAAACAACTGGGAATAATAATTCTAAGGAACTTGTAGAAGAGCAGGCAGAGCTGGGGGCAGAGTTAAGCACATCATCAGCTCAGAATCACTGCATTCCCACAAGCACTCTAAGTCCAACCCCTCTTGAATTCCATTGACCCTTATCTGGTGCCAATTTAGAGTGGAACTTTAGTTGACCAGATTAATGCAGGTGCAAAGAATCAGGACCATTCACAAGGTTTCAGCATAGAAGATGGTATTCAAGGCTATACACAAGCCAGCTTTATATGGCTTTATATGGCTTTATACTTAGATCAAATCTAACTTGTATGAGTGAACTTCTGTGCATATTATAGGACTTTTTGCTCTTCCTTACAGTCCTTGGAGGTTTAAAATGTTTACTTAAGGAACCCTGTAGTACCTGTTTGGGAACTTAGAATTAAATAAGACCTCCCAGCTCTTGGATGCAAGAGCTTCTATAAGAGGAGAAACCAGTTGGATAAAAATATCCAATCTACTCTTATTCATGTTTATTATTATTAATGTAAATATGGAAACCATACTGAAGTGAGTAGAGCTTGGTTTTCAATAGAATATATTTTTAATTTTGTGAAATCATATTACTGATATTGTATTAAATTAGAAAGAATATGGCCCACTGTGAGCTTCAGAATCCAGTAGTGTGTATAGAAACTTTATTTCTTATTTCCCTTATATTATACTATGTTCACCCAGATAGTATAATTTAAAATCTACATAAAATTATAATGAAAAATCATAACTATTTCCCAACTTGCTATAATTACAAAAACAAAACCAAGCTTTATATTTAAAGTGGACATTACCTTAAGATATCCTTCACAGTACTGGAAGAATTGTTTTAGCCCAACCTCAGAAATTCTCTTATTTTTATCATGGCAATGATCAAGAGTGAAACATTCAGGGTGGTGTTTTCCTAAACTAATCAACCAATCATCATTCAAGCAGTGGCAATCTTTAAGCTGAATCTTCTTCCCTAGAGAAAAATAACCTAGTTTATTTGGTGCAGGTAGATGTTTATTTATCAACTAAAGACTCTTTACAATATTTCATTTAAAATTAAAATAAAACATTTCTATTAATAGAATAGAATTCTTTATTGGCCAAGTGTGATTGGACATACAAGGAATTTGTCTCCAGTGCATAAGCTCTCAGTGTACATACAAGCAACAAAGTGGTGAACCATAGATCATAAATCATAAGATACAATCATAAATCATAAGATACAAAACAATTGATAAATCATAATATGCCACTTGGAGAAGGTTGTAGGAAATATGAGTAGTGAGAAAGATGAGAAGATGATAAGGATAATAGCAATACAGCCTACTACATGGGTAAATATTTTGGGGCAGAAGACAGTGTTTAGGAAGTATTTAGCAGAGTGATGGCATGGGGGAAGAAACTATCTTTGTGTTTAGTTGTTTTGGCATGGAATGCTCTATAGTGGTGTATTGATGGGAGAAGTTAAAACAGTTTATGTCCATTTATTAATATTCCTCAGCAAGGTTTAGGGCAAAATGTGTGATTTTCTTTTCCTTGGAGATATATTGTAGCAACTGCTCATCACAATCAACCACTACATCTGACAGGCAAATATTTGAAGTTAGATTTTCTCAAACCCCATTTTATATTCCAACCACTATATCTGATACAGTATATCAATAGCATGGAAGAAGATTCGGGATACCAAGAAAGAAAAGCTGCAATGTTAATTGGCTGACATAGGGAAATGCCTGTGTAACTCTAATCAAAGTTTTCATGCTAGTCAAGGCTTATTAGTATATTATTTTGACTATTGTACAGCCATCTGGAGAAAGCAAATCCATCTTGGTGTGCTAATGGCATTACATAATGTCATGGGAGTCACATTTTAAGAGTCATCTGCTGAGGCAGTCTCTAATGATAATTATTCATTTACTGAATAAATACTAAAAATCCCAATAAGTGAGGCAGAATAAGCTCTTAGCCTCTTCTAAAGTAGCTCTTTGGATCACAAACTTTATGTACCAAATAAACACTAGGCAATATCAAAGCAAGCAAATTAAATGGTATGAACTAGAACTGAAAAGTACCTCTCCTTTCATTCTAATTTGATTAAATTCTTTGTTATAGAGTAATGAGAAAAAAAAGAAATAACTGTTTTTATTAAAACTGTGTGCAATTTCTTCCAGAGGCAATGTCAACTGTTTGAATATGTGCTGATTCTTAAAAGTGTTTGCATAGCAGAGCTGGCTGATTTCTTCCATTAATGATTCTTCAGATCCAACCTTATATTTTTCCATTATGCCTCACAAATTTATAGTGCTGTCTCATGCATGTTTACACAGGTGCAAACTCTAGAGAATTAGTGAAATTTATTCCACTCTAAGAATACCATATGAAGGATTACAGCTATAAAGTAAATGATCTAATATTTATCACATGCAAACTATTTTGAAAAATATTGTAATAATCTTGAAATATAGACCAGAGTAATAAAAGTGCCACTTGTCCAAATTGAGAACTCAAGGTATTTGTAATTTGCCAGCAGTTGCTATTTATAAATTGGCAGTTATCTAAAGTGAGATAATAACCAAGCTGTCTAGGACAGTGGTTCTCAACCTGTGGGTCGGGACCCCATTTGGGGTCGAACGACCATTTCATGGGGTCGCCAAACAACGCAGTCCGCCATTTTTTCCCCTTTTCCTTAGCTGTGCTACTCCCTTTTATTCTGTTGGCTTTTGAAAGCCAATAGGATAGACTCTCTTGAATAGAGTCTAATTCTATTGGCTTTCAAAAGCCAATAGGAATTGTCCAGGCTGTCTCTGCCCTGCTGAGCCCGCCAAAAGTCCCATTTTGCAAATGGTGCTGCACCAGTTGAGTAATCTTCGACTTACGACCGGTTGAGTAGTCCTCGACTTATGACCGGTTGGGGGTCGTGGTATTAAAAAGGTTGAGAACTACTGGTCTAGGACAAGCAGTGTACAAGACTAAAGAACAAATCAGAATCAGAAGTTAGAAGCTAAAAGGCAGGAATGAGAAAGAAACTGTAAGTCACAGCAATGGCCACGATTTGAGAAAAACCATAAACCTCAGAGGGGCCTTGTTATTCAAACAAGGCTCAACTTGAACAGGAAGTGTCTTGCAATGCTTTCCAGGAGGATCCAGTACGGATAGTCCTCAACTTACAACCCCAATTGGGACTAGAATTTCTGTTGCTAAGCAATGCAGTTTAAAGGAGATGCCATGTATCACATTCACTTAGTGATCACAATTTTGGCAATCCCCATTGCTGTCATTAAGTGAAGGTTACCAATTGTTAGCCAAGGACCCAAACCAAGCCATTCTGCTATTGGTCCCTCCCAGCTCCGAGCATCAGTAAGGTAAAGGATTCCCCACCCACCCATCTGTCTTCCCCCCATTTTCTGCCTTTTGGGCTGCCCTGCACCCTGCCTTGAAGAACATCAAGCAGCCCCCAAACCGTGCAGTTCTGTGGCTGCTTGACATGACCCGGGAAGCTGCAACTGCCCCAGTTTGACATAGTAAAAAAGAATAAGAGGTTCATTTCATATATTTGATTTTCAGAAGTCCCAAAGGAGCCTTGAACTTTGCTCTTTCTTGCTAGGACAGAAGTCTCGAGCCCAACCCAAGAAAGGCATCCACAATGCAGCCAGGCCAGCTCACCACACTTTATTTATAACTGAAGTTCAGGTAATCCTCATTTAACAATGGTAATAGGACCAACAACTCCGTCAATACATGACCATGCTGACTTACGATGGCCGTTGCAGCAGTTCCAATTGCCATTGTTAAGAAAATTCTATGTGGTCATAGCATCCCATGGTTATTGGTCAACGGGGACTAACTGCAATACTTATCACCATCTAAACATATTACTCTTGAATCTAATGTCTTTAAAGCTTAACTTTATTTTATCCTTGTTCTAGAGCTGGGTGGAACTTCACTATAAACTCTAGAAGTCTCAGTAACTCTTTTCTTACTCTATTTCTCACATCAACCTACCTTGTGTATATTCATATTTCTCTAAACTACTTAATTTAAATACAGAAGAGAACAATTAGCTTGGCTCAAAGAGAATAAATTACAAAATAACAGAGAACTAGCTGAGTTTGTTTTCTACCGTGAACAATAAATATACCCACTTAAGGTAAAACACCATTATGGCTAATAATTTTTAAAGAAAAACCATCTCCAAAATATAAAGCTTTCATACTGTAACTTGATATCTCTTTGCATATAAGATGTTAGATATGGTGGTAGAGTTTTGCTTGGTATAAAGTACTCAAAGCTCAAATGTTCTTGCAGAGCACAAACACCTGATAATGTTATGCAAGAAAATTGTTACTAACTTGATCTTTAACTTTTTCTAAATAAGCCTACTCAACCCATTCCCCCTCCCACTCCCCAACACACAAATAAACTTTTTTTTTTTTAAAAAAAAAAAGATGCTTGGAGGCAGATGTTATCTGCAGACTGCTTTGGAAGTCTACATTTTTAACTATTTATTATTACACTTCTGGGAAAAAGAATGTTCACTTATGCAAATATCAGGTTTTTTTTTTTACTTATGCCAATTATATTATTGATTATTGTCTTTCAGCAAAGTATTTCAGCCACTTTTTTTAGAGATGGGTGGAGTGTTACTATGCAAAGATCATGCACCTTACAAAAGCAAGCCTAAAATATATACACATCCTATGCAACATTTACACATTACTGAAAGACAGATCTTGGCTGCATCTAATTGGCTGCCTTTCTTTACTCAAGGCACCAAGTGTTTGCTTTGGAATTCAGTGTGGGAACTAACACAAGCCTAGAGCTATTGACATGAAGCAAATGACCTTCAATTTGTTTTCTTCTATAGCAACTATCCAAAGCATTTTCCATTTCTTAGAAGTTTGTCAGCAGCACCAAATCCTGTGTTGCACACCTCAGTTTTCTCTAATAATATCTAAGACAGATAATTCATATAGCAACAGATGTCTGGAACTATCATGAAACAGGAATGTTTTCTCACGTGGTGAACATTTTTTAAAAAAAAACCAAAGTATTGGAAAGCTACCTAGCACAATGCAGAAAATTCTGCAATTTAAATCTGAAATGAACCACAACTTTTCCTACAAGGCATAATTTCAGGGGAAAAAAACCAATTGTAATTTAATGAGATATAGCTTACAGCAACAAAAAGAAATTTTGTTTAACATTGGAAGAAAGACACAACTTTGACTACATCTGACTGGGAACTTAAACTTGGAAAATACACAATGATGGCAAAACTAGCAGTATATGTACACAACAGAAGTTTAATTAAATGTAAGCAAGAATTGTTCCTATACATATAATGCATGGCAAATATAATCACTTACATTCTGGCTTCTAAGGGGGGCTAAATATCTACAAATATTGCAAATCAGCAGATGTCTATAAAGGAGGGACCCTAACAGTTCTTTTTATTATGTTCCTTTTTCTTCCTTTTGTTTAGTAATTAATTCTCATTAAATGTGCTTTATCTTTTCCTTTTATTAGTAGGTAATACATAAGCACACACTAAGCAACAATACAAAGGGGACTTTAATGAGTAATCTAATTAAGATTAAAACCTTACAACAATTACTTTTATATGAGTTGTAATGTTTTTCAATGTTATGCTCAATTTTGGACGAAAAAGCTAAACAATTTTATGCGTACAATGTTGCTATTAAATAAAATGGAATTTAAATGGAATTTTTTTCTTTCTCTTTTCTATTCTCAATATTGTAAGCTATTTAAATAATAAAATGTTAATAATTTTAAACATATTATACAAACATCAAAGTATGGAAACAACATAATTTATGTACTAAAATTTATAACATAATGGAAAATGGGGGAAATATCTAGTTTGTCAGGTCATCCAGTATATTCCTAACTATTTTTTAAAAATTGAATCCTCCCCCCCCCCTCTCTCACACACACACTCACACACACACACACACACACACACACAGCCATGCTCTGAATCAGCCTTATTTACCTTTTGCAGGGTTGGGTTGGCTGTATTATATAACTATGTATGAGTCATATCACGAGAAAGTCTATTGACAACATCCTAGTTTAACAAATAGATTGACAGGAGCCAGCTCATGCCAGGCTTGGCAGATATTGATATGATTAATGCTGCCATACAGTATATAGATTGCAAAATTCAGATACCCACTAAATGGCAACAAAAAGGTACAGAAATGTATGACTGCTTGCTATCGCCAAATGGTTATCCGAAATGCAGGCCTAATTTGGTAGTCATGATTATATTTACTATTACTATTGTTACTACATTGCTCCTCACATAAATGCTACTAAGATAAATATTGCTAATGCATAGGTGATCAGAAATCTCTTTTGCCTATAGTCATCAGTATGTCTATCTATATAATATTAAGGTGACCAACTTTTTTACAATAAAAAGGAGGACACAAATAAATTGAAGAAAAAAATATTGTAAATAAAAGAAACATTTTATTCATTGCAACAATAATACAGACAACTTGCATGTGCAAAGTTTGCCAGCCGGGTGTTTTGGCGCGCTCAGCAGCAATTCCTACTGGCTTTCGAAAGCCAATAGTGGGAGTAGCACAGCTCATGCAAAAGTTGAAAAAAAAAACCATCCAAAAAAGGTGCAGGAACGCCGTTCTGAGTGTTCTATGAGGGGGAAAAAAAGCCCTGCAGAAAAGGAGGACACGAAGGAGGACACTTTTTGACTGAGGACAGAACTTACAAAAGGAGGACTGTCCTCCCTAAAGGAGAACGGTTGGTCACCTTAATAATAAAAGATTCATCTGCCAAACTTTTAGGAAAAAGAAAAAGGCATTTCATTCTTTACAAAATGTCATGAGACAGCACAAAAGAGAGAAGTTAAATCCTTACTCCTACCAGCTAACTTTCATCATTTTTTTCCTGAATATGTTTCCACATACATGCAGTTCTGCCATTAGAATTAATACCTAAAGCCTGCTTACCATGACATAGAGAGGAATAGTGCATAGCTTATTATGAATCTCCCAGCTACTATCAGTCTCATCCTGTTTCAAAAGGATTGTTTTGCAGTACAGATGTGCAACCCAGGAATAGTGAAATGATGTTCTGTTGCTGCATTCTAAAGATTATGTTCAAGCCAAGTTCAAACCCTGATGATTACATTTGTGATATTAAGTCTCCATGGCTCATCCCAGTTACTCATCAACACAGTGCTAGGCTGCATTAACAGAGGGATAGAATCAAGATCACGTGAAGTATTAATACCACTCTTCAATGCCTTGGTAAGGCCACACTTGGAATACTGCATCCAGTTTTGGTCACCACGATGTAAAAAAGATGTTGAGACTCTAGAAAGAGTACAGAGAAGAGCAACAAAGATGTTTAGGGGACTGGAGGCTAAAACATATAAGGAACGGTTGCTAGAATTGGGTATGTCTAGTTTAACAAAGAGAAGGACAAAGGGGGACATGATAGCAGTATTCCAATATCTCAGGGGCTGCCATAAAGAAGAGGGAATTAAGCTATTTTCCAAAGCACCTGAAGGCAGGACAAGAAGCAACGGGTGGAAACTCATCAAGGAGAGAAGCAACCTAGAACTCAGGAGAAACTTCCTGACAGTGAGAACAATTAATCAGTGGAACAGCTTGCCTCCAGAAGCAGTAAATGCTCCAACACTGGAAGTTTTTAAGAAGAGACTGGACAGCCATTTGTCCGAAATGGTGTAGGGTTTCCTGCCCGAGCAGGGAGTTGGACTAGATGACCTCCAAGGTCCCTTCCAACTTTACTACTATTACTATTACTATTACTATCTGTACAAGTCGTGGCCCAAAGGGGTGAACCACACAACTTTATACACAGGATTAGCCGTCCTCCTGTTAATCCTGACTGAGCATTTCCTTGAAATTTACTATTTTGCACTGAGAAAAAAACATTCTGCCTTTAAAAATATGCAAAAAACTTTTGGTGAAATTCAGTACTACAATTTTTAAAAATTACAAGCATGCTTTTACTAGATGATAACCAGACAAAAGGGAAGCAAAGTATGTTTACAGCATGCACAGGTAATGTAAACAAGAAATACAAAAACAGAACTACAATGTAAAAGATTCCCAATAACAGCATAAATATGCAAACAAACAAATATGTAACTTATTTTAATTTGATGTCAGGGCATGAAAGCTTTGCTCTTGTTGTCCCAACTAAATATAAATGTACATATTTAAAACTATGAGATTTTAAAATGACCATACAGGACTTTTATATTACTCCAACCTTTTAATGTTTATTCATTTTAATGTACTTACAAAAGGACTTATCTCCAGCTAGTTGATAAAAGTGATGACAGACCTGGGAAATCCGAGAAATATCTTTATGAGTCAGCAGGGAAAAGATACAAAGCCACAATTCATCAGGAAGCAGCAGCCATGGTGTGAGACTGAAGTCACTTTTCTAAAACAAAACAAAACAAGAAAGCATTTGAATCCCAAAACAACAGTAACAAGCATGCAAGTCAGCCCAATACTGAATGAATGAGACAGATGTGATCAAGGCAGTAGCAGATCAAGCTTTATGATTCAATTCACAAATTGTATTTGTGTACTTTGCTCTCATCTGGAAGATACCTGTAACTATTTTTTTTCTTTTAACAGGCTGAATGCCTCAAAAATTTTGAATGCTTAAACTAAATTATCACTGTATTTCTATAAAACAACTTCAAACAAAAGGCTATAGAATGGAACATAATTGCTATATACACACATGTAACTTACTGTGCATGTTCATGAAACTGAAAGTTAGACCACCATTGCACATGAATCATTTAACATAAAAAGTTAAATTTGTTTGCAATTTTAATGGGCAAAAGCAAACAATCATAACTTAGAAAAATGTGTACAAGCAAAGCTAATATAATCATTGCTTATAAGTACTAGACAAATTGTGATTGAGTAGTCAATGATTTATTGTGTTGTGCGACTGCCAGTAGTCAAGTTAATTTAGCAAACTAAGATTCGATTAAACATAGATTAGCATGTTGCAGAAAGAGAGTCATAGTCATGATCTCCATTTTTTCTTACATACAATATAGTTATGGGACACAAAACCATACAATAGAGAGCAACCATGATGAGGATGGGTATTTTTAAAAGATTATTTTAATTAAAAGATTTGAAGGGAAGATAACATGCTGCAAAGCAGAGCTCAGCTGTATTTTCTACGCTGGCATTCTTAGAAAACGAAATTGTGGTGGCTCTAACCTATGGCTATTAGTGAATGTATATAGATAGTCCTCGATCTACAACTATAAGGAAGCCTGCCCGTTATGGTTGCAGCAAGTCATGGCAGTCATAAAGCAGATCATCATGTGACCAAAAATGGTTTTTAGTACCTTTTTTGCGGCAGTCCTTAAACAGATGCCACAATCAAAGTGTTTTCTATGGGATGTTTTTGAAAAACAGAAGTAAATGCTGGTCATGTGACGATGGGACACTCCAAATAGCCATAAATGCAGGCCATTTATTTAAATCAGATGCTCCTCTTCAAAGCTAGCAGATTAATATACCAGCCGGACATAGAGTCTCAGTGTATCAATACTGATAACATCAGCCTAAGCTTACAAAAAAGTCAAGGAAGCAATTACTGACCAGCCATTTGAGACAGTTTCTATGGTCTGCTTATGAAAAGTTGGAAGTGAGTGAACAACTACATCTATATTGAAAGGATTGTTACAATTAAATGGGAAGCCTACAATACAGAAACTTGTTTTGAACACGTGCATTTCCATACAACAAATCAGATTTAAAAGCTCAACAAGAATGTTGCTTAAGCAATGATTATTACAAGCAGCAGAGAAGGCCTGAAGAACTTATACCATACGGTGATATTTCTATTGCAGTAATCCTTAAGAACTGTCCAAACTGATAACACAACCATCATCAATTCTATCCTACAGACCCAGAAAACTACCCGTATTTCAAAATCAGCCAATTTCAAAAGTCCCTCTGGTGAAGGGAAAACACCAATTTCCTGGTAAGCAAACTATAACTCCTGACTGTATTGACCTGCAAACTCAGGGCTGGCTTAGTTTAAAGGCTGTTTTGCCAAAAAGGGCAGGGCTGGTGCGTGGGGGTAGGGGGTAATTGGAGGAAAAGGTGGAGAAGTCAACAGATACCAGAGCACGACAACGAAGAAAAGACTGCAGAGAAAGTGCTGGAAATTCCCTTATCATGGCCTCTATAAACATACTCTCCCATCTGTCTATGCTGCCTGATTGGGACCCAGATCATTTGTCAGGCACTATAGCAATTCTATATGTAAGGAAATTTAAAAGTCAGAGCCTTCACAAGAAGTCATTGCCTGTTTGTGTAGCTGGGGCACCCTCTGTGTCTGCTGGCGTGAAGGGTATCAATCCTCTAACTATTGCTGCCTGTCCCATTTGATATCTCCCTTGATTTGTATATTTTATGTTTGAGAAATTTTCTTTTGCATGCTTGGACTGCTGACACTGTTTCGTTTTCAGTTCCTGAGCCTGAATGCTTAAGGGTATGGGAAGAATAAACTGCAGCAGGTTTTCTAGATCTTTGGAGTCCAATGTTTGCTGCTACTCATGAATCAGCTCTCTAACTACAGGGAACTTTGCCACAGTCCTTTTAAAAAGTGTTTTTTATATATTGTGTCTAATTATGATTATGCAGGTTCAAAAATAATTCTGAAGTATTTCAGATTTCTCATGAGCATAGTATCTCACTTCTATTAAAGCAGTCCATCTTTTGGGTTTGGGGAGGGGATTTTTCTTGTAAAATTTAAAAAACTTTCAATAAAAAAAAAGCAGTCCATCTTTTTTCATACTTCTGCACAAGCCTGAAAAAAAATGTGGCGGCTTTAAGAATTGTATTAATTGTAATAAGTCAGTTCCTTAAAATAACTACAAAGTTTTTAGCTCACACAGAAGATTGGAAAAGGTTTGATTTATAACATTATCAAAGCTCTATTTCTAAACCTTAACTACATAATGGTATACATACATTCTCCAAATGTTTCTGGTGCTACTGTTGTAATATATAACTTAGAAGACAACATATGCTTACCATGTTTAATTTGTTATAACCTTGAGGAGTGTTTTCATACTGTAGCCTACGTTGTGTCCCTAGAAAAGAAATACGAACTTTGAATTTCCCAAATATGCAGTTATTTGGGACAACACAGCAGGCTTTACAGAATCATTAGCCTTTAATATGTTGACAATATTCATTGAAATACCACTGTAGCTCAACATACACTCATCTTGTGTCATACAATTTGAAATTTCATTGGCTCATACCAATTTCCTTTCATTGTAACTCAAGTTGCAGTTATTGCACTAAAATATTAAAGTAGTGAGGCTATAATCTTTTTTACAATAGTATATTGGAGTCATTTGCTTGGCAGATGCGAGAATGGAAAAATAATATATTTTGACATACTGAATGCTACAGTAATCATAGCTGGGGCAACGGCGCAGGTGCCCACAGAGAGGGCTCTGAGTGCCACCTCTGGCACGCATGTCATAGGTTCGCCACCACTGTCCTAGGGGGACACTGAAGGTATAATACAAGATTTTCTATTTCAGCAAAGGTATATGAAATTTTCTCAAAGGAAAAAAAGGATTAGTTTACAGATCTGAGAGAGCTCAGGAAGCATCAAAGTCATGAATGCGCTGGTCTCTGGGCTGATATTGGATATACTACAAAAAGATCTGGAAATTTTCAAAAGATTCCAAAAAGAATCGAATTAAACCTCCCACTTTTCATTTTATTCAACTGTTTCCCAGATTGGTTGATTCTTGTTTTAATTAAAACAATCTGCACTGATACGTTCCTTATGAAAACATGCTAAACCCAGGATTTAAAAAGCTACTTTAGATACATAAGTGGACAATCCCTGCTCTGCCCCATACAATTAGGTTAATTTTACTATTAAAACTACTAGCGAAAACATCTGTTAGAAAAACAACATTTTCAATATGTTTTATTTCTCATGAACTTAATTATAGTGGCAGTGAGTACCTGTTGAAAGTCCTGAAGGATTGGGGACAGATTATCTTGGATCAAGGAAAAGAAAGAAAAGTGAACAGAGTTTTTGACAACAAGGACGTCACTTTAAATTCTACAAACCTGAAGATGGACGGCTCTCGGAGTTATAACTGCTCTTCCTTATTAACTTCTTGCCTGTTGCAGGTCTTTGGACATGTGATCTACTGCAAAGAAAAACATAGTGCAACATTAATGAAAACAATTACATAAGATGTCCTGTGGAACAATAGCTAGAAGGGGCGTTGTCTTACCTGAACACCTTTTCTCAGCATGATGATAGAGAATATGTGATTTACATATACAGTTCAACTCTTTCTCAGCCTCAAAATAAATAACAACTGGGCCAGTTGTTACTTATCCATTCCAAACTTCTCTTCGTGATTTGAACAAGAAAAAATATACAGGTAGCAGGAGCAAACTGGGGAGTAGTATTGAACCAAATTTACCCTGCTTACATAGCTTACTTTAGCTTCTGTTATTTTGCATTTTTTAAGGGGAAAGGCAGCCACCAGTACTAATCCTCTGCTGTGATAAACAGATTGTTACACTTGTTGGAGGATCAAACATAAATCTACCCATAAATAAAAGACAGATTTTCTCAAACAGAAAGAAGATGAAGAAATTTAAAAATCAAAATAAGAAATAAGCAATTAACGTTGTTTTGCTTTTGTGCTTTTGAGTCAGTTTTGACTTCTGATGACTGCCTGGACTAGTCCCTGAAGTTTTCTTGGAAAAGTTTTTGCAAGTGGTTTGCCATTTCCTTCTTCCTAGGGCAGAGTGTGACCAGAGCAAGGTGACCCAGTTGGTTTTGTGCCTCACGTACCTCCGGAGTTTTAGCCTAACACTTAACCATTATACCAAATAGGCTCTCTAACTTTAGTCTTAAAAAGTACAAAGTTCACTATTCTCATGAAATTCATGCACTTTAGTGATACAAAGTCTATGTCAAAAACTATTATTTTTATTTAGATTATACTCATGCATGCATTTCAATGTTATTCCCTTTACAGTAAGCAAAACTATGCAAAGCACAGAAGAGAGTAAAAAGTGTTGAGAAAAAGAAACCGGAGCCAATAAAAGATAATCTAACTAAATCAACTTTATACTAACAAGATTTACCCTAATTCTGTGTGCTTTCTACTACTGCACCCTATCTTTGCTTTCATATATGAATACACTAAAGATATTACTATAGAAATTTACACATAGGTGTACAATGTTATTTATACTAGACTCAATATAATCCATCTCAAATTAGTATTTCATAATTAAATGGAAATAGTTATGCAGGGAAAACATTAACATAGGAAACCAGTATTCTCTTTAAAATAGTAAAAGATTATTCAGGACTGACATATACCGGTGTGATTGTAAAATAATAGTGTTGATATCATGAGATATTTATAAAGTATAAAGCAATCTGCAGGGAACCATTATAAATTCTGAGTTAAAAAATGAAACCCAAATCACAGGGGAGGTAGGCCTTTTGTAAATGCACTGCTTTGTTCACACAGTTGTACTAAATATTAAATAAGCAAACCTTGGCTTCAGTTTTCTCTGTGTGTAAGATGAGCACGAAATGCTGGCTCTTTCCCAATGTTTCTTAGAACTAGCCTGTTTGGGGCTTGATTTCCTGCTTTCAAAAACGTCCTGGTCTATAAAAGATAATCCACAGAATATAGTTACAGTCACAGTTAATTGCAATATGCAGTTAAAGGAGCTCCAGGGAATGACATAAATATCTAAAACACATCCTTGGCATTCATAAGACATATTAGGAGACTATAATGAGTCCAAACCCAGAAAAAATACACGGAATCTGATTGGATTTCCCAATTTAATTACATTTGGATATAGAAGGGGAATTCTGAATATCAGCTGTGGAAATGTTGGTTTCAGTGGCCACAGAGGTGCTGGTTCAAATTACAACTTCTCTGCATCCTGCTTTCAGCTGAGAAGGAAGGGGAGAGAGATTGCCAGTAATTAATCAAATATATAAGAGAAGAATAAGCTTATTCCCAGAGGCATCCACAGAAACTAATGCCTTTGTCAAAATGATGGTAGTGGAATTGCACCACTGTGCTGGAAACATTGCCCTTTTCATATGTGAATGTGACATCACACAAAGATACATGCAGGGAGTTTGCAGCACAACTGCAAGACTTTACTTTTTTCATTTGCCCTCACCCAGTAATGCCTGCATCACTACAGCAATGTCAACAATGTCACTTGTGCAAAGACCAGTTCCAGCCTTTGATTTACTAAATCACTATGAAGTGGATTGTCCTTGTTGCTAGAACCAAACAATCCTACCTTAGTTGGGAGCAATCTCCTTATGGTTTATGTAAAATGTACTTCGGAGGTTTATCCCATTTGTGAAGAGCAATGAAACTAAGAGCATACACACTAGTAGCAGCTTCTTCATGACCCAATCTTAAAGAAATCAATGCTGTACCAAGAACTGGCCATATTGTGAGATCAGAACACAGAAAATACTTTGAATACATAAAAAGTCTCAAATGGAAAGTATGTTTATTCATAATTTCATGTATTTCTAAGTCTATTCTAAAAAATACCAAAATTTATTAGTAAATAATAAAAATGAAGATAAAAATTAGGGGGCTCTGAAAACAACTGGCCCTAGAGTAGGAAGTTGAGATGCAGTTGCAAATGCATGGACAAGTTTTTTTAAACTGAGTAGCACTTTAACACTTCCTTCCTCTTCCAGAACTAGGATTTTCATGAAAGAGCCACTGCTATCACATACAAAGATTTCTGGAGAAAGGATTTATTTCTTATCACTTCTCACCATAGCACATATTAGTTCAAAACACTTATGTTCTCTTTCATTATGGTGGTGGACAGGACATGTGGGAATCTAGAAGTTCCCACCGTCATTAGCGCATCACATAGCACTCCAAGGGATTTGTAGAGCCTGCAAGTTATTTTTCCCTCTCCTTAATACATGGAAGATAAATTTAAATTCTTCCTGAGCGATTGACATAAACCCTACAATTATGGTATTAAATATGAAATCCTATAAATCCTGTTGTTTTCAAACGAGTTTATGGCTAATACCCTTCCTAGATTATGTCATTTAATCTGAGCCACTGCCATACCATGGAGTCATAATTTTAAATTCTCAATAAAGTAGGACAAGAATAAAATAACCTTTCTTTTAAATATAAAAGCTTTCACTATATTTTGTGTTTGTGACAAAGTAACATGGGACAGTAATTAGATGTCCTCCAAATAGTTTTGATTTCACCTGCTAACAATCACACCCAAAATGGCTAACATAAGACATTCTGGAAACTATAGTTTAAACCAGGGGTCTTCAAACTTGGCCCTTTTATGACTTGTGGACTTCAACTCCCAGAATTCCTCAGCCAGAGAGGAAGAGAGTCATAAAAGGGCCAAATTTGAAGACCTCTGGTTTAAAACATCAAGTTTCCTGCTCTTGCAAGACATTTTAAAACAATTGTACATCTGACTGACTAGAAAACAACAGTCCAATTTTACCTTTAAAACTGCCTGTTCTCTCCATTTGTTTGAGGCTGCTATTTGCAGACTGGGGCTTCAACACCTGATCTTTGAAATGATTTTGCTGTTTGATGATCTCAGTCTTTTTATTGCCTTCAGAAGTTCCCAGATCATTGATCATATTTTCATCTGTCTGCTCCTCATACATGCTATTATTCTTACAGTAACAGGGTCCAGTATCGTAGGTTTCTTTGGAAAAATCATGTTCTTGACAAAAAAAGAACCGATGGGCATTTTCACCTTGAAATCTTTTGGACTCATTGAGATAGTTCAAATAAAAATAATATTTAGCCAAAATGCCATCACTATGGCTGAAATCTAATGGGAATGTATTGCTGCAAAGTGGTTTCTCATGACCATCCCCTTTAACAGTTGCAGTGAGGAATTCTTTAGCACCAAATGCTGATTTGAGGCCAATTACAGAAATATTATCATTTACAGAGCTTTGCTCATTTTTGGAGACGATACAAGGCTTATGGACTACCTGGTCATCCCTGATCTGGTGAGGCCTAGCTAGCAAAATGCAGTCACTATTGCTCTTATTCATGCTTTTGTGATTCAAAGAGTCTGAGTCCTCTTTATAAGTATTATTTACTTTATAAGCATTATTTTCTGAAGGCTTCAGTAATGAACTCTCCGAACTGCTCTTAATTTGCATAACTGAATATTCCAATAGAGATATCAATTCTGCATCTTTTTGATATGTATCACAACTATTTTTGTTAAAATTGACTTCCTGTTTATTTTTCCTCCCTTTAAAGATCTTGTCCATTTCCAGCGTTTGCTGTAATTTAGATTCGTTTCTCTGGTCTGAGGCTCTCTCTAGAGGTGGAATACCTGATACCTGATCCCTCAGCATATCTTTTTCTACTGTAGACTTGAAATGAAAATGGATATTTCCATTTGTAGACTTTTCATGGTTGCTTTTTATGGAATTCCGTCTTCCACTAAAATCTTCATATTTTGGAGTCTGGGTAAAACTCTTGCATTTATATTCTCGAATATCCAAGGTTTCCATTCCTGAATTCCATTCTTCGTAGCTGTCAAGCATTATTTTGAAGGTAAATTCCTCTTCCGGCATTGATGAATTGAAATATTTCATAATAGTTGGATTGTCAAAGTTAGCACTTTTATAATTTTTGCTGTCCATAGTTGTCCACTTTAAATTATTTTCTGTCATATTTGTCCACTCTTCATCCGAACTGTCACTGAGTGGAGCCCAAAAATAGTTTTCATTTTTATGTTTGGCTGGCTGGATGGAATCTGAAATAAAGCTTGCAGGACATGATGTATTATTAGTTACCAAAGTCCCAGGAGTTTCTTGTTCAAAATTCTCTGAATTATTTTCAAAGGCTACAGAGCTTTTTAAAATATTTGCATATAACAGCTTTGGATCAAAAGTGTCAGGCTTTTTATTTATGCTATCTTTGCTCCTGTTACTTTGAACCATCTTTTTTAATATGCAGTGATCCCAGACAGGTTGATTACTTTCCTGAATGCTATCCCCAATGGGAGACTGATCAAGAAACAATTCTGTCCAATTTACATGTTTGAGTTTTTGAATCTCAGGGATGCTACATTCCCTATGTAGTTCATTATCTGATTCTGAAATACATATATTCTTTAAGCATTTTCTTTCGGCAAGACCAGCTGTAGCTCTTGCTGTTTCTTCCTTTCTTAGAGAAGTCACTTCAGAGAGATTCCCAATAGTTGAAGGCTTTTTTCCATTTACTGTTTCATTGGGTTCTTCAAAGCTCATCTTAGTATCAATTGTAAAATTCAACGAACAACTTCTAGACTGTATGGAATTGTTATTATCTGCTGAATAAGGCACTATTTTTCCATAGCAAGATATAGGAATAAATGATACAGAGATTTCAGGAACAGTATCACCAACAGATGGGTATAGTATATTCTGAGACGGATATTCCATCTGTAGAAATAAAAAAAATGCACATTAAAGCTGTTTTATCTGAAGATGAAAACTATTGCTGAGCCTAAACAGTTAAACATTGGAGCTCTCAAATCTTGTCTCCCATAAATCCTTTGAGTTTACATACCCTGGCCTACCTTGTTACCTTAGTAGCTGCTACATAGTTATTGCTACTATTACTTCTCTTCCAAAGAATGCTTTTGCCTGGCATCCTATCCCTACAACTGGGGTATAAGACAGAAAAAAAAACCACACACACTAGACGCTTTATCAGCAAATAAGGGGAAAAAAGGAAATAATGAATTTAATTCTCCTTGGAAGTTAGATTGATGTAAGTTATCATTAAAATCACACTATTAAGAAAAGGAAGCAAAAATTTATTATTTATTTTAGGTAGTCACAAACAATCAATGTTTCAGGAAATTAAAACAAAAAAAAAATCAGTGCTCTTAAATCCACAAATAGTACTTAAAGGAATCTGTTATAAAAAAAACTATAAAGGAGAAGATAATCTCCTGATAAATCACAAGTTGAACTGCTTGTCAGAGATCTCAAGAAGCATCAAACATACAACAGCTGAGCTTGCACAGTTCCTTTTTGATTCAGCTTTACTTGGGCTTAATTTTTGATTTTCTGGAAAGTCCAAGCTAAATTCAGCAGCTGAAGAAAAATTTCAACCTTTTGCTTCCCTTCATTCACAAAATAGCATACCTATTTTTCTCCCATAGAAATATTTCCTGCCATTTCATGCAAAGACAAGCAAATATCTCTCCCTAGGAGTGAAGAAGTTGAAGATTTGACTCAGTATCATATATGACAAACTACATGTCACCTCAATGTTGGCAGAAACTCAAGAGTGCCTGTCATTTACACTAGTTAGTATCTGAGAGAGAGGTAAATGACAGAACATGTCACACTGTGATGTAAAGTTCACTGATTTTGTACATGTGTTGTGACATTGCACACAAACACCTAAGGATCACAACTTGTGCTGTAATGTCAGGATACACTTTTATTGTGTTGAAGAAACCTCCAGATTCTGCAGATCCCTATGGCTGTGAAATCCATGAATATGGGACTAAGGGCTTGCTTGCACATTCACAACAGGTATAGATACCAATATTTCACATAATTATATTTGGTTCAAACTAATAAGGCTGCACCTCTCAGAAGATAGCAAAAAATGCTCTGTTATAATCTCTGCAAAATACCATAAATCCTCATCTTATTTACATAAAACAATGAAGTCCATCTTCCTGAACCAATGGACACATATGGAATAAGTATTTTCAGAGCTCTTACAAAACAATGTAAGTGGATATGGCCAGTTATGCATTTTGAAAAAGTGGAATGGAGAAACATGCCTAACAGCAAACTGAGGTCAAGTCTTCAAAAATCATTCAAAATAATTTAGTCAACAAGTGCAGGACACAGATTTCTAATCACAAAGTTGCTGAAACAAAGTACAACAAAATATAACATTTAAATTGCTCAGTTAGTGTTTTTTTTTTTTTTTTTTTTTTGAGAAACAGGACTTATAAATGACCAAGCAATAGCCAAGCTGTCTGAGGATTAAAAGAACAAAAATCTAGCTAGAAGCATCTATAGAAGAACAAATAAAGACAGCAGTCACACCTGTGTGATTAAAACTTCACCGTTTTTTGGGGGGTGGCACATCTGACTGAATCAATAGAACACCCTGTTATCACACATGAAATGAGTTCGCCATCATTCAACAAGCCAGAACCGATGGTATCTGAACAAGCCCTGATGACACAAAAATGACAAGCATGTGAAGATATCATGATGCAAATATTGAACTTACATACATGCACCCGTCCTCCTTTCTACTCCTTTTCCACCCACAGCTGTAGAGGCAGGATAGGGATAAGCAGTGGAAAAGGCACGTTTTCTGCCCTGTTCTCTGTCAGCCCCTATATTGGCCGATAGTGCTGGAGGTTGAAACATTCAGGATGCACATATGAATATTCCTGAGATCAGGATCCTGACTTGAGCAATCTGTAGATTTTATAACTACTGATTCGGGACAGACCATAAAGCATACTAATTCTAACCTTGCTGATTTTAAGTCTCCAGTTTACAGGAGGGAGAAAACATCTTATGAAGCGCCCAAGTCTTATTTCTCAGAGTCACAGAGAATGTGATAACAAAGCATTCTTATGTCATGCCAGCTCCTTCTAAGTTACCAGGAAAAAAATGGATGGATAAAGCTTATGAAGTCAGTTTGATCTAGAGCCAGCTTGGTCAAGAGGTTAAGTCACCTAGCAAGAAAGCAGGAGACCATGAGTTCAAGTCCTGCCTTAGCCATGAAAGCCAGTCGGGTGGGTTTGGGCCAGTCACTCTTTCTCAGTCCAACCCATCTCACAGGACTGATGTTGTGAGGAAAATAGGAAGGTGTGTTGGATATGTTCACAGCCCTGAGTTGTTGTTTTTGTTGTTTTAAAAAAGGGGGTTATAAATAAAATGTCTCTCTGGAAAATTTGGCAACCTAGTTCGGATTTCGGCCTGACAACCTCAACAAACCCTCTCTCCAACCATGAGCCTGGGCTACGAGTAGTAAAACCCACCTCCTCCATCGGCAGCATGCTCCTAACCAGGCTCCAAAAGCAAAGGAAACTGCAAGCCTCCCTTGCGCGGATTGGTTGCAGTTTTCGCGGCGCCCTCAAGAAGACTACACAGGTTGGGCCGACCTCTCTCTCACACACACACTCTCTCTCTCTCCTTTGGAAGAAAAAGGTAAAGAAGAGGCGCCAAAACTGAAGGAGCCGCTGGGAAGTTTTCTCTAACACCAACCGTGGGAAATGTGTACTCCGCCATCCCCGTGGCAACCGCCGAGGGTGGAGCCAGTCGCCGAGGGAAAAGGGTGGAGATGCCGGCTCCCTTCTCCATTGCTGAGAGCGTCTGAACCGGGTCTCCGTTTCCGCCCGCCTTTTCCCTCGTCCTCTTTCTCCTTCGAAGACTGCTAAATGCCCTAGAACGGCGGTTGTAATTCAACACCACATAACCAGTCCCGATATACCTGACTTTTATCCTAAGTAATGACAACAGTAAGCGTATCAGATGAATTTTGAGCGTGTGTTTTTCAATAGGCTTTCGGCTGCCGCCTGTATCTCCTTATCCTTTTTTCCAAGTCCTGGAAACCTTCAAAATAAATAGGCTTCCAGCTGCTACACTACAGGGACAAGCCAGACTTTCCTTGCGTGAGCACACAGTTGCACTAGGGGGCGCTGTCGGATTCAGAGAAAGAAAAAGACCTATTTTTCTGTCCGCAGGAAAGTTCTGAAGGAATTGCACCGTGTTCTCCCTCACGCGCTTCCTGCGTAAGCTTGGCTCTGAATGGCGGAACACACGCAGTTTGCGCACAGAAGGTTCCCTGCACCTTCTTCCAAAGGAGAGAGAGAGAGAGAGAGAGAGAGAGAGAGAGAGAGAGAGAGAGACACACACACACACACACACACACACACACACACACACACACACACACACACACACACACACACACACACACACACACACACACACAGACTTCATCATAACCTGCTGCTTCTTTCTCTCTAATTCTCCTCCCCCTCCCCCCGTTGACTTGTTGCTGCCCCAGAATGATAATGACATGATGCCATTTGGAGATTCTAGGGAAATGATTGGAGATTTTATTGATTAAAAGTAGGCTGCATCAACTGTCATCAAATAAATTTAATGCCAGGTGTAAGGCTATATAAAAATGTATTGCCTGATGTATTTGGCTGCCTGGTTATCAAGATAAGGACAGCAAAATGGTCCCTCTGGGTTTCCTTTTTTATTTACTAAAATTAGGCCAAAATAGGAGATGGAGGTTGAGGAATGCTTGATTAGCCCATCCTAAAGGCACTACTGTTCCCTGTCATCTCCGCATAGAAGAAACAAGCAAGTAAAACAAACACTTCATTCTCATGTCCTCTTTAATGGATTAAAAAGATCCCATAATGCGTCTTTTCCTTTGTTTCCAATTAAAGTTGTCCTTAGCTATTCCAGATTTAAATTAGGATACAGGTAGTCTTCAATTTACAACCATTCATTTAGCAACTAATCGAAGTTACAACACACTGAAAAAAGTGAGTTTGACCATTTTTCACACTTATGACTGTTGCAGCATCATGTGGTATACATTCAAATGCTTGACAACTGACTCATATGTATGTCCCTCCTGGCCAAGCCCCCCCCATCCCCCAAGGTCAACTGCAACCCTGATGCAGCCCTCAATGAAATCGAGTTTGACACCCCTGCTCTAGGCATTTAGACATCAGCTTCAAGATTCACTGGGTACCAGCCTTCTGCTGAGGCATCTGTCTTCAGAATGCTGACTGGTGTTTTCTGACTGTTTGAAAGATCCCACAAGAAAGCTATAAATATAAAAGCCACACTTCACTGTGCATTAATGATTCACCTGCGGAGATGGTTACCAACATCAAATTTCTGGGCAGGCAGTTAACAAGTAGGCTGGCTTGGTCGCTCAACAGCGAGACACCGGTGAAGCGGGCACAGCAGCACTTGCATTTTCTGCACCACATGAGAAAAGCAAATCTTCCTTCCCCTAGCCCAGTGATGGGCAACCTTTTCGGCGTGGTGTGTCAAAATTCGGCAAAAAATCGAGCATAACTCGCGTGGTGTGTCATTTCGACAAAAAAACATAATTTTGCGCAATTTATAGTTTAAACTACAAAAATGTATAATTGCAATATATAATTGTATTTAATAAACCAAAAACAAATTATTTAACATACCTGCTTAGTAACTTCTTTGTTCATCAATCTGTCGATTTCGTATGTTGCCCTTGATATTATTGAACTTGTTTGGGGTGCCGTGAACTGAGATAAGTGAGGGGGAGGGCGAATTCTTTAACTAACCTGCATATTAGTGACTTTTTTGTTGCTGAATTTCATTGGCTAAATCTTCAATTGAAGGTTGGTATTTTGTACACTTCAGGCCCAAGCAAGCGCTACTAACCTCATCTGTCAATCTGTTTCTTTTGTTGGTTTTGATATTATTTAATGCTGAGAATAAGGTCTCACAAAAGTACGTAGAAGGAAAAATTGTGAGTAAAGCTGTTGCTATATTTTTCAGGGTGCTAAAAGTGTCTGGTAGTCTGTTCCAGGCACTCCAAATTTCCTGTTCGTAGTGGCACTCATCTTGATTCTCCAAGTGGCCCCTTTCCAGATTCTCAAGCTTTGACCTCAAGTCGACAAACACCTGAGCCCAGATGCTGTCTTGAAATTCTGCAAGCTGCATCTCCAAATCATCTATTTGCATCCATTGGAAACCATTTAATTCCAAACTATTGTAGACTACTACATCAGGATACTTAATTATTCTCATGGTCTGTTCTAGATTGACTAAATCTATCAGTAAACTGGTCAAGTAACGAGTCTAAAACATGCTGGCACTTCATATGCAAGAGTTCCACTTCATTTCGTACAGCTGCACTGGCTTTCTCAAAATGCTTTTGTACTCGAGGAAAATACTTATACATTTTAGTTTCTACATTTTGCTTGAAAATTTTTACTTTACTTTCAAAAGCTTTTATGTATCCAAACATAACATCAATACTTTTGCCAAAACCTTGTAACTTTAAGTTCAGTTCATTAACATGAACAGAGAGATCTGTAAAAAACATCAGGGTGTTGACCCACTTATCATCATTGAGCTGAGGAAAGTTTCCCAGATCCTTATCTTCAAGAAATACCTTAATTTCTTCAAAGCACTCCACAAAGCGCTCAAGAACCTTGCCTCGGCTCAGCCATCTTACATTATTGTACATCAGCAGTCCACTGTAGGTGGAATCAACCTCCAGTAAAAGTGCTGAAAATTCTCGCTTGTGAAGGGGGCGAGCAGCTATTAAATTAACTATTTTTGTAACAACTGACATTAAGTCATTTAAGTCAGTGAATCCTGCCTTGGCACATAAAGCCTCCTGATGGATAATACAATGAAAAGGCACAATCGGATGTCCAATAGCTTCTGTAAACAATTTCACAAATCCAACTTTTTTCCCCACCATGTTTGGGGCACCATCTGTCGTCACTGACACAACTTTAGAGATATCAATGCTTAGGTCGCAGAATGTTTGCATAACAACCTTACATATTTCGCTTCCTGATGTACTTGTTGGAACTGATACTAACTTTATCAACTCTTCTCTCATTGTGTGACTATCAGAATATCGACCAATAATGGCCAACTGAGCATGTGACATGACATCAGTAGTTTCATCAAGACAGATGGAAAAATATTTACAATTCCTTATGTCTCTCTTTAATTGATGTTGTACGTTTGTGTTCAGTCTCATTATTCGGTCTTTTATGATATTTCTACTGAGTGGTAACTCAGATATTCTCTTAATAATTGCATCTTTATTCTGCATATCGTGAAATAGAAGTGGCGCACATCTTAGGAGAGTTTCTTTAATAAATTCTCCCTCATTAAGTGCTTTTGCATGCTGAGCTATGGAGTGAGCAATGCTCAAACTTGCAGATGTTAAATTTGTACAGCCTTTTATAAATTTAAGGATGGAGTTAGATTGGCTCTTATAAAGGTGTAGCTTCCTGGAAATGTATTCCTTCCTTTCATCCTCACTTTTTTCCAAGAGCTGGGAATGATTAGTTTCAAAATGTCTATTTATATTCCACGTTCTGCTTACTACCGTTTCAGTACATAGAACGCAAAATGATCTGCCATTTTTTTCTATAATACCATACATCTCGCTCCATGTCTCTTGAAAGGGTCGGCCACTGCTACTACCACTCCCTTTACTTAACCTTTGTTTTTTTATTTTTTGGGTGCTCCATCAGTGGGCCAGTGACAGCAGATAGAATTATAGATAGCTTGTTAGCCAATTAGGGGTTAACTAGCCTAACACAGCCTCCCCCTCACTTATCTCAGTTATTGTGGGCAATTACAAGTCCATGGCACCCCAATAGTTGCTGCTAATGGCGCTCACAGGTCCCCCTTACTGTGTGGCACTCACTAATTGCGGCCTGACTGGAGAAAGGCGCGCACTGTTCCTGCGCTCCTCTCCTGGGGGTCCTCCCTAACGTACTCTCAGCCGTGCTGATGAAGTGTGTGTGCACAGCACGCACGCCTTACCAGCAGCCCCTGCACTGATAAAGGGGCTGTGCCTGTGCTTGCCTGTCAGTCGGCAGTGGCGCAGGCTGAAGTTTGCGGCGGGGACACAGTGAATGAGTGAATGTGGGTGGGGGAGATCACACGTCCCGCCCCCCGTTCCTCCAGCACAGAGCGTATTTCTTTCATCCTTCCTGGATCCAAGGCCATAGTGGTATGGTTGCTCTAGGGGGGCGGTAGTCATGATGGGAAAGTTTTAGTGGGTTCAAGTCCCACATAACCTGGTGACCCGCCAGGTATCCGTGGGGATTTCTCTTCCGTGGCGAAAACAAAAAAAAAAATTCTTTCATCCTCGGCGTGCAGGAGCCGAGGATGAATTGCATAAAATCGCATGAAATCCTGCGCGTGTCACCCCAAATGGCTACGCATGTCAGCACTGACACGCGTGTCATAGGTTCGCCATCACTGCCCTAGCCTTACCACTTTCTACAGAGGGACGATTGAGAGCATCCTGTCATATAGCATCAGTCTAGTTTAGAAGCAGCACTGCTTCAGACAGGAAGGGGGTGCAGTTCCCTCCCTTCCATCCAGGACATAGCATAGAAGCGTTGCTTGAGCAGGGTCTGTAAGATTGTCTGTGACCCCATAAATCCTCTTCACGACCTGTTTTCCTTGTTACCTTCTAGAAGTGGTATCCGAAGCAGAACATCCAGATTCAGTCAGTTTTGTTCCATACAGTATTAATAAGGTGACCAACCATTCTCCGTTTGTGAGTTCTGTCCTCCCTCAAAAAGTGTCCTCCTACATGTCCTCCTTTTCGATATTTGAAGACTAATCTGCAGGGCTTTTTTTTCTCATAGAACGCTCAAAACGGCATTCCGGCACCTGTTTTGATGGGTTTTTTTCAACATTTGCATGAGCTGTGCTACTTCCCCTATTGGCTTTCGAAAGCCAATAGGAATTGCTGCTGAGTGCACCAAAACACCCAGCCGGCACCTGTAAGTTGTCTGCAGCGAAGGCGAATTGGCAGGAACTTTGCACCCCTCCCTGCTACCCAACTACACCATCTCCTAGTTAGTCCCGAAGATACCTGGAGGAGACTAGAGCGGCGATGCCACAGTAACTTTCCTTTGATCTTCGGCCCTGCTAGGGCAATAATGGCTGCGGGCGCAAGAGGCAGGGGCAGCGGGGCTGCTGCAGGCAGGGGTGTGAAGGGCAGTGGTGGCTGACTGCCCCCTGTGCTGTGGGAGCCATGGGGCCTGCTCTACACGGGGCAGTGGTGCTGGCAAGGCAGCTGCAGGCAGGGTGTGTCGACAACGGGCTGCCCCCCGGGGCCGAAGCCGGCGCAGCTGTTGCTTTGGGAGCTGCGGGGCCCGCTCTACACGGTGGGGCAGCAGTGCTGGCAGGGCGGCTGCAGGCGGGGGCACGGCGTGTAAGCATAATTACAATATAAAATGTTATTGTTACAAATATTTATTATGCATTTATCATATTATAGTGTATTCTGTATTATTGTTGCAATGAATAAAATGTTTCTTTTATTTATGATATTTTTTTCTTCAATTTATTTGTATCCTCCTTTTCACTGTAAAAAAGTTGGTCACCTTAGTATTAACCTTGTGAAATCTAAAACTTCCTCCTTCCATTTTGTATTCAAGTGGACAGTGATTAATATTTATGTTACATATGTAAGGGTGTAGGTCTATACATGTTGTATACACTACAGCGTGTTTAAATGTGTGTTATGTATGTGCGCAAATAAAACATGACAATAAAGATCTATCAATGCATGACTTTAGAGCGGTTTGGAGAAAGTATTAGATTTGATTTTTTAAATCTTGACTGAATGTAGAGATGTATAGAGAAGATCTTGGAGAAGGAATGCACAATTATATTCTGGAAGGCCAAAAATGTGAGAAACTCAAGATTATCCTGTCTTGATTCTCTTTGGTGTTAAGAGGGAGAGAAGGAAAAATGCTGTTAGGCCTTCAAGCTTGTTATTATAGCCTCTATCAATAACAATTCTAGTATTAGTCCTGTGCTTAGAAAATTAGTACTCTATCAAGAAAGCACTATCCTTGTGTTGCACAGATTTAATAAAAAAAGAATTGGGACCTGCCGACTATGTATTGCTCATTCTGTCCTCCATGAGCACATTTCATCTTTTTCATTGCTTCTGCTGGTGACTTTATGTGCCTGAAACTTTGTTTTCATTAATTTCTGTCATTATTGTCTGACTTTATTGGCAACATACAGCACTAGTCAAAGGACTGGTCATTAAGTCTCCTTTTTCAGCAGCATCATATTTAAACATGAGTCTATCAGCCCATGGTGGCTCTTTTCAATGTATTTTTATTAGGGAGTATTATCATTACATTAACATATAAAACAGTCAAGATGTGGACATAGAAATGTTAAATTCACTTTACAAAGATAAGGCTCAAGTTTACAGGTTTATATTTCCCGCCCTACCCATGCCAGGAATTCTTGCCCATTTGCATTTCAGAGAAATAATCCCTATTTAATTCTTCCCAGAGTTTGTGTTTATAAATATTAAACAAACCACAAAATATACGTCAAGTACAGAATGTTCTACAATATAGTCCAAGCACAAACAGAAATACACAATACTGCACCTACGAACTCTTCATATGCCATCTCTGGTACTTCCAGTTCTGGAGACAAGACTTCTCTGATTTATGTACATATTCTTCAGTCTTTTCTCATGTCTAGAATCTAGAAAAGAGCCCTCACAATTTGATTGATATATCTCTATCCCTTCATGTACATGCACGTGCCATTCATTGTATACATATCCTTATTGCACAGTTTATTCTCTGAGGTAACTGGTTCCTCAAGCAATTCAATCTTTCCCAGATCAAATTAACTACTACTAACAAAGGTTTCTAATGATTTTGGAGCAATAGTACATGGACAAGACTACATTTTAGAATCCAGGATCTATAACGAGCTTGGTATAAATACCCAGAGGACCAAGACAAGAGTTTGGATTTATTGCTATTATAATATTTGCAATATCTATATAGTCTACTTTTATAACTATCTCTAGGATTACTGTTATTTTGGTTTGGAAAACCACAATAGATGCTTCCTGACTGGGTTTTGATTCAGCTCAAAGTTTCAAACAGGATTAATATCACCAAATAATAAATAGAATTTTTCTTAGCAATGAAATAATTAAGGAAGAGCTCAAAAACACACTGAAGATAAAATGGTTTCAGTCATAAAAACATTTCATATATTTACTTATGATTGAAAAGATGGCTCTAAAAAAACCTACAAGTATTTACTTTTTAGATGATGTAATACATGAAAGGGAAATTACCCAAGCATTTCAACTAGCCAATTATATAAAAAAAGAAATCTAGTTTAAAACTTGTGTCCTGATCCAGTTGCTCTTAGCAACTCTGAGAACTCCAGAAAATGAACTATTCTAAATCAGCTCATAATTTCTTCTAGAGTGCATACATATTCTTTATACAAATTACAAACACAATCTGATTTTTAATTAAGCACATGGGAATTACATGGGAGTTAGTTAGAAAGGTTTATATATTAGAAAGTAGATGAAATATGGATTAGGTTTTGTTGCAATATTTTTAATAGGAAATGTAAATAAAAATATTTTTTAAAAAATTTAACTTTAAGTTTAAAATGTACTTTAAGTACTTCATACATTTATTCAATTATTTAAAAAATAATAATTTATTATTTTGTAATAATAGACACCAATTCTAAAACTTTAATAGAACAAGAATGCTTTGGGAGCTTCCTTGAAACAAAAGGCTGTAATCTTATTAATCTCGAACAAGGATCTAAACTGAACATATTTCTAAGGAAACAAGTGTAGGACTGTGTGTAAATATTGCTGGTATAGTTAGGAAAGGGGAAGAGTGAATTTTGTCTCATGAAATCCAGATTGGCAAATATGCTATTCAGTTTAGTTCTTCTGCTTCTACCTCCATACATTTGAAAATTGGGCATGTGAAAATGTTGATCTTCTTTAAATACATGAGATTTTAGTCACATCCTCTTAAAAGAGCTTGGTGTTTTACACAGGCACAAAATCTCCATCAAGACAACAAAGATAACAATACACCACTTCAAAAGGACTTTTTATAAATAAATCATGTGCATCCATTGTTAATTACACCAGGTAAGAAAGCATGCTTAAAAATAATGGCATGAAATTGTGACTTTGGGATTTATCGTAATGAAAAATAATGAATATAATCAGAAATTAACTTTTTCCAGGTGTCTGAAATTCACAGAAGTTTTTCACAGAAACTTCTATCTTTGTTATGTATTTTAGTAAGTTTAGCTTTATTTTTATTTTTTTTAAATCACCATTTCTCTGTAACTTACAATCATGTACACTCAATTCAAAATTTCTAAATCTCCCTCAAAACTGTATTTGTACTACTTTGCAAAGAAAAACTTTCATGAGTGCATCAAAGTAAAAATCCAAATTTCCATCTTGAGAAAATTATATCCCACTCTTCAGTTTCAGAACAGCTTCTGCAATGTGGTACTATACATTATACTGGTCATGTATCTGCTGCTTAATATTAATATTCCTCAGAGACATGAGGAATATGCAGGACAGGTTAAACCGATAGGAGAGTATGCTTAACCATTTCTGCATCCACTGATTTTTTTCTGCAAATACCCTTCCGAGCTGATTGTGCATACAGAAAAAAAAACACTGTACAAAGAAAGGAGTATCTTCTCCTCCCATGGAATTCTCACCTATAAATCACAGTTACACTGATTTATCCTAATGTATAATTCTTCCAAAAACTTGTTAATCAGTCTTTCCATATAGATCAGACATGCTTGTTTTCCATCTGAATTATTCACCTTGTGCATATCTTGAAGAATATTAGTCTTTTTTAAAAATGATAAAACGCTTTAAAAATTCATGTTATGTCTTTGTGCATTTATTCATCTGTACATTAAATATTTTCAGAAATTGCATTTGCTAAAAATTTACCAAAATTTGTAAAGACATAAAAATATTTTTAAATGAAAAAAATCAAACAAAAAAAATAATAAAACCCGAGCAATTGGTAGGTACTTATATAGGCATTGGTTAGTAGATATTGTTTTACTAAGGAATATATTCAAAAGCATCCTCTTCTACTTGTAGTAAATACTTAAAATTAGGATATCATGGCTTGATATGGTAGAAATGATAGCTTTCTCTTCAGCTTAATTACTGATAAAAACAGGAAAGCAAATAAAAATAAAGACTGCTTTTTGGTTACTTAAAGGCCACTACTACATCAATTATTCAATTACGAAAAGTAAATGTAAGAATTTTGAAGTTATTGTCTATCAAAATAAAGAACTAATTGAAGATAACCTGCAGGATGTTTATGAGCACCTAACTACTGACTAAAATTCACTAGTTTTGAATATAGCCCTTAGTTTTGCACATTTTTTTTTTATGTTTAAGAGCTGCCAAACAAATGGCTAATGAAGTCTACTTTGCAGGCTATCCACTGTCTGAGAGGACAGTAATATTCAATGTGAAATTGTTGAAACTCTGGTGTCTGGCGGATTTCATGGAGGAAAGAGATGTCAAGGTCTGATTCCAGAAGGACAAGTAGTAGAGGGAAAACCACAAGCAATAGCCCAAGCCCAACAAAAAGAAGTCTGGAAAAACTCTTCACAGCAGCATTTACCTTCAAGTTACCCATCAAAAAGTCATAGCTCCACCTAAGTGCTTTTCGGGCTTCCTTCAACTCTTCCTCCTCTGCAACCAAGAATGCATTTTCATCCGCCTCCAGTTCCTCAAATGAATCTGTATCTTCTTTCCCATTTTCTGCCCTTGGAGAAGTTTGAAAGAGAAGGTCTATCTCCTCATCATTAACAGGAGTGGGGAGCAAGCTGGTGCTTGGATTGTAGATCAATTCTGAAATTGTTAAAGGCTCCTCTTTGATTTTCTCACCCTCCTCAACGGAAAGATCTGAACCATCATCTGTTTCTTTAGTTGGAGAGCTTGATATCACAGGGAGAGAAATATCATCTTCTTTCGGCAGCTGGATTCCTGTAAAATGGCACTTTTAGATTCTCAAACTTACATTTCAAGGAGATAAAACTATAGACCAGTGTTTCTCAACCTTGACAATTATAAGGCATGTGGACTTCAACTCCCAGAATTCCACAGCCAGCGTTGCTGGCTGTGGAATTCTGGGAGTTGAAGTCCACATGCCTTAAAATTGTCAAGGTTGAGAAACACTGCTATAGACAAAACATAAACAACTGCAGAAAAAACTGCTTGCAATTTAACCATTAACTGGTTTATATTAAGTGAAGGGGACTTCTTCCTAGTTCAGCAAGCTAAATATAACTCGTTACCATTATTCATTTTATTACAAAATCCAAGTTTTTTAAAAATAAAAATCTGCATTTTGTAAACCTGAAATGAAAATCTTTGGTTATTTCATTGCACAGAACTATATTCCATGATTCTAAAACCATGATAAATACTGTACTTGCATTATCAGACACACGTATAATATGTGTTTATGATACATTATGATGTATCATAATCTATTAATAGACTATTGATAGCAGTAAATGAGAAAATACAGATTGATGGGAAATACTGGTTATCACGTAATTCTATTTCTCAAGATATAATATTAATCAATATTACAAGGATGTCATAAGTGACAAAATGCATTACAGTATGTAAGACAGTTTGAATGAACTAACTGGAGGAAAAGGTTTTCATTACTCCTAATATGGTTAAACTACAAATTGCATCATTTGCATCAACTTTGTGTAATGATACCAATATACAAATCATGCAGCTGATAGTATAATTTGAATCAATTTGTGTAAACAGCAGTGTGCAAATAGCATAAATCACAACAAATGATATTAACTAATTGAATATAAAGTAATTATCCGTACAAATTTTTATCTACTGTTAATCTGTGAAATTGACGTTTTGCTGTTTTAACAGTTATGCTTATGCCATTTAGCTTCAAAGTTAGCAACTCTAAATTAAAAGAGATCTCTATGTAAATTTGCAACAAACACTAATTTTTTGTACAGTCTTCTAAAATTATACAACTCCATTTAGAGTCCAGCTTTATTTAATTACTTTTTTGTGTGGGTGAACTGAAATGAGGTTTATTTTTCAATGCAAAAAACAGATAGGAATGAATATAAGCCTAAACTCTTAGAACTAAAGATACTACGTATAGGAAATTTCCCTAATTCTATCTCTATAGCAACAGTCTGGTAAAATAGTTTGGGCTAAGAAACAGCAACAGACTCAATGGCTTCAATGATCAGTTGTATTTATTTATTCAACAATATCAACAGCTTTGACAATCTGTTTTTAATTTAGTATTTCCCCTTGAATATCAATTGTAAGTCTGTTCACACTGGATTAGATTTAGCCTGGCTTTTATACATCTATTCAAAATAAACTAAAACTGCATCTAATTCAACTTGAGTTAAGACAATCTTGATTTTATTTATGGCTCCAAAATCCACTTTAAATGTTGTAATCCTAGATCATTCTGTTATCCTCCACAATTTATATATCTTCTCATTCATAATATCAAAGAAGTGGTAGGATTTAGGACTGATCTTGAAGGCAGAAGCACAAAAAGGATGTCCACCTTTGGATTGCTTCTTCAAGTAGCAAGGTGGCCAATGGATGTTTATTTGGATTTGGATATTAATGGAGATATTAGGGGCATCCCTGGGTGAAACAGTATGATAGTTGGTAGGGTTACTTTTTATTTCAATCAGAGCTGGTGTGATGGATAAATGAAGACAGGAGACAACCTGACCACAGCCACATAGGTGCAACCTGCATGTTTGCTTTGAATAAAGCTGGGTTGGATAGAGAAATGTACTATAACTCACTATGGGCTTTTAGAGTTGTAAATGAGATCCAGGATAACGGACATTTCTCTTTTAATATCTGTTTCTTGTTAATCGGCAGCTTTGAATGATTGTTTTCCCTGTTTGTATGACATTTCTATGGCTTAAAGCAGTGGTTCTCAAACTTTTTAATGCCGCGACCCCAACCGGTGGTAAGTCGAGGACTACTCAACCGGTCGTAAATCGAGGACTACTCAACTGGTGCAGCACTGTTTGCAGAATGGGACTTTTGGCGGGCTCAGCAGGGCAGAGACAGCCTGGACAATTCCTATTGGATTTTGAAAGCCAATAGAGTTAGACTCTATTCAAGAGAGTCTATTCTATTGGCTTTCAAAAGCCAATAGAATAAAAGGGAGTAGCACAGCTAAGGAAAAGGGGGGAAAATGGCGGACTGCATTGTTTGGCGACCCCCGTGAAATGGTCGTTCGACCCTAAATGGGGTCCCGACCCACAGGTTGAGAACCACTGGCTTAAAGAAAGGCAATTGAAGCTTAGACATGTGAATTTTATTTTCCTCCCTAGTCCATATTACGAAGCAGAAAGGAAAGAGGCAGATCTATGAAGGGAGGTAAAACCCATTCAATTAGAATGGTTCTTATCGGTGTCTCCTCTGTGTACTTCGCAAGTCAAACTGTATTACCACAGGATATGATGTCACTTTCTGAAGTGTGAAAACAGGAATCTTGAGTTACTCTGATGCAGAAATGGGGCAAATATAAGAAGACAAAATAATGGCACCATCATCTTCATAAGCTGGTTGGACTCAAGTGGCATCAACATTGAACAAACAAATAAATAATACATCTTTATGTTGAATGCCAGGCAGGTCTTTTAAAAAATGGTAATGGTTAAAAAAAGATAATCTCATAGTAGTACAAGAGTCCAACCTAGTCTTTATTATGAGATTAGCAGACTGTGGCAGGGATTTGTTTGGGCCCACTTATTGTCAATAAGCAATTCCTACTGTATTGGTTACAAACTTAATGGTATACAAGTTTTTCTTAATGGTGTACAAAGCAATATACAACTGAGGCCTACCTATTCTTACAGTCTTCCTCTGACTCTTTAATCATTAGCAGAAACTCTTGGGGCATTTTGCCACACATAATTTGACATTAATTCTCATTTCTTCATGTTACATGTCACTGGAGTTAAGAGCCTGAAAGAGGGCTTAATAATATTTATTTACTTAGACCTTTTAATTATTTCAAATTCTGATTTATTTTTTCAAAAAATTATTTCAGGCTTTCAATGAATTGTTAAGAGTTGCGTTAATTCTGTTTGTTATTTTAATTGCATTTTCTAAACTATCCTGGGTACTATAATAAATACAATCAAAGACAAGACAAAAGAGAAAAACAACAGTCTGGGAGAAAAAACTGAAACCCCATATGATATAGGACATATTCACTATTTGACAGTGATAGAGAATAATTAACAAAAATGTATTTCATATAAAATAAAACAAGTGCTACAACACGGAATGAGAAACTGGTAACATTCAAATAGAACAAATAGTAAAACTATGGACCTCATCTACTTCTACCTCCCAATAAATAATATTTGCAGATCAACAATACTGGCTATCACACATTTTGATCTGATTGCTGTATGAAATAAATTAACTAGTTTATAACCTAGATTATTTTGATTTAAAGCTATCAGCTATTTATTGAATCAACACTCCTCATGTTGGAGGCATATCTGTCATGGGCTATCAGGATAGGAAAATAATTAGTTCAAACCTACCATCTCTGCCCTGGAAAATGAAAATCTACTTCAAATAATCTCCTGATAACTTCAACTGAATTTGATGCTAACATATAACACAAAGAAGATAGGAAAAAGTTCCAGTTAAATAGTCAGTATAATCTTTTAGAGCAGGTTATATACTTGTAGAACAAATGGAAACCTGTAATATACTAATAGGGAAAAAAATTAAAATAATTTGCAAAGTCATTGCATGTTTCTGTATTAATTTAGAAATAAGAGACTGTATAATATTGTTTCAATTTCCTCAAAAAGTAGGTTTTAATTTAATAAGAATGGAGAATTAATCATTTTAATTCTTCGTGGTATCCGTAGCAGAACATCCAGATTCAGCCATACAGCATTAACCTTGTGAACTCTCAAGCTTCCTCCTTCCGTTGTATATTCAAGATGGACAGTATTTAATATTTGTTATGTATATGTAGGGGTATGGGTCTATACATATGTTGTATATAGTATGTTTAGATGTGTGTCATGTATGTGGTTCACTTTGAGAGCGGGCAACTAAATTTCATTTTTGATGTGTGCCGTTGTGCCCACAATAAAAAAATGACAATAAAGGTTATCTTATCTTATCTTAAAAAATTAATCTCAAGTAATTCAGCCACATGTATATATACATGTGTGTGTGTGTGTGTTTAAATAAATTCAGATTAAGCAGTATTCCTAGTCTTTAGTTGTTACTATTTTTGCACTCTTAACATTAAGATTAGAAAAACAACCCTTATAAAAGCATGAATTATGATTGCGTCTGATCCAGTATTTAGTTTTCATAGTTTATTTATTTATTTATTAATTAATAAAATTTATATGCCGCCCAATCCCGAGGGACTCAGGGCGGCGTACAAAATTAAAACAATATAACAATAAATAAGTACATTCATACAGCATGTCCAATCATATCCCGGCCCCCCCGGGGACATCAACCCCAGGCCTGCCGGAACAGGAGAGTTTTAATGGCTTTCTTAAAGGCCGGCAAGGTGGGAATAGTTTGAATCTCGTGGGAAAGTTGATTCCACCAGGTTGGAGCCACCACTGAAAAGGCCCTTCCCTGAGGGCCCGCCAGCCGACATTGTCTGGCCGACGGGACCTGAAGGAGGCCCAATCTGTGGGACCTCACCGGTCTCTGGGAACTATGCGGCAGTATGCGGTCCTGTAAGTAACCTGGTCCTAAGCCATGAAGGGCTTTAAAGGTGATAACCAACACCTTGAATTGTGTTCGGAGACCCACAGGAAGCCAGTGCATCTCACAGAGGATAGGTGACAAGGTACACCCACAATCGCTCTCGCAGCTGCATTCTGAACCAACTGCAGCCTCCGAACACTCTTCAAGGGTAGCCCCATGTAGAGCGCGTTACAGTAATCCAGTCT